CGTCCGGAGTCCGTTTCGCGTTACCCATGTCCCAGTGAAGTTCCGAATTTTTCTTTCTTTTTTTCTTGGGGCTTTGTTAACGCGAACCGGAATTTCTAGTGATCCCTTCAGAGGCGTTAACCCTCTTAAGTGATCACTTGAAATTTTCAGAACGACCGCGGAGCGTCCAGTTTTCGGTATCAAGGGTCCGATTAATAATTTTTTTTACGATGAATTAGCCATAGAGCGCACTTGCTCACTTTTTTATTTTTCACCCTTTTATCGAGGTTTTTAACTCGATAGGCTTTGTTGATATTTTTTTGACAATTTTTTTGAAATTTTAAAAAAATCTCAATTTTTTTGATTTTGGGAACCATGTAACCATACCAGCTCCGTGAATTTTTTTAATTTTTTTTCAGAAATTTTTTTCATTTTTTTAAATTAAAAATAGTGCTTGGATTACAATGTTGGGAGCGAAGGCTGAGAAAAAAATTTCGTGTCAACCGACTTTTTAACGGTTTACGCCCTCTCCTATTGCATCACACAAAGCTGTTGCTATCAATGAAATGATGTTCCCGTTTCAAGAATATGGGAAAAAAATTTTATTCGTCATTTTTTTAAAAATTTTCATTTTTATAAACCAGACCCCTGGAGCACACTCAAGTTGGGCCAAAAAATAGAAAATTATGAAAAAAAATGGAACGCGCCGCGACCGCGACGCGCTTCGAAAATTCAAAGTTTGATTTCTCCTAATAAGCCTTTCCCACAGCCAACTTTCACACAAGGAACTTTTTCCCGCCGATAAGAATCGTTTTTGCAAACTTCTGTAGTCTAGACATTAGTTTCTCTCCGTTTGATCCCAAGATTAGGAGGATAAATGAGAGAAAAAAGCTATTCTTTTTCCTTTTTCCTCTGTTGGGACATGTCCTTTCCTCGTTTTTGTCGCCAAAGTGCATTTCTCGCCTTTTTTTTTCACTTCCTCGTCCCACTTTTTTTTTCATTATAGATGAAATTATCGGGTAATGGATGCAGAGGGCGGATTTAATCCGAAACCCTTTTTGAGCTGGAAAAATGAGTGGTTTTAGTTTTGAGAAGGTTTTGAAAGCCTTCAAGATTTCCGGGAAAGTAAAGTGACTTATTTGGGAATTTCCTGATGGTCTAGAAAATGTTTTCGAGGAAAAATTTGATTAAAAATGTATTCAAAAAGGTAAAAATTATAATTTTTCTGTTTAAAGTTAACGTATCTGGGGCCGAAAAATTCTTTTTAAAAAAATATTTAAAAAGGCAAAAAAACCTGAAGAGGATCCAAACCTGGAACCCCCAGAGCAATAGGCCATCTCCCTACAAACTGAGCCAATCTGTTTTTTCTTCCAGAGTGAAAAAACCGCTCACATTTTCTTTGAGAAACTACACCTTCTCCACTGCAATCTGCGCTCTCTAACATGAGCAATAGCATGCAATATGTCTCTTTCAAGACTATAATCTGCGATAACAGCCGTCAAATCCGCGACCTTTGCTTTCCGTGAGCTTATCGGTCTCTCTTGATAAGGATAAGGGCGGATAATTTGGCCACGCCCTCTTTTTCCCTACCCATTTCCGTGTTGTTGTCGGGATTGAACTCGACTTTTTCGTTTCTAAAGTTTTATAAATTGATCTTTTTTTCATATTGAGTCATTTATAAGTCCTGTGTCTTTCTTAATAATCTGATATTCCTCCGCCTTGCTTTGAAAATTCTAGGGTGTCTGCACTCTCTTTTCTCTAACTCTCGCCGTTTTCGAATAGAGAGAAGAGGGTGCAGACAGGCTATAATTTCAAGGATGAAAAATTACTTTCTTTCTTTTTGGTTAGTTAGACATTTCTACTTGAATAACCGGATGCTCTTCATCCGCCACGGCTCGAAAAAGTCTGGCTTGTCTGCGCCCTCTTTTCCCTCTTGAATAGGGAAAAGAGAGTGCAGACAGGCTAGACTTTCAAGGATGAAAAATGACTAGATTTATTTTTGAGTAGTTAGACATTTCCACTTGAACACTCCTCATCCGCCACGGCTAGAAATAGTCTAGCCTATCTGCCCCCTCTTTTTCCCTCGCCGTTTTTTTTAATAGAGAGAAGAGGGTGCAGACAGGCTATAGTTTCAAGGATGAAAAATTACTTTCTTTCTTTTTGGTTAGTTAGACATTTCTACTTGAATAACCGGATGCTCTTCATCCGCCACGGCTCGAAAAAGTCTGGCTTGTCTGCGCCCTCTTTTCCCTCTTGAATAGGGAAAAGAGAGTGCAGACAGGCTAGACTTTCAAGGATGAAAAATGACTAGATTTATTTTTGAGTAGTTAGACATTTCCACTTGAACACTCCTCATCCGCCACGGCTAGAAATAGTCTAGCCTATCTGCCCCCTCTTTTCCCTCGCCGTTTTTTAATAGAGAGAAGAGGGTGCAGACAGGCTAGACTTTCAAGGATGAAAAATGACTAGATTTATTTTTGAGTAGTTAGACATTTCCACTTGAACACTCCTCATCCGCCACGGCTAGAAATAGTCTAGCCTATCTGCCCCCTCTTTTCCCTCGCCGTTTTTTAATAGAGAGAAGAGGGTGCAGACAGGCTAGACTTTCAAGGATGAAAAATGACTAGATTTATTTTTGAGTAGTTAGACATTTCCACTTGAACACTCCTCATCCGCCACGGCTAGAAATAGTCTAGCCTATCTGCCCCCTCTTTTCCCTCGCCGTTTTTTAATAGAGAGAAGAGGGTGCAGACAGGCTATAGTTTCAAGGATGAAAAATTACTTTCTTTCTTTTTGGTTAGTTAGACATTTCTACTTGAATAACCGGATGCTCTTCATCCGCCACGGCTCGAAAAAGTCTGGCTTGTCTGCGCCCTCTTTTCCCTCTTGAATAGGGAAAAGAGAGTGCAGACAGGCTAGACTTTCAAGGATGAAAAATGACTAGATTTATTTTTGAGTAGTTAGACATTTCCACTTGAACACTCCTCATCCGCCACGGCTAGAAATAGTCTAGCCTATCTGCCCCCTCTTTTCCCTCGCCGTTTTTTAATAGAGAGAAGAGGGTGCAGACAGGCTATAGTTTCAAGAAAAACAACTACTTTATTGAACTTCAAATGCGAAATCTCTCGAATTTTTGTTCAGCGGAAAATTGTTTCTGTCATTTTATTAACTCTTTGATTCTCCTTATCTTTTTTAAATTTCAGGACGAAAATTTTGGGTAACTAAGAGACGAGAACGACGGGGTTCAAAACGGTTGGCCTCAACGTTCAGCGCTGTTTCGCCGCGATTCGGAGGCAACCCGATAAGGTAAGCCAGCAAAAGACGTTTTCGTTCTGTGGGGGATTGAACCCGTGACCTTTTTGATGGTAAAATTGTTTTTTTAAGTGGTAGAAGTTCGGTTAATTTGTTGAGAACAATGGCAGAAGTAGAATTTTTTCGGAGAAGTTTGAAAAAACGGCAAAAAACTGCTCAATCTCATGGAGACTGAACCCGTGACCTTTTCGGTGATAAATTTTGTTTTGTTTTGTTTTTTTCTTTTTTTTGAAAGGTAGAAGTCCCGTTAATTGGTTGAGAACAATCGAAACTTGAAAACATCTTCAAAAAAATTGGCAAAAACGGCAAAAAGCACTAAGTCTGAGAGGGACCGAACCCGTGACCTTTGCGATGAAAAAATTGTTTTTTATAAAGCTCCTTTAATTGGTTGAGAACACTGCCAAGCTTAAAAGCTTCTAGATAGAGTTGGCAAAAACGGCAAAAAACTGCTCAATCTCATGGGGAATGAACCCGTGACCTTTTCAGTGCTAATTTGAGGTTATTTTGGAAGGCTAAACTCCCTTGAAAAACTTGATCGTCAAACAAAAGGGAATTAATCTTAAATACGTGGGGAAAACGGCAAAAAACCGCTCAGGGATTGAACCTGTGACCTTTTCGGTGATAAAATTAGTTTTTTTGAGAGGTAAAAGTTCTGTTAACTGTGGATAACAATAGAATCTTGGAAGTTTCTTTAAGAAAATTGACAAAAACGGCAAAAATCTCTCAGTCTGAAAGAGATTGAACCTGTGACCTTTGCGATGAAAAAAATTGTTTTTTATAAAGCTCCTTTAATTGGTTGAGAACACTGCCAAGCTTAAAAGCTTCTAGATAGAGTTGGCAAAAACGGCAAAAAACTGCTCAATCTCATGGGGAATGAACCCGGGACCTTTTCAGTGCTAATTTGAGGTTATTTTAGAAGGCTAAACTCCCTTGAAAAACTTGATCGTCAAACAAAAGGGAATTAGTCTTAAATAAGTGGGTAAAACGGCAAAAAACCGCTCAGGGATTGAACCTGTGACCTTTTCGGTGATGAAAATGACGTCATTGAGAAGCTAATTTTCCTAGCTTACAGTGAGAAAATATTCTGATTTTCTTTAAAATCGAATCCTCCGAATTCTCACTGATAAAACCCAATTTTATCCAAAGATCTAGCCTTCCCAATAAAGCAAAAAAGCTCGGATTTTTTTTCCGCATCAAACTTTAGTATCTTCCTCACGTGTGTAGTATTATCTTCGTTCTGCGATTACAAAGCTCCGCCCATTTTTGTGACGCTTTTCAGCTTTGCGTATCAGCGGAGTGTCGTATGAAAATCTGAGCTCGAGGGAAAAAAATCTGCTTCTTCATTTTTTTCAGAACTTATTTTTGTTGTTTAGAAACGTATTCGAAAAATAATCGGAATATTTTCGGCGTCAAATGGAATTTAAAATAAAACTTCTTGAATCCACAATAAAAGCTAAGTTTCAAGTTGATTATTTAATCATTAGGCCATTTTTGATTTGATGAGCTTCCAGCGAAAAATGGCAAAAATAAGTTTCCTCGCTTAGGAATCGAACCTGGAACCCTAAGAACCTTGATCTAACCATTTACCAGTATTACCAACCATCTGCTCAAATCTTCCTTTGATCTAAACTTCCAATCATTAAATTACAACAGTTAGCAGTTGGACTCCTTGGCCTGATGACGTCATGAGTTTCTTCTTTTTTGCAGGAATGAGAAGGTGGAAAAAGTCGGACGAAAGAACTCCCCTCATGATGGATTCAGACCAAGTAACATTCCTGAATATTTATATCTTTGTCCCTTTGTTTCGCTTCCAACGGGTTGCTCTAGGGGTTGGGCCTTTCTCTAAGACTTGCTGAGAAAAGTCCAGTGACCACTTAAGGGGTTTCTCAAGGGCTATTTTGAGGACACTATAGGGACCACTAAATCCGCCTCTATAAAAGCCACCACTATACAGCGTCTCAGTGGCCACTGAAGTAGTTTTAGTGGTCTAATAGTACCGTTTAGACTTCTAAAGAGGCCACTACACTTTAGCCACTCAAGTGGTCGCTATTTCGACTACTATAGTAGCCACTGAAACGTCAAAACCCTTGAGTGGTCACTAGAAATTTACGCAGTTCAACTCAAATAAAATTATTTGAAACTACTTTAGGGGCCACTTAGAAACTCTAACCAAAATAACCCTTAAATGACCACTTGGCTTTGTCCGGAGTCCATTTAAATGTCCCTTTGTTTTGCTTCCAAGGGGTTGCTTTAGGGGTTTTCTCTGAGAAATTTAAAATTTCAACCTCAAAAGAAAGAATTTTCAACTGCTTCGGGGGCACATAGAAGCTCTAACCTAATTTCTCGATTATCAACAGAACCCTTAAAGGACTGCTTGGCGTTGTCAGCAGCTTTTCTAGCCTTGAAAGTTTGCTCCATCAAACTAATTGGCTTGAAACGACTTTTTTGTGGTTTTGAGCCAGGCAGAACGAACTTTCAAGCCTAAAAAGCTTGTTATTGCTTTCACAGCCCTCCAGGGATCACTTGGCTTCAAAACTACCCTCAAGTGACCACTAAAGTGATTGCGATTTTGCAGGATGGTGAAGCAGCCGTGATGCGGTCGCCGTTTTCGACCCGAAAATCGTCATCTCCGGTGACGTCACCGCTCAGCGCGATGACGTCATCGGCCTCGTCCTCATCTACCGTACCTCTCGACAGGGTTACGATAGCCATGAACGGCGACGCACACGAGACCGTGCCGCTCTACACTGGCGATGATGTTCGTGATTTTTTTTTTCATTTTTGCTAATTTTAGTCGTATGAGTAATACACGCATTGTATACACACTCCGACAAGTGTAGCTCTTCAAAAAAGAAAAAAAAACTCGAAGGACTGAAAAGATTTTTCCTTGCTGCGAAGTTGCGTGGGTGGTCAAGTACCTCGGTTTTCGATCGGTTTAAGTCTGGGTCAGGGAGGAAAAAGTTGTGAAATAAAGTACTTTTCGGAGGGTTAACAATGGATTTTGATATTAGGGATCTTCTTAATTTATCTTGGTAATTTTTTTAAGTCTATAATAATTTTTTTGAACTTAGGTTTCTATCACGGAATATGATTGCAAATTTTTTTGGGTCCTCCAAAAAAATTAATGATAATTATTTGAACTTCCTTGAATCAATATTGTGAGCCTTATTGGATTAAAAACTGAAATTTTGCTAATTTTTGAAATTTGAACAGTTTTTCAACGCGAAAAATCTGTTAAAATCATTTTTTTTTCAATATGTGTACTTCTCGAATTGGAGGGTTATTGCAATATCCTGACATTTTTTTCAATAAATTCTAGACTGAAAACAGCGAAATCAAGTAGTTTTATGGATTTTTTTCATTTAAAAAAATTTTTTTTTATGAATTCGCTCGGGGTAAATTTTGTAAGCCCGACGTTGAATATAGAAGTTAAATTTTTACAAATTTTAAGAAAAATCAAACTTCCAGAAGTTAAATATCGTTTTTTTATAATTTCAAGCTCATTCTCTGGACAAATCTAAACTTCACTGGAAGTTATTGAACTTTGAAAATCTTATTAAAAAAATTGAAAAAAATACGATTTTATGTGTTTTTTTCCATGCAAATTGAAAGAAAAAAATATCCCCTCTCTTCCTTCCAAAATGAGCATTTTCAACTACAAACTTCCCAAAATCCTGAAAAAAACTTCCTGAATCCCTTTCCCGAGACGTGTCCTTCTTCAATACGACACACACTTTTTTTGGCTTCGCCTTAATCTAATTGAATAAATACGAACGGATTAGAACGTTGTAGAAATATGGGAAAAATAAATAAACTGATCAATAGTTTGAGCTTTTAAGATTATACCTTCGAATATTATACTTTGGGGGCTGGAATTTGCAAATTTAACACGGATTATCATGACTATAAATGGTGGTTTTGAAAGGAAAGGGGTATATTCGTGTTCACAAAATAAAAAATGTCAGAACCTCTCGAAATTTCAACAAAAAAGTAATGATAAAAATTTTTTTGCACTAAATTATGTTCAAAATTTCGTGCTGCGGTTGTAAAGGCTCATAATCTTTGCAAAAGCGTTTCGAGACCTTTTTTTAAACTGGACTATGCTCCTTTAATAGCCAGGTTGTTGGACAAACTATATATTTATTCATTTCTTCTTTTATTATCAACTCTTTCTTGCAACAAAGTTCAAACTATATATGAAATGACCAATTGTACAATCTTTCGCCTGGCATTTGTCATTCCAATCCGATAATTAGCATCGCAATTAAAACTGCTTCCTTAATTAGTCACACTGATTAGCGTGGGGACAATCTCTCGCGAGAATTTATTCGTATCAATTGACGTTTGGCGTAAATCCCGCTGCACTTTGCTGGATTTTATTCAGTCTGAGCTCTTGCAAATTAATTCCTTTTTATCAACTTCCTTCCCCGCAAAGTAGAATTTGCAGCTGTTTTAGATTATTTAGAGTGTAGTCTATTCGAAAAAGCTTGCTATTAAAGGCGCATGGACTTATTTTTAAAAAGAAATCGAAGCGAAGCATTTTTGAGTGTTCTTTCGGGTCATTCAAGACTTCAGCCCACTGTAGAAAATAAGCCTGAATGAAATGAAGCTTGCTATTAAAGGCGCATAGACCTAACTCATTAGAGGCTTCTACGCTCTTCAAAAAATAATCCTGAATGGAATGAATTTCAAATTTTGAGGATAAAAACTTGGTAAAACCTCTACAATGCGAAATCCCAGTAGGAATCAGACACATTAATTTTGTTGGAGAAAAAAAAAACTGACCAAATAAAATTCAAGTAAATCTTGACTGGGCAAAAAAAAAAGACCAAATCAATTTGATTCCTATGACTCAGCTTCAAAATAAATTTTCCAATCTTTCTACTTTTTTTTAATAAACGATTATTCATGTATTTACTCGTCTTAAAGCCTAATAAATACAAAGAATCTAGCGAAAAATTTCGAGATAATTAAAAATAAAATAAAAATGATAATCGCCAAAAAATGTGACCTACCACAGCCGTCGCCACAGACGAGAAACAGGCGCGAAAAAAAAGGCTAAATCAAAATTTCGTGAAATCATCTCTTTTTTTTGTTCCGTTGCTCTTTTAATCCGATCAGTGATTCATATTTACATATTTTGCGTCAAAGAACTGTTCGTAAACATTCCTTTTTACTGTTCTGTCCTCGTTTTATTTTTTCTCTTCGTGTTTTCTTAATTCTTTGCTTTGAAAACAATTCTCTGTCATTTGATTTAAAATCCCTGATCCGCTTTTGATTAATTAAGCTTAATGAAAATTATTAAATTTTTTTCAAATTTTTTTCAAATTTTCGAAGCTCGAAATTAAATTTGCATGGGGTTTGAAAAAAAGGCTTAAAAAAATCAGTCACAAACCTTGCGAACTTCGATCGAATTATCTGATAATTATTCAGCTATCAAGTATATAACGTCGTACTTATCTATGAAATTTTTATATTAAAAAAAAAATCAAAAATTAAATAATAAAAAAAACGTGAACGTGAAATATATGCGCGTGAATTTTGTCGTTTTATTCGCGGTCGGTAACTGCACGAAACAATAAAAACTACGCGCAAAGTTCACGGCTCTGGTCAATAATTTTTTTTTCTGCATTTATTAATTTTAACTGTTAGTAATTGTTGACTAATTACACTCACGTGTTGAACACTGTTTTGATGGTGTTTCTAAATGTAGAAGTGCTAACTAAAGAGCTAATTGTTTTATCAATTAGTTGGTATTTGCAGGCGCCAGTAGCGACGGAAGCGGTGTCGCGGTGCGAGACGTCGTTGTCGCGGAAGTTCTCGACGGCCTGGCGGAGGGTCCGAAATATGTACCGACGGAAGGTCCGGATCCTCATCTTCATCATAACATGGCTCCAGGTGAGGGATGAAAATAAGTGAAATAAGGGATTATTGGTCTTTTTGAACTTCCAAACAAATGACTTTTGACTTTTTTTTTTCATTTATTTGATTACTTGTACCTTATAACTTTGAAACTCAATTTTAATATCTAAATTTCAGCTCGGAAGTGTGATGAATTGCGTGGACGTGTTCTCATTCACCATGGTTTACATGGAGAAAAATGCGACCGAGGCGAAACCTGAGGTTTTTTTTCCGTTTTTATTAATAATTCATGACAAGAAATATTTCCAGATGTACATTTATTCAATGGAAGAGAAATCGAGTCTGATTTCTGCGATGGCGATCGGCTCACTGATTGGAATGTACCCGCAGAACAAACTTTTGCAACTTTATGGCGCCCGGCCCGTTCTGAGTATAGCAGGTTTATTAATTTATTGATTAAAAAGTTCAATTGAAAGTTTATAAATTTCGAAAAAGAAAGATTGATTTTTAAAACTTTTTCATTTGAAGAAAAATGCTCATCTGTGCTCAATTTTTATGAATTTTCGAAACTTTTCATCATTTTTTCTTCTGAATGTTTTTTTACACTGTCCAAAAATACAATCTATCAATTTTGAATGTAAACAAGACCAAAAAACCACGGAATTTTAAGCCCCTCGAAACAAATTTTTTTTTGGACTTTTGAGCTGTTTTTCTTCTCAATTTTTGTTTAGAAAATCAAGTCTAAATGACCTTTTTGCTTGGATTTTTTGATGATATTCAATATTTTGTATTTTGAGGGGTACTATGTGCAATAACGACGGCATTCCTGCCCTGGGCCCTCGACAAAAGTTACTACGCCGCATTTGTTTTCCGCGTCATTCAGGTTCCTTTTTAGGGAATTTTGAAGCAAAAAATTCGATTTTTCAGGGTGTTCTGTATTCGGCAGACTTTGGAGTGGTTGGGTACGTCTGCGCCAAATGGTCGCCGTTGAACGAGGTTTTTTTTTCTCAATAAAAAGGAGATTCATAGGTTTTAGTGTTGAAAATAAGCTAATTTAAGGTCTATTTTCACTTTTGGAATTATAAATTTAATGGGAAACGTAGTTAAATTGAAGGAGGATGGCTGGAAAAATGGTTTTTTAAAAAATAATTTTCAGATAAACTAAAGAAGTTTGGAACTCTTATGAATTTTTGTAAAAAGTTTTCAATAATTCTTAATCTTCAAAAATTATTAGAACATGTTCAAGAAATCCCACGTTCATTCGAGCTCAGATTAACCAACTTCTAGATATATTTACACTCCTGGAATAATCAGTTTAATGAAAAAAATTGATAATTTTGAAGGGATATGGTTGGAAATTTGGTTTTTTTCATTATTTTAAGATCAACTAGGAAAAAAATTTGAACGCTTGTATAATTTATCTAAATGAATATGCTGAAGGTTAAAAAAAAATGTTTACTTGTTAGTATAAATCCTAGGATTTTTATTGTTGAGATTAACCAAGTTATAACTTTATATTCACTTCTGAAAACATCTATTTAATGGAAAAAGAGTTAAATTTGAAAAAAGATGGCTGAAATTTGGCTCTTTCCATAGCTTTGGAGTCAACTAGGGTAACTTTGAATACTTATAAACTTGTAGAAATGAATTTCAATCACTATGCAGTGTTTTAAAATTTTTATTATGAATGCTAAAATTTTATTGTTGTGATTAACCAACTTCTAGGCCTTTTTCATTTCTGAAACCGTAAGTTTCATAAGAAAAATGGTTGATTTGAAGGAAGATGGCTGGAAATTTGGCTTTTTTCATAATTTTGGGATACCGTTGAATACATTTGAACACTTTTCAACTTGTAGAATCGATTTTCAATCAAAAAGCTGGGAAAAAAATTAGAATGAAGCCTAGAATCGTATATTCCCGATTGACCAACTTCTAGGTCTTTTTTCAATCCAGGAAGCATACAATTAATTTTTAAAAAGTGGTTATTTTAAGGAAGATTATTGGAAATTTGACTTTTTTCTTGATTTTTGGGTCAATTGGGGCAACTTTTTGAACGTATTAAATAGTTTTCAATTTTTCTTAACCTTCAAAAATTGTTAAAATAAGTTTAAGACTTCTAGGGCGCTCTGGTTGACCAACTTCTAGTTATACAATCACTCCTGGAATAATTAGTTCAATAGGAAAAGTTGTTAATTTACGGGAAGATGGCTGGAAATTTGGCTTTTTTTATAATTTTGGGATAATGTAGAATACATTTGAACACTTTTCAACCTGTTGAATTGATTTTCAATCAAAAGGCTGAAAAAAAAATTAAATTGAAGCCTAGAATCGTATTTTCCTGATTGACCAACTTCTAGGTCTTTTTTCAATCCAGGAAGCATAAAATTAATTTTAAAAAAAGTGGTTATTTCAAGATGGCTGGAAATTTGGTTTTTTTATTTTTTTATAATTTTGAGGTTAACTAGACTAACTTTGAACACCTATAAACATATATCAAACTTCCCTATAAACCTATAAACTTGTCTCGATTAAAAAAAACAAAAAATTACAGGTCGGACTTTCGTTGGCCGCCTTGAGTGGATTCACGGCCTGTAGAGCGGTTATTCAACTTCCACTGGCTGGATGGGTCTGTTTTTTTTTTTTTTGATTTACTCAGGCTTGATTTTTAGTTAAAAAATGAGCGCTCCGTGGATAAAATAGTCAGGAAAATGTAGAAAAATCAGTTCTCGAATTTTGAATGAGTGCTTTTTTTCAAGTTTTTTGCGATGATACCATTAGAAAAGTTAGAATAATTCAAAAATCGACTTGAATTTGAGCAAAATTTTCCTCTTGGATTCTTTTTTCATAGTTTTTCATTAGTAATTTCCTTCCAGATCGTCTCAAGCGACGGCTGGCGAGGGATTTATTACGTTTTATCGCTCATTCTTCTGGCCGTCACGTTATTGTGGTATATATTGTACAGGTAAGAAAAATAGAACATCATCTTTTTTCTTTCGAAGAAAAAAAAATGAAAATAATTGAATTTCCTTGAAACAACCTTTTTTTAATTTTCCGTACAAAAAAATAAGTTTACTTACAAAATTTTTTGTTAGAAACTTATGAAAACTCTTCAGGTTACGTTATTTAGTTTAGATATCTTAAAAACAGATTTTTTTCATTGAGAAACTGGGAAATTTCCCGATTTTTCATGTGAGAACTTCACCAACAACAGAAAAAAAAGAAAAAAAATTCCAATGAAAAAAGACTTAAAATCGAAGTTTCTGCTTAAGGGACCAGCCGGAGAACTACAAACTAGTGACGAGCGAGGAATTGGCCGTGATCCAACAAGGAAAGCGGAACGAACCGAGAAAAACAAGTGTTCCCTTCAGGGTACTGTTCTTTTTATTTTACGGTACCTATCCGAATCATCTGGAGTCTTGAAAAAATGAAGACAAGTTAATATTGGCTGGATAGTTTGAATGAATAGTTTTTTTGCTCAAATTTAATATTTTCTAGACGTTAATTGGATTTTTACGAATTCAAACTTTAAGTGATGAGTTTTTTTGAAGAAAAATTTCTTAATTTTTTTTCTGATTTAAATTCAAGAAAAAAAGTCGATAATTGTGTATAATAAAAAAACAATGATTGATCGAAAGATTTTTTTCGGTAGGAATTTTTTTCTTAAAGAAGTTTGAAATTGCAAATAGGCTTTTCATAAGAAAAAAATGTATGTCCTGTTTTTTGAAGTTTTGGACCAAATGTTTTTGGTTTCTTAGGTGTTCATCAGATTTTAGGATTTTAAAAAAATTAAAAAAATCAAGTTTAGAGCATCAAATTGAGCATTAAAAACAACTTCAAAAAAACATTTTTTTTTGGATTGGTAATTTCCAAGTATACTTGAAAGGGAGGTCATTTTACTTTGCGGTTTGGGATTTTCTACAAATTTGCTCAAACAATCTCTGAACGTCTAGATGAAAATCCTTCAAGATCGCTCCCTGCACAAATTTCTAGTTTTTGAGATATGATTTTTCTAATTGCGAAAAATGAGTTTTAAGCCTAACTTTGCGACCTTTAAAACTGATTATCTTGAAAAATAGAAGCTGACGAGGGTTGCAACTTTGATGGATCTTCATATAAACCTTCAGAGATTGTTTGAGCAAATTTGTAAAAAATTTCAAGTTCTTCCCATGTTAGAACCTCCGAAATTAACAAAAATTGACCTTTTACAGAAAATCTTCGCTGATAGATACGTTTGGGCGGTCTGGTTCGCTGGATTTGCCGACATTTTTGCCTCTTTCGTCTTCCTTGTCTTTGGAGCACAGTACTATCATTACCTTGGGTTAGATGTGCAGGTCAGCCATTCCAAACATGATGATCTGACTCACAAGGATTTTTTAGGCGAACGCATGGTTGAACTCGGTGAAGGGTGTCCTCTTCCTGGTCGTCCGATTTTTGGTCGGCTTGGGATCCGACAAAATATCGTGGGTATTACGGTAGCTTGAAGGATACTGTAGTCTTTTTTGGAAATTCTGTGAAAATTTTTAGTGGCCACTATAGGGTTTTGACGTTTTAGCGGCCACTATAGTAGTCAAATTAGTGGCCACTTAAGGAGTTAAAAGTTAGTGGCCACTATAGAGGTCTAAGTGCTACTACTTGACCACTAAAAATTTTTGTGGCCACTTAAGGGGTCAATGGATCAACATAACTGGTCCAATCTGTATTTTTTGAAATTATCGGAGTTACTGGAAGGAATACTGGATGAAAAACTACTGAAGTGGCCACTAAATGGAGAACCTCTATAGTGACCACTAAAACGAAAAATAGTGGCCATTAGAAAGGTGCATTTAGTGGCCACTTTAGTGTCCTCTCCAAGTAGTCCATGGCGAGCCTCTATAATGGCCACTAAAAATTTTCCCCGATTTCAAAAGTTCAGCATACTTAGTAGCGCCAGAGTGACCCTAAAGGATCACCTCCATGGTTCCAAAAATTACCCCTCTAGGGATCACTCTGAGCGATTTCAGCTCTCAACCCCACGAAAAGAACGACTACAACACACCCAAGATATTCCTACAGTACCCTCCCTATTTCCAGATTCCTCAAAGAGAACACGAAGTTGCGGCTGTGCAACACGATCGCCCTGCAGCTTCCCGCGGTCTTCCTGATCATCCTCGGGTTCCTGCCACGACATATACCGTACCTCCACGTCCTGTCCATCACCATCTTCCAGGCCCTCTTCGGCTTCAACTGCGGAGGGTTCTACAAAGGCGGGGCTCTCATCTCAAGGTACTCCAGTGATCCCTTAAGGGTTCCACGAAGGGTTCTTGCAGACAATTCTCCTACATGGTCATCGGCCAGGTGCAGCTGTTCAAATCTCTGGCCGTCCTGATCGAGCCGCTCATTTTCTCCCTCATGGTCGCCTCTGCGAAGGATGATGGTGTGTTGGGAGGAGGATTCGCAGTGGGGCGCGTTTGATGCGATTTATTGGCTGCTTGTTTGATAAGCTATTGAGAGAGTTTCTGGCCTTTTTTGTGATAAGGAGATTAGAAAAAATTGATTTTTTAGATTTTTTTTCGTGACGAATACGGTCGTTTGAATGTACCATATTCAAAATGGGCTATTTTTTCATTGATCCAGCTGAAAATTGGTTCAAAATATGACAATTTTTGTGTTAGAACGTTGTTAAGAGGAAAAATGCTATAGTTACCACTTTGGCGTATAGAAAAGTTGAACGAATTATTTTTGAGAATCCTCGAACAGAAATTATCAGATTTTTGTTTATTAAATTCAAGAGTCCTGACCAGTTAGTGATTGGAAAAAGAAAAAAAATTGATAAATTTGAAAAATCCCGTTGGCATTTCCACTCGGACATTGGTAACGTGAAACAGACGTTTCTGAGAAATTCTAGGGACCACTTAAGAGGGTTGGGGCTGCTAAAGTGATCACTTGAACCGCCCCAACACTTGAGGTTGAGGCTGCTAAAGTGGTCACTAGAAATGCCCCGACACTTGCGTTCTGATTCTACTTAAGTGATCACTAGAAATGCTCCCGGTTTCCGTTATCAAAGCCCGAGCAATTTTTCAACCGAAAAATCCTTTATCAGTAGAGCGCATTTCAGCAAAATACCGTATGACTGCTTTGAACTGGAGTTATTTTTAATCATGTGTTTCCCCTGCAGAGAGCACCCACTGGGCGGCGTACTTTGCGGTGCACGCCGTCGTCCTGACGATCGCCAACACGATCTACCTGTTTCTGGCCAGGTCGGAGCCGTGCGACTTCGTCCGCGTCGTCAACGAAGAGAACCTCGCCGTGCAGGCCGAAATGAAGTTGGAGAAAACCTCGCAGCCGGCCTGATTCCGTTCTTTCTTTCAGTGCCAGTCCCGCCGCTTCCTAGCTGTAGAAATCTTCTTCCTCTCTTCTTCTCCGGGATCCGATGCGAATTTCAGAATATTGATCTTTTTCAGTGGTGACGTCATGAATAAGGTTTTCAGATGAAATCTGGCTATTTTTCGAGTTTTTGAACGGAAAAGTGCTCAATAACATGACATCCTATATCAAAAAATAAAGATTTTCGGGTGAACCTTATAATTTTTCAATTAGCGCTAAAAGCTCACATACATATATTTTACGTCACTCAATTTAAAATGACGTCATCACCAAAAAAAATACGATTCTGAATATCCGCACCAAAATCAATGAACACAGGAAACCACAACGGGAACAATCTTTGTTTTATCTTTTTTTTTTGCCTCAGTATCCTCTCTCAATTCACTGAGCATCGACTATCCCCCATTGCTTTTCTTAAACGTGCAAATCAAACGGATCCAACCCGTCCTTGTATCATTTCTGTACTTTTTCGGCCCCAACCTGTAATTAACGAGTCCATTTTACCCCCATATTTTTTGCTGGATTTGGAAGTTTCGAGAAAAACAACCGAATCCAGCCCCAATCGATCGACGACTAATTATTATGTGTAATTAGCGAGAATCTTAACGCAATTCCATACAGGTTTCCTTCTTGTTTGAATTTTTTTTTGCTTTTCTCACCATGTTGATAACTGTTGTTATTGTAATTATTATTTATATTGACTATCTCTTGGCTTCTCACTGCTTCTTTTTTTCTTTGATTGTTTTTTTTGTAATTGTATAATTGATGAATAAAACTTTGATGATTCAGGATGAATAATTTTAGACGAAAATTTGAAAGTTTCATTGACATTACTTCGCCGTGTAATTCACAACAATGAATCGATGGGAATATTTTGGTAAACAGCGAGAACTTAATGTTGAATGTCCTAATTACTTTTTTTAATTTTTCAGATCAGTTAATCGAAATTAATCTTTTTAGTCAAGCTGAAAAAAATACTGTTGACTGAAAAAAATGAAAGAGCAATACTCTTGTTAAATTTATTGTTCCTGGAATAAGGAATTTTCTGTCGTTTATTGAGATTTGGAGACGTTCAGAACCGTTGAAATCAATTTCATTGAGAAAATCGCAGTTGTAAACATCAATTGCCCCTTTTCAGAAGACCTTGCCGGGAATTTTATGTTTTGAATATACGTTTATAGTTGAATAAATAGAATTTGAGAAAAAAAAAATAAAAAGAAAAACACAAAAAAATAAGGAAAAAAATTTTTGAATTAAAAACCGAGGTCGTCTCACGGCGTTCCAAAAAGGAACTCGCAAGCGAGCCGATGAGGCGTGTCATTTTACCGCGCCCTTGCGTTCGTTGGAGCGTACTTGCGCAACAGAATTTTTTTTTTGTAAATTCACAATTTGTTAAAACTTCGTTTTTGACTTTTTCTGAGACGTTTCGATTAAATTCAGAGTATTTTTTTGTGATTATCATGATGTCCATGAAATAGTGGAAGCTTTCGAATCAAAAAAAAGCAATTAGATGAAGTTTCACTGGAAATTATCCGTATAATTGCTTCTCAGCCTTCAAATCGGTTTTACGAAAAATTTTCAGCTACAAGCCTATGGTATTTATTGTTTGAAAGATGAAAGAATGATAGTGAAACGTAAAACAAAAAAAGTTGAATGAATGTTGTTGAGAAGTTTTGACAAAAATCACATAGAATGATAATGGAAAAACGCTCATTTGCTGCGATCTTCGCAGGTGTTCTTTAAAAATTTTTCCAATTCTCTAATTAACCATGTTCTTTTGAATAAACCTGTGTGAACATTTTCAGCCATCAAAATAAAAGATTGACCGACATACCACAAAGTTTTAGTCTTTCGCGCGGAACACCCAAAATTTGACAAGATTCCATGAAATTCAGTTTAAAAATCATTTTTGCCGGCAAAGATTTTTTTGAACAATTTGAGATTGTAGAAAAACTCATTCTGCACATGAATCAAGCAGAAAGAAGTCGAATACATGGCATGAAAATTAAAAACTCGCGAATTATCATTTTTCTTTTTTCCTCAACTAATGCGGTAAACGGCAGAGGAGCGACATGACACAACCAACTTATATGAAGTCAGAGCTGACGAACAATATAAACACAGACGTAACACTCAGAAATGAAAATGTAAAAAGTAATAAGGTTTTGAATTCCCAATACAAAACTAAACCACGCCCAGTTTTCTGCAATTGAGGCGCGGTACTTTCTGCCTCATTTTTCTCCACTGCGAGGTTCCCTTTTGAAACGCCGTGAAGTTTCAGTATGAAAATAAACCGATGGGGCTTGAAATTGCGCTTAACATAATGAATACAAAACCAAAAAAATTTTTTTGTTTTCTTTTTTTAATTCAATTTTAATTCAATTTTTAGGATAATCGAAAGGGCGCCTGAATAACGCAAACTATGCAAATAAATTAGATCAACGGATCGATGCTTATTTTTTCATCATGCGGAAGTTTCAGGTTAGTATGAAGTTTTTTTTTTCATTTTCTTTTTCCATTGCAAACTTTCGAATGATTTTCCAAATGGCTTCCAAGAGGTGTGGCCTATTTGCCAAAGAACTTTCAAACCGATCTTTTTCGGCAGGACGACGTCACTGTCTGTGACGTTATTTTTTCGAAAAGATACAACATTTTGTTGAATTTTGAATGGCTTCCTTTCCCAGGGAAGAAAAGTAGCGACAGTTGGACAAATAAGAGCCTTTTGTTGCGAATTTCGACAATGGAGAACGCCGTTCACAGATTGTATGGTCCGCATTATAAAAGGCCTTTTAATGCACAGTTCTGGAGCAGTTTTCTTGGAAAATTTTCCTATGAATACTTTTTTTTTTGATTTATCAGAGCTTCTTTCTAAAAGTAGTACGCTTTTTTGGATGATTATTTTTTTTCTAAGTAGTTTTTCTAGGTATAAGAAAGCCTTTTTTCGAAAATTAGTATGATTTTTTTTTAATCTGAAGTTCTAAAGCTCCTTTTTAAGCCGTGACTTCCAACCCGGACACGTCAGTATTCAAATTTCCAAGCTATATTCCAGTTCTTTCACCTCAAAACTTATGCAAATCCGTTATCATTCGGTGCAAGCCGGTACAAGTTTCACCTGGGGTCGGATTTACATCGAAAATATTGCAATTGTTTCTCTCTCGATTGGAAAAAGAGAAATTTTGAATTCGAACCCGGCCGACCTCTTATAAAAAGCGGCCGATTTGCTTTTTTATTCGTCTGCCATCGCCCCGACGACCGTTATTTTTGCCCTGTTTTCACTGTTTTCACTCATTTTTATGGCCTGACACTGAATCATCCTTTTTTGGAGCACTTTTTCGATAGTTTTGTTTGAAAGTTTGTAGGCTAGGAATTTTAGACTTGAAAAATTTTGAGGTTTCAGGACGGGGGTTTAAAGTTTCTGGATAACTTCTTATCGTTGCCTTTTTTTAAATCTCACTCTTTATAAGTTGTATTCTTAGAAATTCCAGAGTGGTCCCTATAGGGGCCGAAAAAGAGGTCTCTATAGGGATAAAATTGAGCTCAAGTGGTCCCTATAGGGGTCTTTCAATTTCATTCAAAAAACGCTAATTTATTCATTTTTTCCCCATGGTAATGCTTCTTCGCTCAGAGTTCATAACAATCATCGAATCCATAACAATCATGTCCCCTATAAGGACCACTTTTGCAAGCTTTAGTGGCCCCTATAGTTGTTGGTAATTTCGACCCTCCGAAGAGCCCTAAGGGTACCCTATAGGGACCTCTCTAGATTTTTTTCATCGATTTTGGAAGGTTCAAGGAACAAAATAAGTATTTTCTGAAGAATAGTTCACTCAAAGGTGGCTCATTAAACCCACAGAAACCCCCAAAAAGTCTCGGTTCAAACCCAACAGGAACCGGAAAGCTCTTGAAAGGTTCTGACTCACACTCAAAATTCCATTGATTTATTTGTTTGCTTTTCCAAATGGGCGGGTTACTGTAGCCGGTTATTGTGCACTCCGCCCCGTTTCCGGTCTTGCCGGCCACTTTGGGGCTCCATTCAAAAAGCTATTAAAGGTATTTTCATACGAATTTGCTCTTCATTTTCAGAGTTTCGATCTTTGAAAAATAAAATTATCTTACTGTACAGACTTTTTTTAACTATTTAATGAAATATGTATATAAATATGTAACAAGCTAACGGTAAATCGACATTCTTTCGCAAAATCGAATTGATTTTAAACAGTTTCTTATAAAATTTTCAGATAAAACTGTAAAATCATCTATAAAAAAAGTACCCTAGATTGTGTTTTCTAATGCTGTCTCACCATTATCTCACTCTCTAATTCAAACTTCGAACTATTCATAAAATATGACGTCATTCTCAAAAAATTAACTTCGATCCCTCCTTTTTTATATTTTCCCGAAATCCTTCATTTTGAATTTTCTCTCCTCTCTCTGGTTCTCTTACACTCTCTCATCCAGGCTAATTTCTTTAAAATCTAATTTTCTCATCTTGAAAAAAGTACAAAGAGTCCGTAAGGACGGGAAAAATGGTTAGTGGCCACTTTAGGATTTAGACTTCCGAATGGCCCCACTAGCAATCGAATTAGTGGTCACTTAAGCGCTAAAAATGAAGTGACCTCTTTACAAGTCCACGTGCTACCACTAGACCACTAAAAACTACTATAGTGGATTCTATAGAGGTGGTTTCAGTGGCTACTTTAATGGCCTCTTCAAGTAGTCCTTGAAGAACCACTCAAGGGGCCTCTAGAGCTTTTCCGAGTAAGCCTAACGTTTCTTACAAAATAAAAGAAATAAAGTCCGTTCAGATTTTAAATGTCAAGTAGAATGACGTCATTCAAAAACGCTCTGTGGATGGCTCGCTCTCTGATTGGTTTAGCGCGCTATTAGGGGGCGGAGCTTGACTTGAAATTCAAAATCTGAACTGACTTTAACGAAAAAATGACGTACAATTTGATTGAAATTTTTTTCCTCTTTCTATAATCTCTCTATCTTTCGCCTACTCTCTCTCCAAAATTCCTCCGCTCATTCACCTTTGAGATGAGAAATGCACTCTCATGCTTTACAGAAAAGTCTCCAAAAATGACGTCATCGACGATGATCGCTCTGACTCTCTGCGTCCTCTTCTCTCTAGCCGGTGCGTGTCACAGTGAGTTTTCACCAGCCAGATGCAGATCACACTACACACACAATTTGATCACATTTTCGTTTTTCTTTTCAAATTCCCTTTTTGTTCGATTTCACTGAGCTTCTCAAGCGTGTACAAGCCATTCATCACTGTTAAAAATGCCTGACCTGTCTGCACTCTCTTTTCTCTAACTTTAGCAGTTCTAGAGAATGACAGAGAGAGCGAGAGGGTGCAGACAAGCTAGACTGTTGCAAAATGAAGCCATTAAACGTGTGATTGTGTGTGATGCGAACTAACTGGCTGGTGAAAGCATATTTTAATCCAACTTTTCGGTTTCCTCAATTTTTTTGTAGCCTTAAAAACCCAGCAAAATTTAAGATCTACCGTACGCCCAATTTGTTGGCGCTAGGGCGTACATGCTACAACAACGGATGGAGTGCAAAGGCTCAAAAGTTTACGATATCGCCAATGTTCAGGTTTTTTTTTGAAATTATTACTTTTTCAATAGCACTGCTACCATTAGGAAAAAGAAGGAATGAAAATAAATTTGAAATGATTTAAAAACGTGGGATGGATACGTTTCAGTAATGCTTTATAATCTGTCCTTTTTTGATAAGGTGTTGGTTTGTGACAAAACTTGTCTTCAAAAAGAAAAAAAAACTGTATATTGAAATATACGGGTCGCATGTTGAATGGCTCAACGCGACGCGGTCCCGCTTGTCCTACTGCTTCAAGCTCTTTTATAATTAGGGGGCGCAAAGCCCCGCCCCTTCACGCCACCAAAATGACGATTTTTTGTTGCAAAAACGGTTTTGAGGCGTTTATACTAGCTAAAGTCCCACTTTAAAAATGAACTGCTTCTGTTAATCTATGTAATCGACAACGCTCTACAGGGCTGAAAAACTTTTAAACTATGTATTTTTCAAAAATAAGCGAAAAAGTAAGATTTAACACGAAAAAAACTGACAAGTTTCACAAAATCGTCGCGTTTCTGAAAAGCAAGTGAGGAACGCTTCCGAATTTTGAGTATGTTATATATTAACACTTTCTTTATTTTTTTTGAATAAAAAAATTAAAAATCTAACGACGCGAAAAATCGAAGCTTGTAAAGTGACACCAAACTTTGAAGCTGAAATGCGAAAAAAATTTCAGCGACATGGTATACTTTTTATTTGATTTAAAAAAACTCACAATGTGCTCACAAACAAAAAAATTCAAAAAAAGAAAACAATTATTGGGACAGCGAATCAAATTATATTTGAGTTTTACCAAAACCTCCTTTTTTTTCGCCTGCCTCGTTGACGCATGAGAGAATAGGATCGCGTCTATACTTTTTGCTTATGTTATTAAGCGTTCAAAACTCTATCAATGAAAAAATTATGAAAAAAATCAAACGACGCGAAAAAAATAACGGCTTTGAAAACCTCGAAAAAATAGCAATTTTTTTTGAAATTTCGGAAGATTTCGTGCAAGTGTCCGTAGCAGTGTTTGCGTCAAACACACCGATGCGCACTTTTAAATGTCGCAGGAGCCGTTTTTTTCGGAGTCAAATTGCACTTTTTTTCCTGTTTTATTTCGAAATAACATTATTTTTTTTCATTTTTTTCTTTTTTTCCAAACCAAATGATAATAATTTTTTTCTGATTAGAAAAAAGAAAAAAATAAGCTGAAAATTCCTTCTGACCTTTTTTTCTAAGTAGTTTTTTTGATATTTTATTAAAAAAATCCTTATGAGGATTGTACAAAAGATTCATACCAAAACATGAAGCTTAGTTCGGACAACCTCTCAAAACAGAAAACCGATTCGAAAACGGTTCAGAAATGCGTAAAAACATTTAAAAAGAAAGCGTGCGGCAGCGGGTAAACCGTGAGATTTTGCCTCCAGTTGTACGCCGCGCGCGCTAGTTTTTTGGCCATAACTTTTTTCTTAGTGGAGCTTTTTTCTAAAACTGAACGGATTATGAAAATGGACAGTCTCCTCTATCGAACAGTGTAAAAAGCATATTTTTGGATCGTTTTGAAGAAATGGCTTGCGGACCCTATTTATAATAACCCGCGAAAGTCGTTTCTGGTCGGGTGCGCTTTAAAGAAGACCGTTTTGATACCGTGACACATTAAGCCATTCCACGTGCGGCCAAAATGGAAAAAAAAATTTCCGAATAAAAAAAGTTTTTTTTGAGGCAGTGATTCTATTAAGCTTTTCAATGTGATCTATCATTTTTTTTTTTGAATATCTTCGAGTATTTTTGGCATGCTATAAAGTACGGGCTTTTACAAAATGCGACCGCTTTTTTTGTGCTTCACTGCAAATTAATAAAATACGGGCGTTTCTCAATTTTATCTCTTTCACTTTTTCCGGCACTTTTTCTCAAATTTTTTTTTTCTTTCTATCGTTTCTTTTGAAAAAAAAATATTCAAAAAACGAAATTAATGAACTCATTGGGAGAAATTTTTCTTCAATTGCTCACACAACTTAGGCTTCTCATTAGGAGCTTTTAAGAACGATTTCATACAGTTTATGAATCTGTACTAAACCTGAAAAAAATGAAAAAAATTGACTACGTGAAAAAAATAAATCTTAAAAAAACTCTTTAATAAAAATATTATACTATCAAAAATCCAAAAAAGACATCATCTATACGGATCAGAAAGCTATCGAAAAAAATTAGAATTTCGTTTAATTTTTAAAAAAATAATGAATATTCCAAAAAAACACGCGTATTTTATAAATTTCCAGTGGAGCACAAAAAAGGCGGTCGCACTTTAAAAACGCCCGTACTTTATAACATGCCAGTTTTTTTCGTCAATCCAAAAAGCATTGTTATCTCGATTTAATGAAGAAATTTTAAAGCTTTTTATGAAACAGGGATGTCGGGAAAAATTCAATTTTTTTCAGGACATTGAGCAGTGCAAGGAAGCGTGTCGGCAGTTCGACTGCGACGCCGTCAATCTTTTCCAGGTTTTTTTTAAAATTTCGCAACCGACCTGATACGAGTTGCGCTCGTTTCGGAAAGCGATAGGAATAGGTAGAGAATTTTTTAAACAACTTCTTTTGGTGATTAGAAACCAGAATCGCTCCAAAACACTTTCACGCGACTGGTAGCGGTTTTCGCGTTTTCACACTCTCCAGTATAGAACTAGAATATAGGACCATCCGCGCTAGCTTGTCACGTTTTTCTTTCCGCCAAAAGGTCAGGTCAAATTTAACCAACTTTCGCTTCAAGACCTTTGTTTCTTGCCGTTAGAAACGCAGAAATTTGATCTAATTTGGTATGCGGTCTTTTTGGCGGGAAGAAAAACGTGATAAGCTGGCGCGGAATAGGCCATATCTGTTCATCAATAAAAACCTACGCTTTTTTTTGATTTTGTATTTTTTTTTTTTTGAAAGAGTAATGATGACCAAGTTTTATGAACTCTCAATAATTTATCGAAATGTCTAGTTTCTGGTGATAAATGCAAAAATTGAGGTCGGCGAGTTCTCTTTCCGATGTGAAGTCCTGGAGACGGTCTACTCGATGAACCCCGCCCAAGGAGCCGCTTGTTACTACGCCCAGGACGCCATGAATGGTGATTTATCCGACTTGAGTTGAAATTATAGCTGATTCACGGCCAGCTTGGGACGCTAAGGGGGTGTGTCCTCTCTGCGCTCTCCACGAGCCAGGCACTATCTCGTGCATTATCGTGTCAGGACCCTTTTTTCGATGGTTCCGTGAATCAGCTGTACTTGAGCTGATACCACTTTTTGAACTTCTTGGGATAAAAATATGCATCCCCAATATCTTATCCTGATCGGGATACCCGGAAATACTAACTAGGGATCGTTCCCCCCTGTTGAAATTGAAAAAAATTTGATGAGACTTCGCTGAAGTATACTTTAGGACCTCCTGATTCCAGAATAAGAAGAAAAATTTATAAAACGTTCAAAAATTTTTTTCAAATACTGTGGATTCTATTCGTTATCAAGAGGAATGCTTTGAAAGCAGAAAAAAATCAAACTTCAGAACACTTTTTTTATTGAAAAAAATTCTTCAAAGACCGGAAATTTAGACTTTTTTTAGAGTCTGATAAATTATAACAAATAATTTTCGAATAAGCTCGAAAGTCGCATGATGGGCCCTGAAGGGCTTTTTTTCTTAAAGAAATAATTAAAAATCCAGCTTCTAAGCTTCAAAGAAACGAAAAAAATCGAATGGAAACATTCTTTTTTTTTGAGCCTGCATATTTTTAAATGATGAACATAGGATGATTTCTTTAAAAAGTAAAAAAATAAATTGCTATAGATTAAATTTGAATAATCAAATCTTAGATTCCTGTTTCAACGAAATAATTCAAAAAAATATTTTTTTAAATAATCGTTTCATTTATAGCATCATCCGGAAAAATTGTGAAATTCGACTTTTTTTCTAAAATATACCTCAAATGAGAAAAAAATATATATTGTCAATTAGAGTGCTATAGTTCAAATTATCCCCTTTTTTTGCCAAAAAAATCAAAAAAATTATTATCGGGAAAGATATCGAAACCGAACCGTTATGTTTTTTTGGCGCGTAATTTGAAAAATTGAATAATTTTTAAGGTAAGTTCGATTTTTTTAAAAAAAGTTTGATTATCCGTAAATAGTATTGAAACGGCAGCGAGCACTTATCTGTAATTTTTTTTGGCGCGAAATTTAAATTTTTCATAAATTGAACCATATATTGTGGCCACTAAGTTTTAACCCCTTAAGTGACCACCAATTTGACTACTATAGTGGCCACTAAAAATCTTCCCAGTAAGTCCGATTTAAAAAATCATTTTCAGGAGGTTACGGAAACGGCCTCGGCGGCTTTGGCGGCTACAACGGCTACTTCGGAAAGAGGAGATAAATCGGTAAAAATAGTTATTCAAATCGTCAAATCGATTTTTTTTTTCAGATCAGAATCCCCGACGTTTTTTCATCCTGTCACATGACATGTACATAAATTGTTCAAAAATCAATGAATCTTGAGAAAAAATAAAATCTTTGTTTTATTGGCTACACGAAAAAGCGAGAAAGGGCCTTCCTTGTGCCGTAGCTCAGTTGGTAGCGGCTTTGACTGCTGATCCAGGGGTTTCTGGTTCGGTTCTCCAACTGGTCATTTAATTTTTGCCGCGGTTCAAAAAATCTCTAGTTTCTCTAAATATTCTCAAAAGAGTTCCTGTAAAAAGCCATGGGCTTAAGAAAAATTCAAAAAATGTCTAAATTACAAAAAAAAAACCTTGGCTCAACTGGTTAAGCTTTAAGCTATCACTCAGAAGTCATTGGTTCGACTCTTCCAAGGATTTTTTCAGTTATATTTTTTTCAAGGCTAACAGGCTATTAAAAAAAATCGATTTCACGTGAAAATCCAAAAAAACAGAGAAAAAAAGATTCATCGATTCATCGAACACACGATTTGATCGCGTGGAATCACAGACACTATCCAGAAGAAGGGAGGATAAAAAATATACACAAAAAATGACAGAAGGCAGAAATTCAAGAAGAAAAGGGGTGGAGCTATACATGAAAAATGCCGGGAAACAATCAATTATGCCCAAAAGATCGATAAAAAGAGACAGAAAAGAATTTTCATTTTGAAATTAAAACTAGAGATCTGCAAAAGCACTGGGCTACACAAAGTGAATTCTGGGGTACTATTTTATCATGGAGAGGTCGTTATGTCTTCATAAAAACACGATTTTTGGCATTAGTAGATAAATTAGAGGAATTTCGAAGAAGAAAGGAGGAAAAAGGCGTGGCTGGGTAGAGAGTGTGGGAAGAGGAGAGACGGTCAGACATAACGAGTGATCATTATGTCTTCTCTTCTCTTCGATTCCCATGCTCTCTGATCTTTCCGGTCATTTTTGGTTTTAGTTGGCTTGGAATACAGTCCAAACGTTTAGATCAGGAAAAAAAAGTTTTTGAGGCTAGGAAAAACTGAGAGAGTACGTAAGAAAGAGAAAGCGGGCAGACACATCGAATAATTGTATATTTCAATGCGTCTCCACGTTTTCCACGCTCTCTAGCCTTTCCGAAACCTTTTTCAGCTTTAAATTAACTATTCGCCTCGCAAAAACATGCTGTTTTCTCACATATATAACTCAAAAAAAAAGTTATTTTTTAATTCGGAGTTTGACTTTTTTTAAAAATAATTGTACCATATCATTTTTCCAAAAAATCTCAAAAACAAGCCACGCCCACCCTCCAAGCTTCAAGTAACACTTATTGAGTTAACGATGGGGATTTACAAAACATTTTTGAGCGTTGGAAGGTAATTTTCATTTCAAAGCCCTCCGATTTCCTCGATTTCCTCGTGATCCCGGCCAAGTGTCCTGTCCGTAGTTTCATCATCCGCGTCGATCGTCGCGATATGGCCATTGTGGTGCCCGTTTTGATGTAGAAGTTCCTGGAATCGATGAAAGTTCAAGGAAAGCCTTATTAAAGAAGACAAAGCGATGCGGTGCTGGGAAAGAGAAGCTGAAGCGATCAATTAAAGCCGCTCATAAAGTTTTTTTTTTTCAAACCCGGGTATGCGTTTCGAGTTGAAACTTTAGTGGTTTATAGACCCAAGTCAGAGAACTTGAAAACAAGAGATAATATCTGTTAAAACGCGATAAAGAACTGAGAAAAAATTAGAAGAAAATGTGAAAATTAGGCTTGAAAATTTTCAGAATATTGCTTTCTACTTTATTTTATACTTTAATACAATCTCCTTGAATGATCCGGCTATGATAAACTCTAAAAAACTTTTCCAGCCAAAAGAAGTAGAAAAGCAGAAATTTGATAATTTTCAAGTCTAGGTTGTTCATTTCCAAAAAGCTTTTTCTCAGAAGCCTATGGGGTTTAGCAGATAATCTCTCTTGTTTCCAAGTACTCTCACCCGGGTCTATAAGCCACCAAAGTTTCAACTCGAAACGCGTACCCGAGCCCGAGTAGTTCCCTAGTCAGAAAAAGTCCTTGAAAAGGTCCCCAGCAGATCTTTTTTATATCATTTGATTTCTTTTTTGCATCTTTTTCACATCCTCTAACAAAAAGGATGCTGGAAAGCTACTAAAAAGATTCGAGAGGATTCAAAAAGGATTCTCCGAGGCTATGAAAAAGGAGCTCAAAAGCTTTTTTACATCATTTTAGGAGCTTTTAGAGGAAGCTTTTTATCTTCCTCTCAGGATCTTTAAGGACCCTCAAAGGAACTTTTCCGTTTTACCAATGAGTCTATTAATTCACCTTGAAAAAATATCATGGATATAGCGACAAACTGAGCCAACGAAAAGCCGAGAGAAGCGAGAAGCAAACCAAAAAAGTGAGCAGCAAAGGGAAGTTGAAGTGGAAACAAACTGACGAAACTCACAATCTCCTCCGCGGAGGACTGTTCCTTGGTGCGCGATTGGAAGCGTTGCGCGATGCCGCGAATTATGCTTCCCGGGAGTTTTTGGTGCTCGCGGATCAGCGATCGGACCTCCCGTTTGATCGCTCTTCTTACCTAAAAAAAATCATCTTTGAACTCAAGGGAAGGTATCTTTTGAAACTAAAAATTCATGTTTTTGTTATTTTTTTCTCTTTATTTAGTTCATCACCGAGAAAAATATTGAGAGGAGTGACCATATAAAACAGAAAAATTATACGAAATTCAATCCGAAAAAGACAATTTTTTTCTGTACAAGTCTGATCGCTATCAACTAACTTTAATCAAATTTATCACTCTAACTTTTTTTCGATACCTACTTTAAAAAATAATGAAATTTCTTAGTTAACATGATAAGGAAGATCGTTTATTTTTTGGATTGGGAATTTCCTAAAAATCGGCCAAAAACTCTTTGATGTCCCAGAAGATGATACTGAACGTCTCAATCTGCTAAAAATCCTAGTTTTTGAAAAAAGTCTACCTCAAAGTCATAGAAACTCTCAAACTCCGTTAAAATGAGCTATTTTGAAGCTTTGAGTCCTTATTTATCGAAAATTAAGAAGTTGTGAGAATTTAGGCTTTTAGAACCTTCTTCTGGTACGTCAAAAAGTTGATGGAACACCATAGATGGGCAAATCAAGGACTTATTCAGGCCGAGAGAAAGATTTGGCTCACAAAAGTTCCCAAAAAATTAGAAATAAAATCAATTTTCTACCTCAGGGAGGTAGTTTCGGCCACACTTACAAGTTTTAGCTTCCGGAAGTAGCATCGACTTTCATTTAGAAAAACTTGGGAGAAGGGGTCGGAGCCCTTGAAAAATGGACTGCCCAAGTATGTGGACCAATTTTCAGGAAATTCCCAAGCGAAAAGTAAAATGAGCTCATTGTCAGACCCTTCTCAAAAATGAAAAGATTGACCTCCTCCGGAGTGACATTATCGTAGTCGAAAGTGAGGGGTTTTCCGAGATGAGTGACCATTTTGACAGGGAATCCGCCGTAGATTGGGCAGAGTGGGATTTTGGTTTTCTCGTAGATCCAACGGAAGAAAGTCCGGCCCCATTCCGGGGTCCGGAAGGATTCCCGACAGTTTTCCGTGAACATCGGAATCACCGGCTGGAAATTTTTGTATATTTTGATTTTTCAGTTTTGAAGAAGTCTTCAAATAGTTCATCATAAAAACAGCTTTCATAAAAAAAACTTCTTCAAAGTCAGGCTTATTTTACCTCAACGGCTGAAAAAAATGCACTTGAAAATAATAAGTTCTCAAGTTAGGACCTTATATTTCGTCATCAAAATTTCTTCATTTTTTTTGAATTTGAATACAAAATATCTTTAAAATTCTACATAACTTTTATTAAAAAACACTAACATGAAAACACCCTTTTTCGTTAAAAAAAAAGAACTCTGATTATTCAAATTTTTGTTACAAATTGTTCATTTTCAAACAATTCCACTTTAAAAGAGAAAAAACTGACCGCCCTGCTGCCGATGACGACTTTGGCGAAGCCTAACCGTTTCCCCCACAAGATATCATAGACGTTTGGATCAGAAAATAACGCTTCTCTGACTCCTAAAAAATTAGAATAACGAAAAAAAAAGATCGATTTATTGACTTTGGAAAAAAAAACCTCTAGATTACGTCTCTCATTTCTCAAGAAAAAAAATTTTCAATTTTCATTTATTTCAAAAAAAACCCCCCTATGACTACAATTATAAGAAGACTTCGTAAAAAAACAAGAGAAACTCAGAAAATCAATTTATACTTTTCTGAAGGCTTAATGTATTTTTTTAAGGAAAAATCTCTCTCAATATCAAATTCAGCTTCTTAATGATTTTGTACACATCCTAAAAATCAAAAATTAAAGTTTTATGGAAAGCTTGAAACTTTTCGAAAATTCTAAGGAAAGTAACATCTTTCAGGGGAGCTCTGAAAAATGAATGATCGAATAAAAAGCTACCTCCAGGCGCAATACAGAGCAAATGGCCGTCTTTGAGTTGCGCGGTGCACTCTTCGACGGTTCCCGCCATTATTGAGAACATTTTGCAAAGGGGTCTCCAACCTAGAAAAAACCAAAAATTCAATAAAAAATGCAGATAACAACCTAAAACTGTAGGAAAAAATTTCTTATTGACTTCTAGTAATTTTTTTTCAGCCGCTCGCCAGCATCCGAATATCCGAAAACACTTTCAATTCAAACTTTTTTTCACTGTCAGATATGCTTATAAAAACACAGACGTGTGCTAAGAGCACTTTTAATCCTGTCGTCTAAAATTCGTTCTAGATAACCTGAAAATTGATCAGATCCTATATTGTGATCTTTTAAAAATAAATGCATTGAAACCAGATCGAAAATCGAATTTTAAAATGAATCGGAAGGATGCACCGAGCGGGTTAGCCCACGTATGGGACTATATGAGTCTACCTCACCAGGGATCTTGAAGATGAACTTGTCGCCGACGCAGTGCAACGACCGTTTCTTGTGGATGACGAGTTTGGAGATGAGGTAGTAGACGTCGAGGGGAAGGCATCCGTGGTAGTAGATGAACAGCGCCGCCCCCTCGTCCGGCACGTTCTCCAGTCCGTGTAGCTCGTACCCTGGAAATTCCGAATGAAAAATGCGAGCTAACAAGGGAGGTCATTTTATTTTCCGGTTGGGAAATTTCTGAAAAGTGAAATCTCTTACCTGCACGACTACATATTTTTCCAGAGTTTAGGGCTCAAAGTCAACAAAACCACTCAAAATCAGTTAATTTGGAATTTTGAGTCCCCATAATTCATAAACTAGAAAAGTTGTGGAGCTCTAGGCTTTCTTTAACAACTTCCTACTTTAAAATCAGGCTTCAAAACTCAAATCGATAATTTTATAGCCTATGACAAAGCTGGATTTATACTATCCGTCGAAAAATCAAAAAACCGAAACCAACCATGCCAAACAGAACCGACACCGTCCCAAAACGACGCGATTGCTACCCGTGCGCCGTTCCAATAACTGCAAAATTCAGGATTTTGTTCCAAATTCCGGGTGATGAGATCAAAGTTCAAACATACTTGGCTGAAAAAATATGAAAAACTCGGAGATTCGTTTGAAAAAAAAACCCAACGGCTTCTAGTTAATAAAAACTCTTCAAAAATTATTCTACGCAGTCCGTTTGTTATATAAAAACCTGTTGCGAAATGGAATAAAATGGATTTTAACCTGTTCATTCAGAAAAATAATTTCAAAAAAATCGAAAGGATCAACTTCTTTCTGCTTGTTAAACATCTTATAAAAACCCATGAAACGGAAAAACGATTCAAAAACGGTTTTCGAGCACAAAGTTATAAAAAAAAAATATTTGAAGAAATTATTGAAAAAAAAAAATGAGATAATCGAAATTCCTGAGTCTGAAACAACATTAAGCATGGGCCGTCTAATTTTTGCAATTTTTTTCTTAAATTTTTCAGCTTTTTTTAAAAAATTCAACAAATGATTTGAATTTGATAACTTATTTCTCGAAGATTTCCTAGGCATTCTAGAACCGTCCCCCACTTAGCACTATGGAAGAGATAAGACCCCCACCTTCCCCTCTCTCTTGGTGAGAAGCTCGTTCGGACTTGGGGGCGATTCTCGAATTTTCCCAAATTTCTTCAATAGGAAACTTCAAAACTGACCTCGTATGATAAGCTTCACGGATCTGATGCCTCAGACCGTAAATGTGCAGGAAAATGACACATCCGTAGATGAAAAAGACGAGGAAGATGGGCAAAACGAAGACGATTATGAACGGCAACAGAAGCCATAGCAGGTACTGTAAAACAATCGACATGAAGAAACAAGTTGATTGAAATATCTTCGCCCAAAGATATTTTTTCTTTTTCTGATGTAAACTTCTTGAATTCGAATCTCACCGATTTGAAATTTGATGACCACAGCGAGACCAAAATGCTCTTAATCAATGTACTACTCCATGCATACTTGATTTTTTTCCAGATTTATTGTACCTCGGGGACAAACTCGACGACGGAACGCACCCACGGCACGGCATCCAACCATTCATTCATTCCACCATTTGGGCTATTTATTTTTCCGAGAAGCTCAAAAAGTCTTTGTGAGTAAGAAAAGGATCGAGAACATGAGGCAAAGCAACGAAAAAGAATGTATGAAAAAAAAAATTTAGGATTCGATTTATTTGAAAAATCGCGGTATCAACGGTTAAAAAACCAATTGAACTCAAGCTTGATGATTTTACAATTTTAAAAAAACTTAAGAATCTGAACTGCTCCTTTTTTCAAGGAAACAGTTGATAAAATAGAACAGGAAATGATATGAACCTTCAAAGTAGAAAAAAAAGCGGGTTTCCGATTTATTTTAGTTGAACAGAGCTTTAAAAGGATAACTGATGGAAAAAAATATGATTTAATAACATATTTTCCAGCAAAAAAAGTTTCAAAAACAAGATGTAGAGTAAAAAAAGAAAGAAAAAAAGACTCGGAAAAAAATTTTTTTCTTTAGAATTCTATTTGAAATTATGATTATTTTTTTATACAAAAAAAGGATTCTGACAAGACTAAAAAAATGAAAAAAATTGTAGGGAAAAAAAGATACCAGTGCTAAGAAATCACCATTAAAGGCATAGGGGCAGTAAAAAATGGGGTTTCAGGTGAAAGCAGTATCTTATACAGTTTTTCTTTGCGAATCGAATGGTGTACTCAAAAAAATTACAGATGTGACAATTTTAGAAGAAAAACGCGATTTTACTTTCCCGCCTTCAATTTTGAAAAAAGCTTTGGATCGGTGCTCAGACAACTGTTTACAGTAGCCGTGCACGCGATGTTGCGGACGTCTCATTAGACTCGCCTTTTGTGAGAAATAACCGGATTTCTGATTCAAATTAAGGGTTTCTTCTCTGAAAAATCGATCAAGAAATCAGAAAACATACAATGATAATAAAGAAAACACAAATAATTGCTATCCCAATCGAAACCTGTGTAAAATCATCATTTTTCACCAGAAAAGCATTTTTGCGATCAAAGTTTGCAAATAACACATGAATAGAAAGCTTTTGTGACGAAAAGAACTTTAGTGACAACAGAAAAAATTGAAATTTGAAAGAAACGAAGAAAAAAGCGAAAATCCGGAAGATGGGAAAGCCTATTGTCCATAGAGCAACTTTACTGCAAAGCGCTCTTTTCGCGGGAACTCAATCTTTCCTCTCTCCGACTTTGAATTATTTTTTCTTCAAAACTAGGAACTTCTGTACGTTTCCAAGTTCACAGTTCGATTCGCAATGAAAAATCTCTACAAATTACTTTGAACTGAAACACCGTTTTTTTACTACCCCTATGCCTTTAACATAAAAATGTTTTTTTGAAAAAAATCTGAAAAAAATAGTTCAATTTTTTTGAGCAGCGAAAAAAATTATATAAAAAAATGGATTCGGGAATCAAAAAAACTCAATAAATTGGGAAAAACTAGACGATGAAAAAAATCTAATTTTTTTCATAAAAATCATCTAGATACAAACCTTTTTTTCTATAGCAAGAAAAACAACAAAAGAAAAATCATTCTTAATAATATTCAAAAAGCTTTGAACTGAGCTTCTTCTTCATAATATTTTAAAGAAAGACTAGGAGCAAAGAAATTATAACTTCTAAGATGCAATGGATGCTCAAGAAACAAGTTTCAAAGCGAATTTGATGATTTCACAGCTCCAAAATGACTTGAAAATTCAAATTTTCTCCTTTTTCCAAGGAACCAGATGACGAAATGAGGCAAGAAAAGACTAGACAGCAGAAAAACTTCGCGTGACTGATAAGGTTGATAACATCGTTATGAGTTCCAAATTACCTAGGTGTCGACAAAATTAACTCCGAAATCACGCAAAGATTCAATTAGAGGTTTTGGGAGGAAAGGGAAAACGTTTGGGGCTCGAATAGGATGTCAGAAAAAAAGCTTCAAAATTTATAAATTTTGGTAATTTTTTTGTGTAAATTGTTTCCTAAAGCTTCACAGATGAACAATTTTTTTAATGTCACTAAAAAACTGACAAGAAAATGAAATAAAAATGAAAAAAAAAAAAGAAAAAAATTCAGAAATTCATAACAGAAAAGAATTCAGTGCCAAAATTAAGAGCTTTTTAAATCTTTTACAGTAATTTTCATACTGAAATTGAGTCCCAATCATTTTTCAAAATTCAAAAAAAGAGCAAAAACTGAACCAAAAGAAGCCCAGAAAGGCTCAAAGTAGCAGCAAAAAGTATCTCTTCAAAACTAAAATGAAAAATAATTTTTTAAAATTTTTCTACGCCCTTTACGTCTCAAATCCGCTCCACCGAACAAAAAAATATCGAAATTCCTAAAAAAATAGAAAGAAGACCTCACAAAACGAATAAAAAAAGTCGTCTTCAATCCTCTCAAGCATCACAACCGAATAATCTTTTTTTGCAAAAAAAGGCCGCCGGGAAAAGGTTGCTCTATCGGTAAATTATCAAAATCGTCGTTTTATTTCTACAGGAATTTTAAGACAAATTGACAAGATTTAGCTGAAAAATTTATTGAAAAAGAAGAAAAAGGTCGTGATGAAAAAGCAACGGATTTTTGAAATTTGATACCCTTTGAAGGGAAAAATAATCTGGGAAATCTTCTTTTCTAAGAGGATTTTTTTCAATTTTTTTGAAAGCTTTGTTATTTTTCGTTCATTTTGAAGTTCAAAGAAACTGTTGAATTATAGAAAAATTTTTTTATTCTTTTTTTCTTTAACAGGTATTTGAACGCATATACAACAAGGTTCCGTTGAGAAAAATTTTGATGAAAAAAATAATTTTTTTGGAAAAAGCCTGTGTTTTTTTCAACTATTGAAAAACAATTCTATCAGAAGCCATATGGAAATTCTTTCAAACAACAAAAAAACAAAAAATCAAAAAACGCTTGAAAGGAAACCAAAAAAATCTCTTTTCGAGTTCAGAAATGAATTCTCAACAAAGTTTCAAAAAAGCATATTTCTTGAATTATAAAGGAATTCTTAGTTATCCTCATTTTTTTCTCGAGAAGCATTATTTTTTTCAAAGACCGGAAATCCATAATAAATCAACTGAAACAGCAGCATTTTTTTTAAAAAACCTGAAAAATTATAAAAAGTATTCTAGCAAAAAGGTCCAAAAAGGGCTTCAAAAAAACGACATTTGAAAACTGAAAAAAAGGTTCAAAAATATATATAAGACACTTCTCAATACATATTTCGAAAAGAAATCAGTTTTTTTAAGCATATCAAACGACTATAAAATGCACAAAAAAAAGAAGGCAAAAAAAATTATTTTGGCTTGAAATTTGATCGAAAAGGGTAATAAAACTTTTGAAAACGATAATCGAAAAAGTCAAAAATAAACAATGAAGATTTATTAAAACCAAAATCAGAAAATAACTGCAGTGAGCAGCTTTTTGAATATACCTTATCACTCAAAAACCCACGAAAACTAGAGAAAAGTCCAAAAAAAAAAGGTTCGAAAATTAAAATTTCATTTTTCTACACGTTGTGCGGCCTTTCAAAGTTTTGGAAAAGCATTTTGCAAAAATACAATTCTAGAAGTCTAAGAAATAGAGCAGAAAAAGGCCTAACCACTCAAAAATCCAAAATAAAAATCTAAAAAGAATCTAAAAACATATATACACCTATAATGCGAAAAAATGAAGAGCACGTCTTTTAAAATTTATAAATCACTCGAAAAATCCAAAAAAACTCCAAAAATCATCGAAATTTCAAAGTCTAGTCTTTCCACTTTTCGTGTAAAATTTCCTGGATTTAAGAAACATTTTTGAAATGAGAAATCGACGAAAAACTCTAGGAAAGTTCAAAAATGGCATTGAAAACCAGGTTTTGAAACTGAAAAGGTTCAAAATGAACATTAAAAAAACATATATACTCATATAATGTGAAAAACTGAAGAACATGTCTTTTGAAACTTATTCAATCACTCAAAAAATCTGCAAAAACTAGCAAAAAAAGCTTCGAAATTTTGCAATTTTCATCAAAAAACCCTTAATTTCACACATTTTGTGAAACCTTTGCTATTTGGAAACATTTTTGAATTGAAAATAGTCGCAAGATCCACGAATTACTCTAGGAAATCGCTCAAAAATCCACAAAAACTAGCTAAAAGTTAAAATCTTGAATTTTTGCGATTTCGATCAAAACAATTCTTAATTCTACACATTTTGTGAAATGTCTTGATCTCGGGAAACAATTTAAAATTGAAAATACACGCAAAATCGACGAAAAACTCTAGGAAACGGTCCAAAAAGGGCTTTGAAAACGAGTTGGAGAAGCCCGAAAGAGGCGAAATTGAGTGAGAGAAAGATAGGGCGGCGCAGGGCGACGGCAAAACCAACGTTCCAAAAGAGAAGTGTGAAGCGAAAAAGGAGCAGAGGGGGAAAAGAAAAGAAAAGGGGAGAAAAAGAAGAACGAAGGCCGCCCGGAGCCCTGGAAAACGGGGGGAAGGGAAAAATGGACGAAATAACGTGAGAATCCGAGGATATTCACGGCGATTTCAACGTTTCAAATGTCTAATCATTTTCTGATTAAAATTATGAGGATTTTTTTATTTGAAAATTAATGACTTCGGACCGCCAGAGTGGTCCCTAGAGGGGTCTCTGAAGATATCCATAGAGGGGCTAAACTTAAGTGGTCCCTATAGAAACTTAGGATCTGAGCCTCTAAGCCAATAAAGCTCAAGTGATCCCTATAGGGGTCTTTCAATTTTTTGTTCAGATTTGAAAAATTATAAAGATTGACCATTTTTTTGCAAGCTTTACCCCTATGGGAGGGGGGGAAGTAAGGTAACCCCTAGAGGGGAATATTGTAGTACCCCTAAGGTTACCCCTTTAGGGACCACTCTATAGGGAAGGAAAGAGTCAGAAAAATTCCCATTTCTTTTTCATTGAATTATTGGAAGATTTGATATTAAAATAGATCCATGAGAAACAAAAAAATGTTCAAACTCAAGCCTCGAATAAGAATATCTCAACAAGAAGGTGTATCAACTTGAGAAGTTAAAAACTATATGAGAAAAAAATCTTCCAAGTCATTTTTTTGATGTTCTGTATAAAAAAATCTAGAAACTGTTTTAACGATAGAAATAATAAAAAAATATAGTAAAAAAATAAAAATAAAATTCAAACTTCAAAGCGTTTTTCAAAGTTAAAAAAATCCATTAAAAGGCCAAAAAATGCGATTTTCAGATTTTAAGGAAGGAGAGAGTCTTAAATAATCTTTCAGGACAATTCAATTCACAAAATCAAACTTTTATTCGGATTTCTATTGAAATGAAGCTTCTCTGAAACCGAAAAGTCATCGAATTGAATCCAAAATGCTAGATATTCAAATTCTAACTCAACCAAGTACTCATGAATGGATTGAGTTACAAATTCAGAGGGAAACTACTCAGATCAACTCAAAATGGTGAATAATGACTCAAAAAAGGCTGCAGAAAGGTAGCAAAAAGGTCGCAGAAAGGCCGCAAAAAGGCAGCAAAAAGGTCGCAAAAAGGTCGCAGAAAGGCCGCAAAAAGGCAGCAAAAAGGTCGCAGAAAGGCCGCAAGAAGGCAGCAAAAAGGGTCCCTTTTTCGAGCTTCCCATTTTTTCTGGAATTTACAAGGCTCAAGAAATGTTGGAAAAAGGGAGAGGCAGCAAAAATGGTGCATAAGGGCTCAGAAAATGGCGCAAAAAGGCTGCAAAAAAGGAGCCTTCATCACCCTAAAAGGACCATTTTTGTGGAGCCTTTCTGACTGAACATGAGAATAAAATCAATAAATCAATAAATATGACTCCAAAGGAAGGATAATAAAGCGTGAGAACCGGTCTCTGTGCATCGTCGCTTGTACAAACAGAGAAATCGTCCCCCGAAAAGGACATCGAAATGAACTTCGCCTTGTTAGAAATGAGCTTCGGGTTCATTGATTTTCAAATTATTCACAAACGGGAATAAATTTAAATAATTTTTTTATTTTCAACAGAAAGAACGTCTTTTTTTGCCGTGTTCAAAGTGATTCCGGGGGCTTCAAAATTGAAGTTTCGTGCGTAAAATTTATTATTTTGAACCAATTTTTTTCTTATGACCCCCAAAAATTCAAATATTGCCTATTTTGAATGATCAATCTAAACGAAAAAAAGGAAAAAAAGGTTAAAAAAATCGAATTTTTTTCCTAGTCAAAATTGACCAAAAAAACCATCTCCCAGATAAATTCGCAAAAAAAAATTTTTTAAGGCATTTCGAAAAATAAATTTGATGAGAACCGCGATTGGAAAATGGTTTGAAAACTGTCAAAAATAAAAAAAAAGAACAGAAAGCTATCAACAAAATTAGAATTTCGTTTTGAATGAATAAAATTCAAAAAACGCTCGTGTTTCATTAATTTGCAATGGAGCACAAAAAAGTCGTCGCATTTTTTGAACGTCCGTACTTTATAGCATGCCAGTGAAGAATTGTATAAGACAAATTCAAAAATCCACGGTAAAATTTATAAAAAATAAAAAAATTATGGAAAAAAATTCTTAAGCAAAAATAATCAAGGAATTTTTCAACCCGCTTTCCTTAAACTTCCATTGAAAAAAAGCAAAGTGAAGTAATAAAGAATTTTTTCTGGCGACTCCCAATCAAAAAAATTGCGATTTTTTTGCCGTCCCCTTGTTACTATATTCTCCATTTCTATGAATTTTTTTCTGAAAAAAATACCTCTAAATAGTCGAAATCGATGTAATCGACACTCCAGGTGATCCAGAGGAGTAGAACTTCAACGTGGGGTTGGAGAAACTCCGGCCAGGTTATATCTAAAAATCCTTCTTTTTTAAAAAACATTACGGTTTCAAATCGAGCTCATAAATATTTTTAATAGCTAAAATCTTGATTGGTTTGATGCTGTCTGTGGAAAAATTGTACGTTAAAATCACTAGAAAATTCATAATTTAACAAAAAAACGACTTCTTCCGTCATGAATCTCACATATGCTTCTTTAAAAACCCTAAAAAAATTTTTTTAGTTCAATAAATTCCTTTTGTAATTTCTTATAAACCGAATTTTCTTGGAAATCCCTTCAAAACCAACCTTGTAGGGCCTGTATCCATTGAGAAATTGCCATTGAGCGGCCAAGCCGAACTCAAATTGGCCTGCAAATTCATTATACTCCGTATTTTCTTGCGAATTTTGAAAAAAATAAGTAGAAAAATGCAACTAAAATAGTTTAGTGAGGTTGAAATATCATAAATAACAATGATTAAGATTCTTCTGAGTAAATTTTTAGTGGCTACTATAGGGTTTTGACGTTTTAGTGGCCACTATAGTAGTCAAATTAGTGGCCACTTAAGGGGCTAGAAGTTAGTGGCCACTATAGAGGTCTAAGTGCTACTACTAGACCACAAAAAATTTCAGTGGCCACTTTAGGGGTCAATGGATCAACATAACTGGTCCAATCTGTTTTTTTTTAAGTTATCAGAGTTATTGGAAGGAATACTGGATGAAAAACTACTGAAGTGGCCACTAAAGAGGTAGGTTTAGTGTTCACTTTAGTGTCCTTTCCAAGTAGTCCTTGGCAAGCCTCTATAGTGGCCACTAAAAAAACTTTCCCAGTTAATATCAAATTTTTTTTTAAAAATTAATAAAAAGATATAAACTTTCTGTATATCTTCAAGAAATAGAGGCTTCCAATTTTAATTTTCAACTGATTCGCTCATTAAAAAAATTCTTAAAAATAATAAAAATACTTGAAAATGAAGAGAAATATACAAATTTTTCTGTAGAAATTCTCAAGGGGAAGTCTTTTCGAAACTCGAGTTTCAACTAGTTTTATTATAAAAAAGAAAAAATTTTCAGATCAGTTTTGATATTCCATTCAAATTAAGCCATAAAAATCTCAAAAAAAGAAAAAAATCTAAAAAAACTTGAAATTTCGCAAATTTCCTCAAAAACTCGCAGTTCAAAAATCTTCTTTTTTTGGTTTTCAAACAATATTAGAGCTTATAAAAAAATATTAAATAGCAAAATTGGAAATCTAGAGCTCAGAGTTTTCTAAAAAAATGATCAAAAAAATGTTTTTTTCTATGAAAATTTCGAAAAAAAGAGGGTTTTTCATTTTTTTAAACTCGAGTTCAACTGCATTTATTTCTAGAAAAAAATTAATACAAAGGCCTTTTTTTGGTCAACTTTGATATTACCCCACATTTTGAACTTGAAAAATCTCGGAAAAACCACTAAAAAAATAAAAAAATTTCAAAACAAAATTATCTTTTTTTGCCTCAAAAAGCTGAAAAATAGACCAATTTTCAAGGAAAAAGTCTAACATTCTGTAAAATAGTTTCAACTGCGTTTATCACTGAAAAAAAATTTTAAAAAAAGGCTTTTTTTCTGGTCAATCACAAATGCAACTTCAAAAAAACTCAAAAAAATTCACAAAAAAACTTCAAAATTTGAAAAAAATGATTAATTTTCATAGCTTCAAAAAAATTATAAATCAACAACTTTCAACCAAATTCTCAACAAATAATCAATATGAGCGTAAAAAAACTCATTATATTCCAACAAAAATCTATCGATCGATATCTTCATTAATAAACTTCACGAGGAGAACCTGTACACATAACAAAAGAAAAAAAAAACAAAAATCGAAAAAAAAGGATCTAAAAATTTTCTTAAAAAGTATTCTATAGAAAAAAGCTCCTAAATGACGAAAAAAATTATAAAAATCTATGGATTCGTCGGTTTTTCTTCTTCGATCCACCGGCCCGTGTCGTAAATTGTGAAGATTCCATCGTTTAGGGCCAATCTGAACAGAAAAAAATCATAACTGTTATATCAAAAAAACTAAAAATGCTCTTTAAAAAAATGAATTGCGGGTTTTTGGTCCGAATCATTCAATTCGGAAGAAAAAAATCTGTTTCTAAGCATTTTTTTCGACAAGAAAAATATTTTTTTGCTCAATTTGAAGCATGGAGGACCTGGAATTCAAAAAAAGGAGAAATTCGAGTTTTCTTCCGTTTTTTTTATCTCCAAGCCTTTAATTTAAAAAAACGCATTAAAAAAATTTTTTTCAAGAAAAACCCAATTTTTTTCGCTCAAGAGAAATACAGAGAAATTGAAATTTTGGAAAAAAAGACGGAATTTTTAAGTTTTTCTCCTTGTTTCAAAAACCTGAAAAAGATTTTTTTCTCTGAAATTGAACATTTTTTTCCTGACAAAAAAACTTTCATTTTCTCTCAAAATTTACAAAACCAAGTCCCTGAAAAATCAAAAATTTTTTTCTTCTAGTTCAGTTTTCGAAAAAAATTCCAAGTTGAAAAAAACAAAAATTTCTTTTATTAATTTTTTTACTGATAAGAAGGCTCCTTCTTTACTCAATTCGATATATAAATAAACTGAAAATTCGTAAATCATTCAAACAAATGAAAAAAATTCTGTCAAAAAAACTGATCCAGAGCTAACTTGAGTTGATTTTTAAAGGATCAACCTATTTTATTCGAAAAAAATTCTTGAGAAAGCGAAATTGTGAGCGAAAGAAGAGGTCCCTACAGAGATCTCATAACTTTGAAATCCCTAAAAATGATTGAAAAAAGGGCAACTTATTATCAAAAAAAAAAAAATCAACTATTCGCCAAAAATCATCAATTTTTCAAGGAAATGTAGAAAATTTATAGATGGAAAAAATTGAAAACAGCGTAAATTTTGTAAGAACCCATCACTTGAATGAAGAAAACATAACTTTTTGATGATTTTCAGCTATTTTTTTCTTGAAATTTCCAAAAACTTCATGGTTTTTTTACTCTATCTTTCATCTAACAAAGAAAAAACAACTGAAAGCCGAAAAAAAGACAGTTTATCCAACGCAATGTAGTGAATTCATAGCTGGCAAAATTTTAAAAGCAACATAATTTTGTAAAAAAATCTATCAACTGAATGAAGAAACCATAACTTTTCGTAGATTATTAGTCATTTTTCTCTGAATTTCAAAAACTTTCTGCTTTTTTTCTTTATTTTGAATCTTAGAAAAAACAACTGAAAGCCAAAAAAAGACAGTTTAGCCAACGAAATGTACTGAATTCAAGGCTTGCAAAAAATTAAAAATACTACATAATTTTTTTCTAAATCTATTACATAAATGAAGAAAGCATAACTTTTTGTTGTTTATCAGTCATTTTTTTCCTGGAATTTTTCGAAAATTTTGTAATGTAACTCTTTTTTTCAACAACAAAAAAATCGATTTAAAAAGCATTTTTCAAAGAAAAAAATGGGAACGAACTGTATTTTTTTGCCGTCTGGAACTGGTCTTTCTCGTCGCCCCGGGTCGCCAAAACGTCCATATAACCGCAATCGATTGCCCCCGTCACTGGTATTCGTAACTTGAAATAATTGCTCTTTTTTTGTACATTAATATTTAAACTTAATCTACCTACAGGCTAATTTTGTTGATTCTTGTTTTAAAAATCGCTTTTTTCTCTTGGTTCTGATGATATGCAAAAAAAAAAACCTAATTTTTCTCATTTCTTCCAAATTTTTCATGGTTCTAGGGTTACCAATATATCTCCTGAAATCCCCAATTCGCCTGTTTTTATTTCCCTACTCTCACAGGGCTCTGGAGGGATTCATTCGTACGCGGGCTGACCCACTGGGCGTGCCCTCCCGATTTGATTTTATTTTTTTAAAAAGCGGTGTTTAATATGATTTTTAATATTATTTTTTTCGAAAAAAATCAAAAAAATTATAATCTGATTGATTTTTTTCTGAGTTTCTATGTCCTTTGAAAAAAACGATTGAGAAAAATTTTTTTTGAAATTCGAATTTTTTTTGGCTTCAAAACACTTCTTGATAACGAAAAAAATCGAACCGGCTCAATTTTTTTAACGATTAAAAATTAAAAAAAGAAGCGTATTTCTGATTTCTTGACTTTTTTTAGGACTCTGATAATATATTGATTATATATATTTGTATCCCAAAAAGGTTCAAAAAAAGCTTATTGAAAAAAATTGGGGGTTCTAAAAGTAAAAGAAAGTGCTCATAAGCCACGTATGACCTTCCTCGCCTATTTTTTTTTATTTCTCCCAGGTTTACCTACCACTTTTCACTTTTCATGTACATTATATTCTGATTTTGCAATAAATAAATATTTTATCTGAAAGCTTTTTTTTTTCAAGAAAAATACCAACCCGACTCTTCTGCTTATCCACATAATTATGAAGTCGATCCGACAAATCCACGGCCCCAATTTGGATGGGAACGCCAAGAACGTCCTAAAAATCAGTTATTCATGAAAAAAATTGAAGTTTTTGAAAAAAAGAGGACTATATTTAAAAAGTCCAAAGCTAAAAAAATACGTTTCAAAGTCCATTATGAGCTAAAAAAATTACTTTTTGACTATAAAAAAAGAAAAAAGAATTTCTCAAAAATTTTTCCAAAAAGATCTCGTAGAAAGAGATATTAGAAACTAAATCCAAATTTCCAATTTTTCGATGAGATTAATATGTTTCAATCAAAGGATCTCTCTAAACTATTTTTTTGAGAATCGGGAGATCACATGGAACATTATTGAAATAAATGAATGTTAATCATATAAATTCCTTTGAAACATCGAAGTAATGATATTTTTTTCCAATTTTTTTGGTAGACTTTTTTTATATTTTTTTTCTAGGCAAAAGTTAAAGGCACAGATTCCGTTTCAAACTGGAATATTTGAAAAAAATCAACAGTTTCAAGGCATTTAGTCATGGCTGAAAATTGATTAATGGTTAAAAAGTGAGTGATTAAAATTGCATCGATCTATGGAGAACAATAATTATATTTTCAATTTACAGCTTATCATTATTTTCATAACCCTTTCATTTTTCGCTCGAATTCAATATCAAAAATTTCGAGAGCATTTCCAATAATTAAAAAAAAGAAACTTTGGCTTTTTCATGGTCCCCAACGATTTTGAGGGATTCTTTGTAGTGCGGCAGTGAGCGGACCTTGTACTGCACCGACTTTTGCGCCAAATACAAACCCGTTGATCCTGAAAGATGTCTATCAAGGTGGCTAATGAGAAATCTTTTTGGCTTTTTGTTTGTTACAAAGAGAAGGTTGATTAGGATGATCGGTACTTTTGACAAGATCATGTCCTTTTTAGGAACTTCGGAGTGGTCCTTATAGGGGCCCTGAAAGTGTACCCTCGAAAGACCAGTTTTTTTATTTTTTGTGGCCACTATAGGGTGTTGACGTTTTAGTGGCCACTATAGTAGTCAAATTAGTGGCCACTTAAGGGGTCGAAAGTTAGGGGCGACTATAGAGGTCTAAGTGCTACTTCAAGACCACTAAAAATTTTAGTGGCCACTTTAGGGGTCAATGGATCAACATAACTGGTCCAATCTGTTTGTTTTAAAGTTATCAGAGTTACTGGAAGGAATACTGGATGAAAAACTACTGAAGTGACCACTAAAACGGAAAATAGTGGCCACTATAGAGGTGGGTTTAGTGGCAACTTTAGGGTCCTCTCCAAGTAGTCCTTTGCAAGCCGCTATAGTGGCCACTAAAAATTTTCCCAGTTCCATGCGGGAAACTTCAGCGTTTTATGAATGAAAATCCCTAAATTCACCACATATGCTTTAGGCGCAGACCCCAAACCCCTATAGGGACCACTCTGGCGGTACTATTGAAAAATAAGTTTCACAGTTTTCAAAATTTAGGAACTTAAACGGTTTCAAAAGCGCTCGATCTTTTTTGGGTATAAAGTGAGCTTTCTCCAAGTTTCTTTTGCTAAAAAACTTTTTTACATTGCTAATTTTCAAAAACTCCTTATAAGATACATAGGCAAAGTTGGAAGGGTCAAATAAGGCTCCACAGAAATTTTCATTCAAGTGTGACAACAGTTCCTTTTTTGCTGCCTTTTCGCGCCATTCTCGGCTATTATGCACCATTTTTGCTGCCTCTCCCTTTTTCCACTATTCTTTGAGCCTTTGAAGTTCTAGAAAAAATGGAAGGCTTGAAATGAGATCCTTTCTGCGGCCTTTTTTGAGCCTCGCCCTTTTAGCGGTCATTATGCACCTTTCCGACTTCGCGTATGTATCTACTTCGAAAAAAATGGGAAAATTTCAAGAGAAACTCGCCAAAAAGATAATTTCCTGAAGGGACCACTTAAGCTTTAGGCTCAGACCCCGAGCTCTTATAGAGAGTATCATTTAAAAAATACTTTTCATAGTTTTTGAAGTTCAGAGAATAATTTGAATGATTTCAAAAGCGCCCAATCTTTTTTGGGTATGAATTGAGCATTTTTTCCAAGTTTCTTCTGCTAAAAAACTTTTTTTTTGTTGCTAAATTTCAAAAATTTCCTATAACATACATAGACAAAGTTAGAAGGGTCAAAAAAGCCTACAGAAATTTCCCTTTTTGATGCCATTTTGGGCCCTTTCATCGGCTCTTTTGGACTCTTTTTGCTGCCTCTCTCTTTTTCGAACTTTTCTTGAGCCTTTCAAATCGCAGAAAAAAATGGAAGGCTTGATAGAGAGACTCTTTTTGCTGCCTTTCTGCGACCCTTTTTCTGTCTTTCTGTGAATTTTCTGCGGCCTTTTTTGAGCTTCTCCTTTTTAGCAGCCATTATCCACCTTTCCGACTTTGAATATGTATCTACTTTGAAAAAAAAAATGGAAAATTTTCAAGAAAAACTCGCAAGAAAAACAAAATTTTCCTTTCCCTGATACATTTTCATTAAAAACGTGGCGTCATTAATTTAAATTCTCCAATAAAAAAAGTAAGAAAAAAATGAAAAAATTCTAATAAATTCAATGATGAAATATTATTCAATGTGAGTGACCCATTAAAATCCCCGAAAAATAACTCATTGATAGCGAAACTTTGAAACAGAAATCTAAAATTATTCGGAATTTCTTTAAAAAAACGAACCAACGATGAACCCGCCGGCGGCGATTTTCGACCAAAGTCGCCGTTTGCACCTGGAAAAAAACTCCTTTTTTTTATTATTATGTTTCTCAATTTTCTTTCAAACCATAACAAGAATTGGCTTGAAGGGTCGGCTTGTTTACATGGGCCCTAGAAATTCTTGAAATAATCCTGAAATGCGATCATTAATCAACACTATCATCACTGATAACTGACATTTACTTATCATTTTGGTGCCTGGTTCGAAGAAAAAGAAAACAAGCTTAATCATGATGTTTGAAAGTTTATTGGGGTTAGGAATAAAGACGCAATAAAAAAATAACTGAAAAAAAGAAATACAGCGAAAGTAAGTGCTTTAGAAGTTGAAAAACTCAGAGAAGCTTGAAAAAAAAATTCATCATTGAATCCAGCTAAAAAATGAAAAAGAAAGCCTTTAGAGAGAGAAAAAAACTCGCTTTAGAACGTAAAATTGAGCAGAAAACCTACAAGATTTTTTTTTGATTGACAAAAAATTCTTGATTTTAGCAAGTGCGCTCCAACGAAATTTTACGAAAAAAGGCCAATCAGAAATGAAGATCCTAACGGAACGAAAAATCGAAACGGAAAATCCTGGAGAAGCTCCAAAAAGGAGTTCCCAAATAACGAAAATTTAGAAAAATTCCAAATTCAACCCTCAAAAAAAAAAATTATACGGTGTTTTTCGAAATTTTAAACTTCACTCTGGCCTCTGATCCATTATTCAGCTGTTAATAGGATAAATGCCATAACAGCTACAAAAAGGCTTCAAGACTGACCCAAAAAAGGATGCAAAGTAGGCCAAAAAATGATGCAAAACAGGCCAAAAAATGATGCAAAATAGGCCAAAAAAGGATGCAAAAAAGGCCAAAAAAGGATGCAAAATAGGCCAAAAAATGTACATCAAAGAAAGAAAACAACTCGAAAAGGTTATAAAGCAGAAGAAGAGACGGTTGTGGGTTCCCGGTAGAGGGTCCAGGCGCAGGTCTGCCCGATCCCGGCCATCCCGATCACCTTCCAACCCTCGGTCTCCAGCTGGTTCAGCACCATCCGCGGCGGCAACGGCGTCACGTACTCCTGACACTGACCTCTCTTCTTGATCACGCTAATCAGCGGAAGCGACACGGATTCGGGTTAGGGAGGGTTATCGCGTGGGAAGCAAGGGAAATACGTCACAATAAAGGTGAAGATATTGGGAAAATTTTTAGTGACCACTATAGGGTTTTGACGCTTTACTCGTCACTATAGTAGTCAAATTAGTGGCCACTTAAGGGGCTAGAAGTTAGTGGCCACTATAGAGGTCTCAGTGCTACTACTAGACCACTAAAATCTTTGGTGGCCACTTTAGGGGTCAATGAATCAACATAACTGGTCCAATCTGTGTTTTAAAATTATCAGAGTTACTGGAAGGAATACTGAATGAATAACTCCTGAAGTGGCCACTATAGAGGTGGGTTTAGTGGCCACTTTAGTGTCCTCTCCAAGTAGTCCTTGGCGAGCCTGACCACTAAGTTTCCCAGTCCAATAACTCACACATAAAGTGCTTAGAAACGCCAGAGTGGTCCCTTAAGGGATAATTTACCTCTACAGAGAAGATTCCCCGCTAGAGACAACTTTACCAACCCCTATAGGGGCCAACAAAGCTTGCAAAAGTGGCCACTTTAGGGGACATTCTCGTCGTTTATTGTTACGAGCTCTATGAGAAGAAATATCCACATATAAAACCCAATAAATGGCGCTTTTCGAATGAAAACCTATCAACAGAGAAAAGATAGATCATTTTTATTAAATAAGTCTTCACAAAAATTCGGAAAGCCCTACAGGGACCACTTGAGCTTTTAGACTGTAGAGTGTAGACCCCTATAAGTAGGGTCCGCAAGCCATTTCTTCAGAACGATTCAAAAAATAAGTTTTTCACATTGTTCGATAGAGGAGACTGTCCATTTTCATAATCCGTTTAGTTTTTGAAAAAAGCTCCACTAAGAAAAAAGTTATGGCCAAAAAACGAGCGCGCGCGGCGTACAACTGGAGGCAAAATCTCACGGTTTACCCGCTGCCGCACGCTTTCTTTTTAAATGTTTTTGCGCGTTTCTGGACCGTTTTTTTAAATCGGTTTTCTGTTCTGAGAGGTTGTCCGAACTGAGCCTCATGTTTTTGGTATGAATCTTTTTGTACAATCCTCATAAGAATTTTTTTGATAAAATATCAAAAAAACTACCTAGAAAAAAAGGTCAAAAAGGATTTTTTTCAGCTTATTTTTTTCTTCTTTCTACTCAGAAAAAAATTATTATCATTCGATTTGGAAAAAAAGAAAAAAATGAAAAAAATAATGTTATTTCGAAATAAAACAGGAAAAAAAGTGCAATTTGACTCCGAAAAAAACGGCTCCTGCGACATTTAAAATGGCGTATCGGTGTGTTTGACGCATACACAGCTACGAAAGCTTGCACGAATTCTTCTAAAATTTCAAAAAAAATTGCCATTTTTTCGAGGTTTTCAAAGCCGTTATTTTTTTCGCGTCGATCGATTTTTTTCATTATTTTTTCATTGGTAGAGTTTTGAACGCTTAATAACATAATCAAAAGTATAGACGCGATCCTATTCTCTCATGCGTCAACGAGGCAGACGAAAAAAAGGAGGTTTTTGGTAAAATCCAAATATAATTTGATTCGCTGTCCCAATAATTATTTTTCATTCTGAATTTTTTTATTTTTTTAAACACATTGTGAGTTTTTAAATCAAATAAAAAGTATACCATGTCGCTGAAATTTTTTTCGCATTTCAGCTTCAAAGTTTGGTGTCACTTTACAAGCTTCGATTTTTTTCGCGTCGTTAGATTTTTAAATTTTTTTACTCAAAAAAATAAAGAAAGTGTTAATGTATAACATACTTAAAAATTTAGAAGCGTTCCTCACTTGGTTTTCTGAAACGCGACGATTTTTGTGAAACTTGTCAGTTTTTTTCGTGTTAAATCTTACTTTTTTTCGCTTATTTTTTTGAAAAAAATACATAGTTTTAAAAAAATATTCAGTCTTGTAGAGCGTTGTCGATTACATAGATTAACAGAAACAGTTAATTTTTTTAAAGTGGGACTTTAGCAAGTATAAACGCCTCAAAACCGTTTTTGCAACAAAAAAATCGTCATTTTGGTGGCGTGAAGGGGCGGGGCTTTGCGCCCCCTACCTATAAGGTTCACTGAAAATTCTTCCCTAAAGGGGCACTTATCTACCCCCTACAGTGGCTGTTTTTTCCTAGCCCTATAGAGATCACTCTGCCGTTTCTAAGTATCTGACTAGTGAGCTTGAAGATCGCAAAGCAAAAAATGAGTGAAAAGTACGCTCTAATGAGACCTTTTTCCAAAACTTCAAAATTTGATTAAATACAAGCTTTTTTTCAGTAAACCAGCTTTCAAAGGCAACATTTATATTTTTCAACATCCAATTCAACAAAAGTTTGATTCGAAATCGATAAGAAATAAGCAAGATAGCGGAACTCCACGTGAGAACGCTGCATAACAAAACAACAAGGGCGCCTCAGAGATAAACATCTCGTTCAAAATAACACAGAAAATCAATCAAAACTTGTTTTTAGAAGGAATAAAACTTCCAAAGTCGAATAGTTTTGTTCATACATGTTGCTGTTTGAATAATGGAAGGGTTAAAGAGTGTGGAGCCTCAGTTTTTTTCTCATTTTTTTCTCGGCGAAAAAAATATGAAAAAAATTCGGTTCTTTCCATTTTCTTTCTGAGATGCTTAGGAACGCTAGAGTGTGGGGCGGGGACAGCCCTTATAAGAGGCAAAAAAAGTGCTCCTATGAGGGGGGGTTGTTTTTAGGGGACAAAGAAGGGCCTCTATAGGGGTAAAATTTAAGTGAATCCCATAGGGGTTCAGGGGTCTCTGAGCCCCTAAAGTGGTCACTAACTAAAACCCTTAGATTGCCCACTTTTGCAAGCTTAAGTGCCCCTGTAGGGGAAGGTGAAGTAGACAATAGAAGGAGAGCCTTCAAGGGCCCTTGCCCCTATAGGGACCACTCTGGAGTTCCCAAACAAACTGTGGTTTTTGAAGTTTCAGTACTGACACAAAATACTGGAAAAATTTATAGTGGCCACTATAGAGGCTTGCCAAGGACTACTTGGAGAGGACACTAAAGTGGTCACTAAAAACACCTCTATAGTGGCCACTATTTTCCGTTTTTAGTTTTAGTGGCCACTTTAGTAGTTTTTCATCCAGTATTCTTTCCAGTAACTTTGATCATTTTGAAACAAACAGATTGGACCAGTTATGTTGATCCATTGACCCCTAGAGTGGCCACTTCAATTTTTTGTGGTCTAGTAGTAGCACTTAGACCTCTATAGTGGCCACTAGTATTTAACCCCTTAGGTGGCCACTAATTTGACTACTATAGTGGCCACTAAAACGTCAAAACCTTATAGTGGCTACTAATAATTCTCCCAGTCCAAGCAACATTACACACACACAAAACAGGAAGAAAACATGGAAAAAGAACCTGGAACTCATTGCCGAGCTGTTTGGAGAGTTTGGCGTTGAGCCGTTCCATCAGTTCAATGTCACTTTGTCCGTCGCCAACGAACGTCGGACCGCATTCCATTCGGATTTGCGTGGAAATCAGCAAGTAGGGCATGGTTTTCAGTTCAAAATAAAGTGACCAGGGCAGACAAACAAATTGGGAGAGTGCGGGTGGAAGGGGGCGGAATCGATGATAAAAAAAAGAAGAAGCGATAAGAAGACGTCGCCGCAAGGTCAGCCGCGTGCGGAAAAAATAATAATGATGTTGATGATACTAGGGAGCGGCTGAGTGGTCCCTGGAGGGGTTAGGGATATTGAAAGCCCCTAAAGTGGACAAAATAGTGCTTCATAGAGGGGCAGAATTCAAGTGGACCCTATAGAAGTTTAGGGTCTGACTTCTAAGCCTTTTAAAGCTCAAGTGGTCCCTATAGTGGTTTTTCAACTTTTTTTTCTTTTGTTGCCCTAGAGTGATCACTTTTGGGAGCCTCAGAGCCCCCTATAGAAGGATATTAGGAGAGGAGAACCTACAAGAGCCCCAAGGTGGCCCCTCTAGTGACCCACTCTGGCGTTCGTAACTACTATTTAGAAGAAAAAAAGTTAGACAACCCAGGTTAAAACTATTTTTTTAAAAATTCTCTTCTTCAATAAGAGATTTGAAACAGTAAACTCGGCGTTTCACAGGAAAAAAATTGGAAAAATTTCTCAAAAATTTTTTTCCATGAAAAAGTAAGTACAGAAGTTCAAAAACTGTTCTCCCGTCAAATAAAAAAAAAATTCAGAACATCTCCGTTGTTCATTTTTCAAGTATACACTTAAGAAGAGGGACTTTAAAAAAATAATAACTTGAAAAAAAGTTAAAAAAATAGGCTCAAAAAAATGAAGGAATAAAAAAATAATTTCAATTTTTTTCTCAATTTTTTTCTAGCCGAACAAAGTCATGCTAAAGGTCAAAAATTATGATATTATTTTTTTGAAAAAAATTGAAAAAAAGTGAATGAGTTTTTTTCAAACTTTGCAAACCAAACCAGACACCAAAAACTTTTCTTTTCAACATTTCTCGAAACAAAAAAATCACAAAGGGGAAAAAAACCCTCTCTATTCGCCAAAAACCACAAAAAAACATGTAACATCTTTATCATCATACGAGAGAAAAAAAGGCAATAAAAAAATGAGGAGAAAAAAATAACTATTCAACAAGGAAAACCGTTTCAAAAATACCATTACTAGGAAACGAGAGTACTTTTTTTATAAAAAAATACAAAAAAATAAAAAGGAAAAAAACCCGAACTCAACGTTGAATTTGATAGAATTGAATGCTACACGCAAGAGTTTTTTTAACAAAAAAAGTGTGATTTTTTTATGATTTTTTTGAATGAAAAAAACTACATTTTTTTCAAAAAAATTGAGCAATAGAACCGAAAAAAATTTGAATTTTCAAAAATGGAACAAGTGAGAAAGAGGGGAACTCGCAGGATTGAGTAAAAATTGTTTCTGAAAGGTTTTTTGATTGAAAAAGTCAAAAAAATCTTCAAAAATGGCTGTTTTTCGGAACATTATGTTCCTTTTCTCTACTTCTACCTAAAATCATCAAAATTTCCAGGTGATTCACGAATTTCCCAACTAAAATCGTTCAATAAAAACACAAGAACTCGAAAAATTGAGCACGATTTGGATGAGAAAACGGGAAAAAGGCACGAATTGTTGAGGAACAAGGTTTTCTACGAGTCACTCGGTCCAGGGGCCATACTGAGGCCTTCGTCTTCCGGGAAAAAGTTTCCGAGACGAATATTTCGCGACAAGACTAAATGATGGGATTTCAGCCAATTATGCTTTTCCTCGAGAAGCTCGCGAAGTTTTGTCGATCTGAAACTGAGAAAAAAATAAAAAAATTACTATTTTTTTGTGGTTTAAAACAGGAAATAATCTCATATTGATTTGAAAAAAAGAAGCCGAGAAAGATCAGAAACTTTGAAAAATTAAAAAAAGCTTCTTCTTGAAGAATTCTCGTATAATCACTCAAATTTTCAACATAATTACTAAAAAAACTTGATATTTTCCACTAACATAACCTAGCAAATTTGAAAAAAATTGACGCTCAGAACAAAAAAAGTCATATTTTGTGTTCTTTTTGAAGCGATAAAATAGTTCTTTAACTTGAGAACTTGAATATTCATGAATTAATTTATTTTTTTCGAACCCTAAATATAGAAAAAAACCATCCAAAAAAATAGCAAAAAAATATTTTTTTCAAAAGTTCCAAAATAACTCCTCAAAGTCGTCTCAAGCTTAAAAAAATCGATAAAACGAACTAGAATAGTTCAGAAAAAAATTATAAAAAGCTTTTTTTTGAATTAATTTTTTTGAAGCGCTCATCTTCTCATTAAAGCGTCGGAATTATGACCTAAAAATTTGAAAAATGCTCATTTTATTGAAAAAATGAATTTTAGCTTCCTTTTGCGAAAATTTATCAATAGCGCGCGAATGAAGTCGAAATTTGAGCCCAATTTCACAGGACTTTCAAAAGTTCAACTAGAAGTATGACTGTTTTTCTCTCGATAAAATATATTTTTCAAATATTTTTCTTTTCTTCATTTTTTGAATATTTTCTCATGATGAAAAATCTTTTTTTCAAATATTTTTTTCTCTTGGTAAAATTTTTTCCAAGTGTTTTTTTTTTCTAGATAAGGCTGATTTTCCGAACCTTTTTCTCTGGAAAAAACTAATTTTTCGAATTTTTTTTTTTCTCTTTTTTTCCCCCGAAACCCACTTTTCAACTCGTTCCATCGCTACGTCCTTCGTTACATTTGAAAGGGCCTCCGACCAAATGACCATTTTATTTTCGTCGATTTTCACATTGAGCCGTTTTTGTGCGACCAGTTCCTGGAAGAATATTTAAAAAAGGTCAATATTTAATTTTGGAAACCTTGATAATTGCTAAAGACTCTTCGTCCGTTTTTAAATGAGCCAATGATTTGATTTCTGCGAGAGGGATCGATGAGTAAATCTGGAAAGATTTTTTTCATTTTTCATTCAAAAAATGGCAAAATTTTACCTTTGCGACACCTATCACAGTTTTTGTACCGCATCTCATCGATGACCCGCTTTATCAACCCAAGATTGTCGTCCTAAAAAGTTCATTCAAGATGATTTTAAAAGGTTTTCCGTACATTTTTCGAGATAAAAACCTTGGAAAAAAAGTCTTTACACACCAGAAAAAAATATCAAAGTTGATTAAAAAAAGAAAAATTTTTTTCGCCAAGTAATTTAAAGATTCATGAAGCTACAAATAGTCAAATTTTTTTCAATTCCAACTTTTTTTCGGCTTTTTTTATAAGCGTTCATAAAGAAAAAAACCAGGTTGAAGTACGTTTCAAACGGCGTTTATTTATTCTCAAAAAGTATTGATTATGATTTTGGAACTCTCAGGATGAATGATAAATTTATTTTTTTGAAAGAAATAAATTCGCTTGGAACAACTTCACTTCAGAGTTGATAAATGGATAAAAATCATACTGCATCAAACCATCATTTCAAAAATATATTGAGAAAAAGTTTTGCAGTTGACAACGCAAAAACAAAAATAATTAATCAGTCAAAAAAATAATTTCGTGTATTTCAAATATCTCACAGCCGCTAAAAAAAGATCACTCAAAAAAATTCGAAAGAACTTAACTTTTTATGAAGATCTAAAGTTCTGTAATGTTATCGTGAGACTTGAAAAAAATAAACATTTTTTTGGAAAAATATGTCAAACTCATTGAATTTTCCTCTTCGATTGTTATTTAAAGGCGATCAATTATTTTCATGAATAAAACAAGAATTTATAGACGATTCACGGCTAGCTTGGGACGCGAAAAGGCGTGGCCTGTCTGCACTCTCCACCAACCAGGCACTGCCTCGTCTCTATTCGTGGCAGGACCCTTTTTTCGATGGCTCAAACCAGCCGTGAATCAGCTATAATCATTTTTTTCTGATAAACACCAAAAAAATTTCAAAAAGAATTTCTCATTTATCTTCTAATAATCATTATAATTGACAATGAGATCTCAGAGTTTTTTTTATTTTATTTATTTTTCTAGTTCTAAAATATAAAATTTTCTAAAGATCTACAGCTTCCTAAAGTTCCCATAAGGTATAAAATGAAAAATTCTTTGGCTTTTTCCGAATTCCTATTAAAAGTTGACCAAAGTTTTTTATGAATAAACCTCAACAAAACTTTCAATTTTTGAAAAAAAAAACCCAAAAGAAAGGGCGCGCCGTAGCGCAACAGGTTGTGTGCCTGTCTACGGTCCACAGGGTCACAAGTTCGATCCCCGCTCCGACCCAACCAAGGAGTTTAAGAAATGTTGATAGTGGGAAACCACGGCTTCATAATCCCCAGCCGTCGCACACAAGGACGGATATGTGACTAGAGCCAGTCCACTGATATCAGGGTAGGACCTCGGCTAATCGACTTGGGTCGCCGACGCCGCTCAAGCGGAACAAAGGCGTAAGGAGAAGAAGAAGAAAAAACCCAATGAAGTTCAGAAAAGATACCTTCTCAAGAGTTTTGCTCATCTTCTGCATGATGCTGTGGACTTCGGCGGCGGTGTCCTTCTTCCGGGAGAAGGTGACTTGACACAGGTTGTTGTAGTCTCCGAGGCGGGTCTTTGTCAGTCGAACGACGGCCGGAGACTTCTCAGAGACCTCCGTCGAGTGGCCGTACACCAGGAGTGATACCAGGATGTGTCTTTAAAATAGGACATTGTATAAGAGCTTCTTCCAGAAGCTTTCTACATATTTTGCATGAGTTTGGCAAAAAAAAATCGGAAAAAGGGTAAAAACTATTCCATTAAAACTCCTTCATTAGAAACCACCAAGAAACGTCGTCAAATGGGAAATTGAATAAGAGTTCCTTTTCAAGGATTTTCTTTCCGAAAACTTGCAACGATTTGTCAAAAAAACTGAAATAAAAAAAGTCTGGAATAAAAATTAAAAATATTCGTTGATCTTTTAATAATATAACTTCTTGGGAGAATTCTCACTAAAAACACAAAATTGGGGTTGAAAAATGGTTCCATAGGCATTTTATCGAATAGATCACTCCAAGAAGTGTCTTCGAAATAGAAAATCGAGAAGAAGCCTTCTTTTCTCAGTTTTCTAGACAGCTTTGACACAATTTTTTTGGTTAAAAAAACCGATTAAAAAAACTTCAAAAAAAAAATAAGGCTGAAAAAAATTCTTTCCATTATGAGCTTCTTTAATGGTTACATACTAGATGGATCTTTATAACAGGACGCAAAAAAATTCTTTTTTTGAAGCTTTCTAAACAAATTTTGCAATGATTCGGCAAAAAAATCTATTGAAAAAAAGGCTGAAAAACTCTTCCATTACAGCTCCTTCTTTGGACACCATCAAGAAGTGCCCCCACATTTGATTTAGTACCCCACCAAAATGTCTTTGATTTCACCTCCCACCAGCCCAAGTTTGCCTTGGTGGGGCTATAACCGTGTGGAGGGCGATTCTGGAATTTTTCTTTAACCTTCTCCATGTAAATTTTGTCATTTTTATCACATAATTATCCCTTTTTTCACTCATCTCTGAAAAAACCAACTTTTTACTGGCTTCCAACTGGTACTCGCTGATAACGTTGGTGGCGAGGCCGATGAGACATTCCAAGAGGATCAGGGCTTTTTGGAAGTCGTTCTGAAGGTTCAAGAGACTTTTGCATCATATTCTTGTCATTGCCAACCGCTTCGATGAGAACCAAGGCGGCCTGGTAGAGGTACAAGACGACCCATTTGCTTTCGAGACGGATCGGCGGCGGCGCTATCGACCCTACATATTGGGGGCCTGAGCGGACTTTTCGCGGTTGGACGCCCGAGGCCGGCGACGTCGACGTTCCGGAAGACGACGGCTGGGATTCCAGAGCCGACGTGGGCTCGTTTCCGCCCTCCACGTACTGGAAAATCACCAATTTCAACGAAAAATTTCCATAAAAGAGCAAGTTCCCCAAAAAAATTAGTACGGGGAAAGGGACTTAAAAATTAACCGAAATAACGAGTGAAAGCACAATTTTTGCAATAAAATCCTACAGGAGGAAGTGATTCTTTTGATTAAAGGTTCGGGTGGAAAAAGTTAGAAAATGGTCTGCCCATGTTTGGAATCCTCATTTGAAAAAAATCATCTTTTTATAATTTAATGAAACATTTTTTTGATTTTTCCATGGGCAAGTTCCGAATTCAATAAACTCAGGAAAAGGGCTGTCTTATCAAAAACTTATCACAAAAACGAGAAAGTCACATTTTTTTAAGCTAAGGAGATGTTAACAACGAGAAAAAAAGTTTCGACTAGCTTTTTTCTTCCCCAATATAATTATTAGAAACAAACTTGATGGCAAATTTCTTCTGAAAAGTCCGAAATAAATGGCAAAGCTCCAAAAAAATGAAACACCTCAGAAACTTTTTGTTCTCCAAAATTTCTTTTATTTTCGTCCATAAATCCTCATAGAATCTTTCCCACTAACTTTTTTTCTTAATTAATCTGACAAAAAAAGCAAACTTTATGGCAAATTCTATCCAAATCGTCATGGCAAAACTCAAACAGATAAAACCAAAAAAGTCTATTTATGAATATTTCTTTTCTCAGAAAGTTCTACGAGAAATTATTTTACAGTTCTTGTCCGAAAAACTCTGAAAAATTCCCTCAAACAGTCATGGATCCTTTCCGACAAAAAAAAAAGCAAACCTCATGGCAGATTCCATCCAGATCGTCGGGAATGAACGGAAGGGCTCCCTGGATGTCTTTGCTCTGAAGGGCACATGCGAAGAGAGCACAATGGGCCGAGGTGAGGAGTTTCTTGGGGAATCCCGGGGGATAGAGCTGGTTCAAGGCCGTCGTCACGATATTCTGACCGATTTCCGGCTGAAATCAACTTTCTCATTTCGAAATAATGTTGAATTCGTTGGTTCAAAAACTTCTAAGAGGTTGAACAAAGTTCAATGTTTGATAAAATTCCTCTTTGTGGTCAAAATATTTTTGAAACGAAATTCGTTCGTTTAAAAGCTTCCCTTTTTAGAAAGTGAAAAGTACAACTACGTTTTCTTTTAATTATAACTTAAAACGTAAGCTCTGCTTTTACCCAAAATGAATTAGCCGCCAAAGTTGGTCGAAATATTTTTGAAAAAATTCTATAGCCTATTCCGCGCCAGCTTTTCTCGTTTTTCTTTCCGCCAAAAAGACCGTATACCAAATAAGATCAAATTTCTGCTTTTATAACGGCAAAAAACGAAGGTCTTGAAGCGAAAGTTGGTTAAATTTGACCTGGCCTTTTGGCGAAAAAAAAACGTGACAAGCTAGCGCGGAATGGCCAATATTTTCTTTCAAAATTGGTCGAGTTCTTGAACAAAATGAAAAACTAAAAGCGCACAGCGGAACAGCGGAATGTCGTTCGGTGAAATTCCAAGTCTTGGCACACAGACTATGATAAAATATAAATAATAATGAAAAACTTATTGTTCGGCTAGGATTTTGCTAATTGTTTCAATGGAAAATTCCTTCCACGCTTTCTTTCAATAATAATTCGAAACGTAAGCTCTCCTGCCATTCCTAAAATGAAGCTGAACCTCCTCCTGCTCTTCATTTCCCTACTAATCGGCTCATTTGCTCAAGTCGGACTTTTCTACCTTCCTTGTCACTCGAACGTCGAGTGCGTCGTCATGCTTTGTAAGGTCAAATCCGTGATTTTTGTCTAGAAATTTGACTTTCTCAATGGTTTGCAGACCCATCAGCAGGCCTACTGTCGTCTCATGTCCGATAAAAAGAATGGATTCTGTTTTTGCATTCCAAAGTTGGTCGTTGGGAACTTTTCTAGATATTTTTGGGGAATAATTTCAGGGTACCTGAAGGTCAAAAGTACCAAATTGTAACCCTGCCACCTCAAACGCCAACTACCACGGAAACTACGACGACGATTGATACTACATATAGCACTACGGAAAACCCTACATCGTCCCAAGATTTGGTTTCTACGACAGCCTCAACATTTTTCGATACGAAAAGTGATCCTACCGAAACAACTGATAATGCGTAAATAAATTGAAATATTAATAAAAAAATTTTTTCGAAAAAAAAGAATGACTTGATGATAAATTTAAAAACTGTGGAACTTTTTCACCATTTTACGGCAAAAAAACAACCGATTTGGTTGCAATTTTTTTTCAATAACTGAACTGGAGAAGTTCTGCACAACTCCGAAGAAATCCCTTATAGGCTAAATAAATTCCTTGAAACGTACCTTTTTCTTCTTCTCCAGACAGTAAAAACCAACGCTCCGAACAAGGGGAAGAACTGGAAAAAAATGAATTTTGGCAGAAAATACAGAGATGAGTGAAAAAGTTTGTTCTGAAAAATTTATTTCATTTCGAAAATGCTTAAAAATAATAATTTATGTATGGAAATCAGCTAAAAAAAAACCAGAAAAATAATAAAAAACATGATTTTTTTTAACACAAAAGATACCAGTTATAATCGAAAAATTATGAGCATTTTCATCATCAGAATTCTATACTTCAAACCTCAGAGCGGTCCCTAGAGGGGTCACCAGAAAAAAAATGTCCTTATATCCCTCCCTAGAGCGGCCACTTTTGCAAGCTTCAAAGTTACCCATCTGGAGACCGTTTCTCTCAATTTTTCGGTGATATGAAAAAAAGACCAGCGAAAATTCAAACGGCGACTTTTCCGATTTTTTTCATGTCTCCAGGGAACTTTCCGACGAATTTTTTTCCGACTTTTTTTCTCGATAAAATCTTCATTCTAAATCTTCCTATATAAAAATAGGCAAGTTATTCATGATCAAAAAAACAACTAAATAGGAAAAAAAGTGTTAACAGATGTTTTATAAACCGAAAAATATATGGGAAAAAAGTCGGAAAGGGATTCGGCGGAAAGGTGGCCGTCGGAAAGTTCCCTAGCGATACGACATAATCGGAAAAGTCGCTTTTTGAAATTTCGCTGGCTTTTTTTTCATACCATCAATTTTTTTCAAGCAAAAAAAAAACCCACAAATATCGGGAACAAGCCTCAAATGCTCGGCAACCAACTGGCCGCCGTCCAGATAATATTTCAACAGTTCGACGGCCCGATCCGCCCCGGCTTCGTAATTTTTCGCTACGGAAGTGTCGAAGAGACTTTTGATCGCTGCGATCATCGCCGTCTACAACAGAAAACTCTATCAAATGCTTATCATAGGGCTTTTTGAAAAATCGGAAAAAGAAGTTTTTGTTTTTCGAAAGACGAGCTTTTTAGACCATTCAAGGCAAGCTTGGGACCAACATAGAAAAAGACGGAATGGTAGAAAAAGGCTTAATAGAAATGCTCCTTTCAGAGTGACGAAAGCTTCCTTTTTGCTGCCTTTTTGCGCCATTTTCTCGGCTCTTGTGCACTTATCCACCATTCCGACTTTGCCCAAGCTATCAAATAATCACGCAATTTAAAAAAAAAATGGAAAAAGTAAATCTTCTTTTTTTTAAATTTTCTTAAGAGTTCTATAGACCATTCACAGCTAGCTTGGGACCCAAAGGCCTGTCTGCGCTCTCCACCGACAAAGCGTTATCTCTTTATATTTATCGTGTCAGGACCCTTTTTTTAACGTTTAACGTTCGCCGAAAAATGATAACTCAGGACTTTTTGAATTTGAAGAGAACATCACTTTGAAACTGTTAATTCGATATTCGTTACCTTGCAAAAAAATACTTTCTATTATCTTTTTCTTCAAAAAAATCCCAGAATTATCCTCTTTCTAGTTACTGAATTAAGAATTAAGGTCATGAAAGCTGATAACCTTTTCCAACCCAATAAAAAGCTTGAAAGGATTACATAACATTAAAAAAACCTCCTTTTAAAGAGAAAAAAATCTAAAAAACGAACCGATCCAACAACATGATTGCAGTTGAGGAGAAACGCTTCGATGTCGCAGCTTTTCTTCTCGAAAACTTCCCGATTTTTCCTAGTTATATCCGCCGCTTTTTTTCCTGTCGAGAGAGCTGAAAAAAGTTCACCTTCCCATTTTTTAAAGCAAATCCAGTGAGAAATTATCATTCCCTTATTTTCAAGGCGAAAAAACCCGGAAATTCATCTTCTTTACTGAAAAAAACACTTTTCTTACCGCGTTTATTTTTCTTAAATTGTTCGAAAAAAATGTCTCAATTTGTTCAAAAAAATCGAGATATTCTTTTTTTAAAAGCTAAAAAAACCTTTAAAATTATTACTTTCTTGTATATTCTTCAGAATTTCACAACTTTATATGATGAACTCATTTTGAATAACTTCAATAGTCGGTTTTGAATTGAAAAATATCGTTTTCAAACGGTTTCTTTCAATTTTTTTGCATCTAAAAACCTTTATTTATCGTTACTTTCATCAATCAAAACTTGATGAAAAAGTCAAAAAAGCTTGAATTTCTTTTAAAAAAATAATAAAAAATTACTTCTAATCCCGATAAAAAAACTTGACATCTCGATTTTTATTCAAAAAAATTTTTGAATCTGAAGAAACGAGAGTAAAAAAATATACTATATACAAAAAAACTTGCTTTGATAGTTTCTATACTCAAAAACTGGATTCCTAGAATAAAATAAAATTTTTTTCCCAGATTAATGAGGTCAGAGAAATTGTTTTTTCTACAATTTTTCGAAGCCTAATTTTGAAAAAAAGATTCATAGTGAATTCCACTCAAATCACCATTACTATCCCCACTACTCAGGCCGTTGATCGCCTTGCAGAGGGACTCCAGGTCTCCGAACTCGGTCGCCGGTGGTTCGTTGGCCGCCATCCGGTTCAGGAAGAAGTTGGTCAGCAACTTGAGCGCCAATCCCTGCAAAATAACCAATTTATTCGAGGATATATGTCACATTTGTACAATTTTATGGCGGAGACGTGCAAAATGCGGAAATAAATACACAGGAAATGCGAAAAATGATAAATATTGAAAACCAAATGAAAGCTTGTGTGAGTGGAATGAAAATATTTACACAGTGCCAAAAAAATTCAACAAAAGTGATATAAAGGAAGGAGAATGAACTTGAATAAATAGAATGGGAAGACCGAGTAATAAAAATTCGTGAACTCTTCCATATAATTTTTTTGAACAGGATCGTGATTTTTTTGAAAATAAAAAAATCCTTTTTTTACTCAGATGACGTCATAATTGCTCTTTTGACTATCAAAATATCAATTTAGTTCATTGATGGACAAAAAAATCTTCTTTCTCACATTAAAATGAAGGTTCCTTTTTTTAAAAAAGGTATATGAAACATGCTACTTTTTAAAGCTTCTTATTGTGAAAAAAATTTATGTAAAAAAATAAATTTATTTGCTGTGAAAAAAATTCACGTGAAAAAGCTATTTTCGAGGTATTTTTTTGTAGAATGAGATTTTTCAGGTGAGCTTGAAAATTGAAATCATAAATTTCCGAGCCTCATAAATCCCTGAAAATTGCCTCTTTTTGGAGCATCCTAAAAAATCGAGGTGTCAAAAAAAAAGGAAGCATTTTGAAAATAGATGTTTTAAGAACATATACCAAAAAAAGGGTTAAAGCTGATTTTATGAAAAAAAAAAACCTCTAGTGAACATTTCAGTTCTGACTAGGGAGGGGTTTTCAATTTTAAGCTTGGAAATTCCTGAAAATCGGCTAAAAAAAATCCTTAAGAGTTCAAATTAATACCAATCTTGGTTGCAACTCGGGCAAACTTCACTTTTTTATAGAAATATTTTTTTGAAGTTACTTTTTTTGGTTTCAGGCCTGATTCAGTGTTAGAAGCAAACATCAAAAAGCCATAACTCAAAAATTTCGAAATAAGGCAAGTGGTGATTACGAGGAAATTTATTCTAGACCTTTAGACAGCATTCCAAACCGAAAAGTGACTCAAAAACGACAGAGTGGTCCCTAGAGGGGTTAAGTAAAAAAAAAAGCCCTTACAGTCGACAAAAAATCGCTCCATTGAGGATTGAAGACCAGGTGGTCCTTTTAGGGATTTATGGTCTGACCCTAAGCCCTAAAACTCAAGTGGTCCCTATAGTGGTCTCAAGATCGGGAAATTAAAAGACGTATTCAATAAAGCTTATTGATGTTTTTAATTCGAAAAACGATAAATTCCGACTTTTTGAAAATAAAAACGCTTCTCATAGAGTTCCTAGAAATACAAGACAATCCTAAAGTGACCACTGACGAAAACCCCCAGAGTTGCCACTTTTGCTAGTTTTAAAGCCCCTGTAGAGGGAGGTAAAGTGGTCCCTATAGGGATACCATCTATAGCCCTTAAGGTTGACCCTCCACTTTAAGAAGCTTTATCGCCCCTTTAGGGAGAGCTAAGGTGGTCCCTAGAGGGAAATTTTCAAGGGTTCTTAAGGTTGCCCCTCCACTTTTAACAAGCTTCTAAACAGGGAAAAGAGAACCTTCTGCCCCTATAGAGACCACTTGTCGTCCTAAGTAAAATGACCTCCTCTGGGAACTCAATAAAATCCTAAAAAAGGACAAAATTCAAGAAGAGAGGTACTCGTCGTCGGGGCCGTCATAGAAAAAGACGTTATCGAAGACGGCGTGCATGTTGGTGATCTTCTCGCTGAGCTCGTCGAACATTCTCTCGAGATTCTCCTCTTTTTCTTCAGAATCGTCGCCCTGAAGTTGGGCGATCTTCAGATGAGTGTTCGTGACGTCTTCATGTTGTCTTTTGACGGTTCGCATGGCTTCCAACTGAGGCTCTGTCAGGAAATGCATCTCTCCGTTGCGGAAATCTTCGAGGAGCTGGAGGAGGGTTTGTTCCTGCAAACAGGGAAGTTTTCTTTTTTTCGGTTTTTTAACATGGGCAAACTCCGGAAGGCCTCAAAATGGAGGATCTAAAGACAAATTTAGAGCTCTAAAAAGCCTCAAAAAGAAGATACTGAAGCTCTAAAAGGCCTCTAAACACGGGAAAAGTCCAAACGGCCTCAAAAAAGAGAAACTAAAGAAGAACCTAGAGCTCTAAAGGCCCCAAAACACGGGAAAAGTCTGAAGGGCCTTAAAAAGAAGATTCTGGAGCTCCTTTTTGAGTTCCTAAAAAGGTGTCAAGAACCTCTCAGAATCTCCTTTTTTTATACGTCTTCTTTTTTGTCTGCTTAAGTGGTCCCTTTCAGAAAAAGATCAAGAAAAAAATCTTTCAAAGAATATTTTCCCAAAAGCTTCTTTTTGGGACCTTCTGGCTTTTGCTTGCGAACTCAGATACGATTTTTGGGGGTTTTTTTTGCACTCTCTTTAAAATTTCCAAAAAAAAATACAGCTGTACTCAAAAAAAGGTGATTTGCACGGTATAAACCCACTTTACCTGAATTAAGCTTCTCACTAAATTTATTTTTCAAATATTGAAAAAACTACGCCTTCAACTATTCAAATCAAAAGAGTTTATAGATTGAAATCTCAAACCCAAAATTATCACTACACGTTTCAAAGCATGCAAAAACATTCAAACTTATAATTAAGTTTAAACATGGGGACAGCTATTCGAGAAAAAAAACATTGATCTATTTTTCTTGAAAGAAGAAAACTTCAATGGCTCACAGTGCGTATGGAAAACTACAAGAACTCTTTCAAATTTTTGCAGGAAAAATGATTTTTTTTTATATAAAGTCGATTTTTACTTGAACTATACTGGTGATCAAGTGAAATTATCAAAAATCAGTTAGAAAATGATTATATGGCCTAAAAAATACGGCTCTTCGCCTCGATACTCTTTTCGAAAGTTGTAAAAAAATTTCCGACATTTTCGAAAAATTAAATTCGCTACCGTAAAAAGTTGCATATCTCGATTTATCGTTGTAGGACGCATTTTTTTAAAGGATCCGGGACTTTAACTTTAATTTGGCCCATTTCACGGAACCATTTTTAACGAATAAGGCGTCAATTTTGAAATCGCCGAACTATGAACACTGTATGACCTTATGGAGGATTTTTGAACAAACTATAACTGTTCTAAAAAAAACCATTTCAACTTCTGAAACCAAAAAAGAACCTCGAACTGTGAAGACCCAGACGCAGCCTCCTGCTGCGGAACAGGCTCAACGACGAGTTTCTCGGTCATCGTGTCGGGCTCCCACTCGTAAAGCTCCTCCTCGCCCTCGTACCCGAGCATGCTTCCGTCCCCAGCCGCCCCGAACCACATCTCCTCCGAAGAGTCGGGACTGGCGAGCTTGTCGGGCCGCCCGATTTCCTCCTCGGTCTCCTCTTCGATCCCGTCCTTCTTCTTGTCTTTATCCTTGTCCTCTTTGTCGGATCTCGTGAACCGATGGAAGAAGTTGGTGATGGACGTCGCCGTGTCCTTCCTTTTCCGAGGCTCGTCGAAGGATTTGTGTCGTTTCTTCCTGTCCTTCTGCTCCTCGTCCTTCTTTTCTTTCAGCATTTCTTCCTTTCTCGAAGTCCTCAGTCTCGTCGAAGGGCGCTACGGATGACGTCAGAGGGGTCGAGAAGGAGAGGAGGCTCATCGGATGTTCTTCGTCCACCACGGAAAGGCTCGGAAGAGGATCTTCCAGAAGACGCGTCGTCTCCGATTTTGGCGATAAACTCACGTCTCGCGACATCCTGGCCTAAAAAATCAAAATAAAAATGGAATGTGACCTGTTAATGACCAAGAAAACATCAAAAAGCAACGCAAGAGTAGAAACATGAACTTTTAAAAACGATGCTCTGAAGAAAATATACAGTTTTCGGGTTTAGTAGGTTCTTTGGAACACTCGTTTTTCTTCGGTTTTGATTATAAATTTATTTACAAAACATCAACTGTGACTCACGATTAATGAAAATAACTACTCAGTTTTAAAAATTTTTTCGCCCTACAGATCTTGATTTCATACCAAAAAAATTATCAGATTGGTTTTTCGAAATTTGAGCAATGGACTCTTGTTTTCGGAACGACAATAGTAATAACAAAATATAAATAAATAATGACAATACAGGTGACGCCCGAGAAAATGATGCACTAAAATACCCCGCAATTGCAACTTACGTACGAAAAATTTTTACCATAGCTCCTCAAAGTGTAAAATAATCCAAGACTTCTGAAATTTAAGGAAGAAGTGAGTCGAAAAGACGAAACTAACCAAAGGAAACTACCTCTGATAAGTCTAACGAAAAACTCTAAAAGAATCTGTCCAAACTCTGATAACTTCTCTGACTATTGACTATCAATAAATAAGATATAAGGCAACAAGCATATGTGTAAAAAAAAAGAAAAAAAAAGAAAAAAAAGCAGAGTAAAATTTTAATTATTTTCCAAGTTTTAATTTCGTGAATGTGCGTGCACACTTTGCGCGCTATCTCACGACAGTTACGTTTCCAAGTCTCTTTTCAAGTTCGAAAGTATTTATTTCTGTGTTTAATTTTTGATATTGCTGGTTTTTGTAGATGTCTGATGCTGAACAAGATTTGCTCCTGAAAGTTGATCATGTTAAGTATCGCAAAGCGGGGGAAGGACGCTCTCCTGTTGGACGACTTTTAGTTTACAAGTTTGAAAAAAAATGTGCGCTTTTTTGATGGTGTACTTTTAGGGAATACGTAGAATGGAGAGATAATACTAGTCCAGAGGTGCTGAATCTCAAGTTTATGCATATTAAAGGTATGAATATAACGGAAAGCTTCGAAAATATTTAATTTAAAGGCCAGAGAGTGTCTCCGCCACACAAAGCGAAGGTTCAGCTCCAGTTGATCCTCCAAAATGACGACCAGGCCACTTTTGTGTTTCTGAACCCTGATTTGGACAAAAATGGTCAAGCAAAGGAGAGAGATGCTGTTAAAGAGACCCTTCAACAGGCTTTGATCGCTCATCGGGCTAGAGTTAATCAGGTTTTTCATAATAGCTTCTGTTATGGACTGAAATGAATGTTTCAAGCTTGCCGCTTCCGTTGAAGAAAGGTTCGAAAGACAGCGGAACTCGAGGCGAAGCAGAAGTTGCTGTGGCAAAACAAGCAGTTGGAGCAGCTTTACAAGCATCTCGTCAGCACGAAACTCATCTCTCCGCAAGATTTCTGGGCCGATTATTATAAAAATGTGGAGTTGAAATATATTTTTAGGTTAGAATGATGTTATTTGTGATTTAGGAAGGAATGGTTGAAGACAAGGCGGGAATCAGTGGCGCGTTTTTGGCGAATATAGCTCAGCAAGAGGGTGCAAATGGCGTCAAGCTTAATTTGAATGCTGAGATTATTCAAGCCATTTTCAATACCTATCCGGCAGGTGTGTTTTAATATTTTGTTATGGTATGTAATCTGTTGTTTCAGAGAAAAGTTTAGTGAAGGTATTTTGACGAAGAACCCTTTTCAGAGGTGATCAAGTTGAGCAAGAAATTCTGTGTTTTTAAAAAAGCTTTTGTATAATATTTTTGAATTTTATTAAGCTTCGTTTCGGGTTTATCAGTTAATCATATGATCTCAAACAAGGCTTGAAATAAGTCTTAGAAACATCTTAGAAACAATTTTAAGGAATCGAGTTTTTTTCGCAGAGGTTTTTTAAATTGGGAGATCTTCAAAAATGCATGAAAGTCGAAATTTCAATAAGAATTTTGCGTAGTTCCCCTCAAAAAGCTGAAATGATTTTTTTCTTCTGTTTCGCTGGCCAAAAAAACCACAGTTGCACAGAAAAAATCCGCGGAACTGCATTTGAATCAAATTCTTTTGAAAAAGAAGATGATTTTTTTAATTGGCGAGAAGTTGATAACAGTGAAATTATGTGTATTTGAAAGGTGAAAATCTTAAAATTATGTCTATAGATCGCAAAATTTTGTTTAAAAAGTTCAAAGACAGCTACACGGGATATGAAAATTAGCTATTTTTGGAGTTTTCTGAATGATGTTAGCTTTCAAATAGTTCTGGATTCACCATCGTCGCTATTTTCACGATGAAAAAAATTTACTTTATTTCAAGTTTTCTTTCGCGAAATTCTTCTGTGCCACCCTGCCAAAAACCTCTCAAAATTTCTTATCCAGCGAATCTCAAACTCTTCTCGTTTCAGTGGAACAGAAGCACCTGGAACTCGTCCCACACGAAATGACGGAGACTCAGTTTTGGTCGAAATTCTTCCAATCCCACTACTTCCATCGGGAACGGGACGTGATGCCCAATCCGAAGGATCCCTTCGCCGATTGCGTCAAAAACGACGACGCCGAGATCGGGAAGATGCTCGCCGACGGCGTCAATCGCAAGAGATTCGACCTCGATCATCTCGACGACAACTCTTTGAGGGACTTCCTCCATGTTCGTTCTTTTTCTGAGGATTTTTATAGTTTATTCGAAAATGCTTTTTCGAAATTTAAACTTAAGTATAATAACAGTTTAAAAAGGTCTTAAGGCGAAAAAATTTTTTCAGTGTACTTTTAAGTCTTTCAGAACTTCTGGGCCTCCGAATAACTAAATTAGAAATTCCAGAGTGGCCACTATAGGGGTTAGAAAGACAAACAGCCCCTACAGAGGTGAAAAAGTGATCCCTATAGGGGTTTATGGTCTGACCCTTACAAAATTATATTTTATTCTTCTCTTTTTGATCTTCTGCCTAACTAAAATTTTGAAACGCTCAAAAAATTTGAAATTCGAGGGCGTTTCCATTTTTTCGGTTACTGTTGTTATTTTCATTCGCTTTTAATCATTTTGGATCTTTCAGTTTTTATTCTGATTAAAATAAGAAAAAATCTTCTGAAAGAGCTGAATGTACCGAAATCTTATTTAGAGTCGAAGATTAGGAAAACCTTGGATAAAAATGACAAAATTTTTAATTTGCAAAAAGGAGGTTTTTGATGTCTTAACCTTTTTTTAATCGAACATTTGAGCATCCCAATAGGATCAGTTTTTAAATAAAATTCCGACTTGAGGGGAAAAATTACTCGAAAGCCACTGTTATCATTTTCAAATTTTTCCAGAAATCAGAATCTCAACCAAAGTCGACGAAGCAGACGTTGATCCGACGATGCAACTATCTCTCGGAGAAAATCGTCCAGACCTCGTCTTTGTTGACGGGAAATCAGCAACCCAGTGGAAGTGCTCAGAACGGCGAAAGTTCGACGTCTTTGGGAAGACCCAGGGGTTTCGCTGCTTTAGGGGTCGGTTTGGGCTCGCAGAGTTGTTTTTTGAGAGTTGGGAAGGAGATTTTAACTAGGTCTGTTGCAGAGAACCTGTGTTAGGGGGTGGGGGAGAAAGTTTCATATTTCCTTAAAAGCTGCAATTTTTTTCTTTTTTAGCTTCAAATTTTTTTATTGAAATGAAATAAATTTGAAAAAAATGTTAAAGATTGATCATAGAATGAAAAAAACTCAAAAAAATTATTATATTTTTTTATTTAAGCCAATTTTGAAACAGTATGAGGAATTTTATGAATGATGTTTCTAGAGTGAAAAGATTCCCTATCCGTTATTTTAGGATTTCAGAAGAAAAAAATTGATGAAAAAGACGATTCTTTCCAGAAAATAGTAGCCGACGACGAAACCCGGTTAGAGTCGGAGGAACTGCAAGAAACGGTCGAAGAATCGGACATCCAGCCGATCCGGATCGATGAGCAGTCCATTGCTGAACGGGTAAATAATAATGATTTTTAAAAAATTTTTGAGTGTGAAATTTTTCTTTTTTTCTTATACCAAAAAGTCTTTTTCTTCAATAAAATGCACATCGACAGATTTGATGAGTTCAAAAAAAGATAATTTTAAAGTTTTTCCATGCATTTTCTGCACTAAAGATATCTGCTTAGTCTGGCACGAAAAAAAGCGATATCGCAGGTACATTAACGATATCGCGAATTACCCGCGACTTCGCCTTTCTATCGATTTCCTCATGCTCAAAAAAAAGGGTTTTTTCTCGAAGGCGATATCGCACCCAAAAAATAACGCGATATCGCGCCAAGGAAAACGCAAGTCCTTCGTGGCTACAAAGTAGCTTTTTCGCGATATCGCTGCACCGGCCTCTTTTTTTTGGCGCGATCTCGAGTTTCTTTACGTTTTTTCTCATGCACTCAGTAGAATTGTCAGATTTTCTAAAAAAAAAACCCCGCACGACATATTTGCGATATCGCCAAAGTGCCGCCAGCGATATCGCCTTTATATCGCATTCATTATTTTTTTTTTGCCTCACAAAGGTTTTTTCCAGAAAACATACCCTCCGAAAGACGCGAAAATGTACAAATCCCTCGTTCTCAGCTTATTTGACGATAAAACTGATGAGGTTTCTTTCAATTTATTCATTTTTCTCATTGATGATTTTCAGGACATCCTTTCCGGTACTGGAGATTTGATCGATTTTGACGATTCTCATACGAAGAATGGAGTGATGAAAAATGGGAACAGTGTGAGGATTTTACTATTTTTCGTATAGTCTGTTCAGATCTCAAATGTCAAGTAGTCGCTTAAGCTCCGCCCCCTAATGGCGCGATAAACCAATCAGAGAGCGAGCCATCCGCAGAGCGTTTTTGAATGACGTCATTCTACTTGACATTCAAAATCTGAACAGACTATAGCAGAGTTTTTTGCGCTTGTTGAAAATTTGTTATATGTAAAAATGACTTCGAGCGGCTAAAAAAACAGGGTTTCGAGCAATACGGCGCCTCGAAACTGGAAAAAAATACAGGATTTTTGAGCAACTAGTGAAAACTGTGTCTCGAAACAAAAAGAGTTATTGTGGGTGGAGATTACCGTCTCCGGAATATAATTATCTTTTTATTAACGGGTTATTTTGAATTTAAACGAATTTACAGACTTTCATATATTTCTGTCGTTATGAATATCTTCAAATCCACTTCAGAAAAAAACTAAAATATGTCTGCTTGCAAAAAAAAATGGGGTCTCGATACGAAAATAGTTATTAGGAGTTGAGGATACTGTAAAGTTTAGCGCTCTTTTGTGCAACCCCGTAATTTATCTAATTACATCGTTCCTTGTTACGGGGAAAAGAAAACCAATCATTTCTGTACAGAAAGAAGTGAACGGATGCCCGCCCCCGGAAAAATGGGGACTCCCTCCGACGGACCTCGCAGAACTGAAGGCCGTCCACAGTTCCGTCGCCGAGTTGTGTCGACATTTCTGGTCTTGTTTCCCGCCGACGACCGCCCGAACTCGAGGCCAAGGTACAGTTTTGTGAATATTTTTAGGATTGTAGGCTCGGGATACGGCTAATAACAGAATATATATAGGCCAAAGTAAAAAAACTATTTAGTTTATTAGAAGGTTAGGTATGGATTGGGATGAGCTGGTGAAGCTAGCAAATAAAAAGGAATTCAGTTCTAGCTTGATCAATTTATCGATTTATTTTCACGAAAAGAGTTACATAATTCTAAATAAATCGTAAAAATCGTTTAAATGACTGAAATTCAAATATTTCACTATTTTTGAGCTGTTTTGAGCGTTTTTTTGAAAAAAATTCGTTCAATTGGATGAGGACCAGAACTAAAGAATTTCGGCATTCACCTCATTTTCATATAAATTAATAAATTTTCGATACTATCAAATTATTGAAATCTTCTGATCTGAAGATTTGTATCTGTGTGTACCTTATCTTGTTAGACGGATTTGAAAAAGTTCAAGTTTTTTGAGAGGTCATGGAAAAAAATTGGAAGTTTAGAGATTTCATCAAAATTCGCTTTCTTTAACTTTTTTCACCGTTTCAAGCCCGATATTTAAAAAATACCCGGAGAATAACTATACTTCGTAGTTCGCTAGTGCATTCTAAATTTATTCATTTTCAGATCGAGCGAATGGAACAAACTTTGACGAAATATGAAACTGAGCAGCTTTCCGAGTTCGCCAAGCGATTTGGGCGGTCAAACGTGGGGTTTTCTTTGTTTTGACCAACTTAGGGACTTCAGAGAGGTCCCTATAGGGGCAACCTCAAGATTCCCATCCAGGGAGCGCTTAGGGGCCCGATCATAAAACTATAAGGACCACCTTTAACCGTCTAGGGAGCACTATTTTGTCGGATAAAGGGCTGTTTTTTCCCTAACCCCTGTAGGGACCACTCTGGAATTCCTAAAGTTTAGTCTCCAGTCGCAGTGGGATTTTTGAAAGAGATCAGGGTTTTCTAGGGCTAGTTTTTAACATGCTGATTCTATTTCTGGTCTTAGAAAGTGCCGGGGAGGTCTGTGAAAAAAGATATAGACCCTCAAAAGTCAGAAAATTTCTGGGTCCGCAGCTCATATTTGGAGGCTAGTCTGTTCAGATTTTGAATGTCAAGTCGCCGATCAAGCTCCTCCCCTAATGGCGCGATAAACCAATCAGAGAGCGAGCCATCCACGGAGCGTTTTCGAATGACGTCATTCTACTTGACATTCAAAATCTGAACACACTATATATAGATCTTGTCCCTCTGGTAGCAAAAATAATCATTTTCAGCCCAGATATGATTTTTTGATCTTCATCAATGTGAATCAACGTAAAAATAATGCTTCTAAAGAACCTAGTCCCATTCAGAAGTCCACTGGTAAGCAAGAAAGCTTGAAAAAGATTTTAAAAAAATTTTACAGAGCAAAATGTCTTAATTCCAATAATTTCTCATTTTACAGATCGAACACTGTTCCAACATGATCCTACGGGCACATGAACGCTACAAATTGTACGCGGAACGAAGGAAAAAATAAAAAACTGATTATTCTTGTCACTTGGTAGATGCCAATTTCATCCCCTCACATATATCTATTTATTTCTGTTTTACCGAACCCTGTTGTTAATATGATCTCCTCTTATTTTCTCTTTTTAATTCATTAATTGTCATTTTTACGAGTATTTTCTGTTGGCCTTGTTTTATGGAATACATGAATTTTCTGCTTTTTCCCATGGTTTTTGATTTTCAAAGCTGATTTTATCATTCGTGATAATATTTTATGATTATATCAAAGTAAGGGTCTCTCACGCTTCACATTTGAAATTAAGAAGATGAATCTTTCAGAAATTGAGCTTTAAAATAATTTTCTCAAGGGCTTATGATCACCGTAGGAACAGGAAATGTTTCAATAAGCCTAAAAATTTATTTCGAAATAGTACTAATTTTTGTTTAGAGCATTTTTGTTGCATTTCGAAACAAATATCATTTTATTCAGATGAAGCGACTTTTGTCGCTTGCCAGAACGGGTGCCGCGCTTCTGTCAAAGTCGCATCAGAATCAGACGATCAGAAGACGTTGGCTGACGACGTCGACGGGCGAAGAAGACGCCTCGACGTCTTCTGAAGACGTCCCGGCGACGTTGAGACCCGACCTCGACTTTGACTTTTTGCTCGACGACGCCAACTTGCAGAAGATCAGGAAGAATATCCAGTGGGTGTTGGGAAAATCAAGAGAATTTGAAATGTATAGGTTCTTCGAAAAAAAAAAAGATATCTTTCAATTTTTGAACGGAAGAAAAAAGGTAAAATTCCAGTAATACCAGGTTTTTTAAGGATATAAAGCTAAAATATTTACTTGAAGGAAATTGAAGCCGTGTTTAAAGTAATTTTCGCGAAATGTTAAATTATCTCTGACTCTCCAGAATGTAGTTATCTTTTTTTCACTCTCTGACGGCTTTTTTTGATTTTCGCGGAATCATTTTGAAACGGGAAAGTTCGTTAATGTTCAATATTTTTTGAAGATTAATCTCGAGCTTTTTAGGGAACGGAAAGGCGTCGGAAATATTGATGCAGTTCGAGAAAAATGGGCGGCGATCCAAGAACTCATGAATTCCGGTGGAAAACCGCCCGGAATGACCGAAGCCAAGTATGCTCAGATGTGGAGTGAGGTATGTAGAAAACGAAAAATTTTCTAGAAAACTATTGAAATATTACCGAATTCAGCTTTACGATGAAGCCTTGGCAATTCCAAATATGTCGGAAGATAGTGTGCCCCGCGGTGGGATCGAGCAGGCCAAGGTAATTTTTTCTGAACGGTGTAGAAGTTTATTATAGGATCTACAACTTAACATAAGCCTGATTTGAAATGAGTTTCAAGGTGCTCGCGGAATGGGGAACCAAGCGGGAAGATGACTGCTTGACGGCTGAGAAACTCGTTCAGCCGTGGCGCGCCCTGTTTCATCCAACTGAAGCCTCCGGCCAGAGGAGCTACGTTTTTACAGGTTCTTTCCGAATCCATCAATGTTATAGCATATCATAACTATACCTGGACAAGTACAGAGCACAATCAGTTCAGTAAGAGGAGGAAATTCAGCGAAACAACGAGTGTATTTCTAAGCTCAGGGAGATAGTTCTGGCAAGAAAAAGTTAAGATTCAACCTCAGGAAGTTAATTCTGCTTCCTTTTGAAGCGCTTGAGCGGCATCGGTATAGCTGATTCACGGCTGGCTTGAGCCATCGAGAAGAGGGTCATGCCACGAAAAGAGACGAGACAGTGCCCTGGTTGGCGGAGAGTGCAGACAGGCCACGCCTTTTTGCGTCCCAAGCTAGCCGTGAATCGTCTATACCCCAAGTAAAGTAGCCGAGGTCATATACTGATAATGGTTGTACTGGCTCTAGTGACATAGTCGCTCTTGTATGTGACAGCTGGGGATTTTTAAAGCCCTGGTTTCTCGAACTTGTGACCCTATGAACTGTAGACAGGCCCACAACCTGTTGCGCCACGGCGCGCCCATAGACAGCACGGTAAACTTGGAGGGACTAGACAAAAGAAGAAAAAACCCAGAATCTTACTCTCCACGTTTTACACACTCTCTGAAAGCATGTCAATTTAACAGAGACCAGCTTCTCAGACAGTGTGTAGAACGAGGAGAGTACGATTCTGGTCTCTCCATGTTTATAGCTGATTCACGGGCAGCTTGGGACGCTAAGAGGGGCGTGTCCTGTCTGCACTCTCCACAAGCCAGGCGCTATCTCGTGCATTATCGTGTCAGGACCCTTTTTTCGATGGCTCAAGCCAGCCGTGAATCAGCTATACCATGCTCTCTCAACTGATGCCTGATAGTTTCTTCCGAGCTTTGAAGTAGGTATGCTATGCTTAGCTAATTCACGGATGGCTTGAGCCATTAAAAAAGGTCCTGACACGATTTTTAAAAAAAACGAGAAAATGCTTGGTTGGTGGAGAGAGCAGACGTCTCTTTGCCTGCCAAGCTAGCCGGGAATAGGCTATTTGACCAGAACCAGAACATTTCACTTCAGAACTTTTTCTCTCAAACAGTTCGATTTTTGAGGTCCCTTGGCACGATTGGAAAGCGCCCTTCTGGACTATGCCTATGAACGCGCCAATGTCCTTGGCTTCAAGCCAATCAGCGTGTCCGATATTGTTTCCGGTGACGTCACGGCCGCCTGTGGCCTCAGTCAGCGGAGTGATCAGAATATCCAGGTATATAGTCCATTCGACTACTCTGCACCCTCCTCGTCTCTCGGGGACCCTCTCATGTTTCCGTGCTATTTTTATGTTTTTCTGATCTCGCCGGTGAGAGAACAGAGAGACGGAGACACTCGCGAATGATTTCTTTGCGCCCTCCTTGTGTCTCGGCGACCCTCTCATGTTGACGTGCTATTTTCATGTTTCTCGGATCTCATCGGTGAGGGAACAGAGAGACGCAGACACTCGGAAATGATTTCTCTGCGCCCTCCTTGTCCCTCGGTCACCCTATCATTTTTGACGTGCTATTTTTATGTTTCTCTGATCTCGCCGGTGAGGGAACAGAGAGGCGCAGACAGTCAGAAACTTTCAAGTCGCGGCAATTTTCTCATCATGCAAAAAACTCCAAATTTCCAAACTCCAGTACTCGCTTCTCAAAGAACCCTCCGTGAAGCTGTCCGGAACTGCTGAGATGGGGATCGCGGCCTTTATGAGGGGCCGGACTTTTTTGGAGGAACAAATGCCGGTCAGAGTCATTGCCCTCAGTCGGTTAGTTCCATAACCTTCAAAAAAAAAGATGAAAGTATTATTTTCCAGCTGTTTCCGCCCTGAAATCAGCAAATCGGCCAGCGAGGCCAAACTGTACAGAGTTCATGAGTTTACCAAGGTTTTGTACTTTTTTTTGTATTTTGAGATCTTGAAGTCTTAGCCGAAAGGGTTTCCTCTCTTAGGAACGCTAGAGTGGTTCCTAGAGGGGCACTTGGAGATTCTCCTATAGGAACCAAATTAGATCCCAGAGGCTCTGCAAAAGTGACCACTTTAGGGGTTCCGGTTAGTGGCCTCTATAGGGAAAATGCTAGTCGTTTAGTGTTGTTTAATTGGTTGAAAAAATATCAGAGGGTCATCAATCGATCAATTTTTAACAAACGTGTCTTTTCAAATTTCAACAAAACCACTGTAGGGACCTCTCAGACCCTGAACCTCTATTTTTTGCCCTAACCCCTCGAGGGACCACTCTGGCTGTTCTAAGTATTACAAGTCCTTTGGAAAAGTTTCAATTTGAATTTATGATTTAAAAAAAAAAATCAAAAAAATGAAAATAAGTTTTCCTGCATTTTCTCATTTTTTGAAGACGTTCATTGATTTTTTTTTTAATTGATTTTTTTATAATTTTTTTCGAAAAATGCAGGTAGAGATGTTCACAGTGTGTACGCCGGAGCAAAGCCAAGCGGAACTCGATTTTTTGACTCAAATCCAAAAAGGAACCTTCGAAGCGCTGGGCATCCATTGCAGGTTTGAAATGAGGCTCAAAAATTTTCCTAACTTCTAAAAAGTTGAAATTGGTAGGAAAACTTGCTATGAAATTATCGGATAAAGCTCGTTCAGATCACATAAAAATTAAAATTTCGGTTATTAGAACGATTTTTAAGTTGCATCTGCGCCTAATGGAACAACAGCTTCAAACTGCAGTTTTTCCAAAATTTAGGCTTTCAGAAATTTTTTTATAACGTTATAAGATTCATGGATATTACTGTGACAAAAAAATAAATCATCTAAAAAAAGGAAATTAGAGGTATTTTTAGATAAATTATTTCACATAATTTCATTTTTTTAGGGTTATAGACTTCCTGAAAAAATATCCTACCTCATACAGTTGAATTTTTTTCACTTTACTTCAGTTTCCAAAGCTAATTTAAATGAAAAATTTTGTTTTTGTCCCAAAAAAGGCTCAAGAAAAGCTTGTAGACAATTGGAAATGCCGACGGAAGAATTGGGAGCCCCGGCGGCCCGGAAAATCGACGTCGAAGCTTGGATGCCCGGAAGAAAACTGTACGGAGAAGTGTCTTCGGCGAGCAATTGCACGGATTATCAGTCGAGGAGACTTGGTCGGTACTTTTATATTTATATAGTCTGTTCATATTTTTTTAATGTCAAGTGCAGTTACGTCATTCAAAAACGCTGTGTGGATGGCTCGCTCTCTGATTGGTTTATCGCGCCATTAGGGGCGGAGCTTGATCGGCGACTTGACATTCAAAATCTGAACAGACTATATATTTATTTATTTCATTCACAAGGGATATACTCATTGAAAAGTTGAGAGATGAGATAAAAAAGAAAAACTGAGGCGAATGAAATAAGATGAACCCCGATTTTTACAGCACCCCAACGAGTGCAGTTACCGGGACTAGTTACTTAAAGGCATAGGGGCAGTAAAAAACGATGTTTCAGTTCAAAGCAGTACTTTTTAGAGTTTTTCTTTGCTAATCGAATGGTGAACTTGGAAGCGTACCAAACTTCCTAGTTTTGGAGAAAAAAATTCAAAGTCGGAGAAAGGAAAGTTTGAGTTCCCGCCAAAAAGGCTTTTACCCGTAAAAATTTATAGTTTTTGAAATATGAACTTCAAAAAAATATCCTCAAAACCCGTTAAAGTATACTATTTTTGGGCTTTGAGCCCTTATTTTTTTGAAAAACTAGGAAGTTATACAAGTTGAAAGGTTCAGGACTTTTTTTCTGGTACATCAATGAGTTTTCTGGACAATTTTCTGGATACTCCGAACCGCAAAGTGGAATGACCTGCCTTGTGGGAATAAAATTGTTCGGCTTGAAAAAAATATAAAAAGGAAAGCGAAAAGATAATGAAAGTATAAAGTAAAAATATGAAATATGACCCTCTTTAAAAAGTTCTTTCTTTCTAGGTATCAAATACAAGACGAAAGATGGAACTTCGAGGTTCACCCACGTGTAACGGAACCGCCCTGGCTACCACTCGAGCCATAATCGCCTTGTTGGAAACTATCCAAAATGTTCGTTCCAATCAATAAATCAATATAACCATCATTTTCCAGGAAAAGAAAGGCATCGCCGACCTTCCTGACGTCATCGCCCACCGAATCAAAAAAGAAAGATTCCCCCCGATCCGATTCCAACCTGCCAAGCCGTTGAATTAAATAATTATACTGTTTCATAGTCAGATTATATTTTTGAAATAAACGTGGTAGCTTCATTTACATGTCATTTCCTACACAAAATGCGGCGATTGTTACCGATTTTCCTGCTCTTTTCGATTTTCGATACAGTGGCTGCCGACTTTTTCGAGCACTATTTCGGGTTTTTCTTTAAATTCTGATTTTTAAGCTCATTAAAAAACTTGCTTCAGAATTTTTTTATAGACTTCCAAAGTTTCCAGTGTAAATTTTTCGAACCTTTCGATTTTCTATTGTCTTTTTCACTATGGATATGAAAATATTTCAAAAAAGTTTTTAACATCAGATTCCGCTTACAGATTCAATTTTAAAATGTAAAACTCCCTCAAGAAAATGATAGTTCTATCAATTCACTTATTTCGAATTCGGTAGGACCCAATTTCGAAGATTACTGTATTTTGCAGCACTATTCGGATTTTTTCTTGAAAAAAAGTTTATGGGCTTTTTTTTGACTTACCTATTTACACTCAGGAACGCCAAAGTGGTCCCTAGAGGGAAGGATTTTATAGGCTCCCCTCTAGGGACCATATTAGAACCCCTATAGGGGTACCAGACTTGCAAAATTGGCTACTTTCAACTTTCACTATACGTCTCTTCATGTTGAAATCATACCAAAAAAAATTAGAAAAAACCCTGCCCGCCAAGCGTTTAGGGGCTCATGTGCAGACTCAAGCCTCTAAGTAAGCTATCTTTGTCCTTTCTAGCTGTAATCCCCTAGCCTTTGGTGGCCACTTTACAAGGCTTCTTCTTGAAATCGAGCTTCTGAAGAAAGGTTTTCAGTATAGTCAATGTTTCCCGACTTGAAAGGGGAGGAAGGCGAGGGCAAGGGGCGGGACGCGTAGCGTGTGCGCACGCGGTTCTTGGCGCCAGTTCAATTCAATCGCCGCCGACTATGTAAAAAGCTCGGCGACCGCTCTTTCTCTGTATTTTCTACTAATTTTTGATGCAAAAATTAACATAATCAATAAATAATTAAAAAAGAAGTGAAAAAGAGCGATAAATGAGCTCTCTCGAATGCTCGCTGGCCGTTGAATTGAACTCGTGCCAAGAACCGCGAACGCACACGCTACGCGCCCCGCCCCTTGCCCCGCCTCCCTCGCCTTTCAAGTCGGGAAACATTGACTATACCTGCTGTTCATCATTTAATTTTTTTCAATCACCAGAAGCCCCTGGATTTTCGGTTTACTGTGCGCTTTCACGTTCGCCCTGGCTCTCTGCCTGGCTTTTGCCTGTTACGTCGACTTCCGTCATTGGAATAATGGAATAGGTAAGAAAAATTATCAGAATATAGTCAATCCTTCCCGAGTTGAAAGGCGGGACGCGTAGCGTGTGCGTACGCGGTTATTTTTTAGTGGAAGAAAATGCGAAACCAAAAATTAAGAGAGCGTGGTCAAAACTTCCATGGAGAGAAACGCGTGAAAAACAGGAAATATTAAAGGCGCATTCAATGGGTCATGAGACGAACCTATTTCTCATTAAAAAAGCCGATTTTTCGGTTTTTTTTTTGTTTCAAAACACATGCCGTGTTAGAAGTGATTTCGCGAAATTGAAAGTAGCCACCAGAGAGGGAAAAATATAACTGAATTTTAGTTCGCGAAAATTACGTTGAACGCGGTGTGTGCCAGAGCGCCGCAGTGTATGCACACGACACACTACACTTCACGAAAAATATGCCTGACGTCGCCAAAAAAAAAACGCCGTGGCAAGAGTCCAATTCAAGCGCCACCCACATTTTAAAAAGCTCGGTTATTGCTCTTTTTGTGTCTATTCTACAATTTTTTATGCAGAAATTTGAGAAATCAATAAATAACCAAAAAAGAAATGAGCGTTTAACGAGGCTCTCAAAACATTTAATATTTAATATACTAAATATACTATTTAAATAGTCGCTGGCGGTTAAATTGAACTCGTGCCAAGAACCGCGAACGCACACGCTACGCGTTCCGCCCCTTGCCTCGCCTTTCAAGTCAGGAAAAATTGACTATAGTTTCGATGGAACTTGATTCAGACATGACGAACCAACTCCGGTATCCAGAAGCTTCGGAACAAGATTTTATGGACTGTCTCCTGGATCAGACTCAAATTGATGAATCTGAGGTTTGGAACTTTACTCAAATAACTGCTTGATGTTAGTTATCATATGAACGAAACAGCGTGTGCAAATGAGAGGATTCGACGAATCTTTATGATAACAGTTTTGAACATCAAAAGCATTGAAAACTTTGTAAATATTAATTTTGCTTTTTTTGCCGCTCAAACTCGTTCAAATTATTCTTTTTCAGTGTTTATTTTTGCTGGTCCTCATCTTTGGACATTGTTCTATCATTTCCAATAATGAAAAACCATCATTACTGTGTTTTAGTGCGGAAAAATAAACAAGAAGCTTTTTCTCTAATTTTTTTACTGATCTTTGAGACCGCGCCGCACCCTTGCAACGCCCACTTTTTTCGCGACCTCGACCAAATTTTCTACAGAAATTTTAAATCGCGATACGCGCGCTTTAATGACTGTAACTTCGTTCAGAGTCGATATTTTTCCAAGATCTCTTTTTTCAAAAGTTTTCAGGACTATGGGCTACACGGCCATATGAAAATCATTGAAATCTAATGGTTTCTAGAAAACTGCCTGCGGTCTTTGTCTTTATCCCCAAACGGGTAGTGAAAATGATATGCAATAAATTAACTTCCTGCTTCCGGAGCGTTTGAAAATTGCTTTTTGTGAAAATATTTTAATAGGTCATTTCGGTATTCTGCAAAAGTCAGCCGCTTTTTTTGAAAAGTTTGAAGTTTTTGGTTTTTTTATCCACTAATTTATCAAAAAGTGACAGAAAGGTCTGCTGAATAAGAGATTTTTTTCCTGAAAGTTCGCGCAATTTTCGATAAAAGACGCCTAAAATGCCAATTTTTTTCATTTCAGGTCAAAATCGGCTCCTCGGAAACGCTTCTCGACCACAACAGAAGAGAGCTCGAAATGGCTTTGGAAAAGACTCAAAACAGCGAGGTTTTACTGTTTCATTCTGGTTATTAAGAGGTTTTCAAATTTGTTAAAGCTATTGTATAGCTAAAATAAAATGACCGAAAAATCAATAATTTTCGATGACGTGAAATAAAATTTTCTCATTTTTAAACCCCTTTTGTAAGTCGACTATAAATAGCCTATCAAACAGAATTCGGGGCTCACAGGCAAAAATAAAAAGTCTGGATGAGTCGAAATTTCAAATTTGTCCATAAAATCGGAAAATTTCAGATGCAACTCCCACCGGTTAGTATCGGTTTGTCTACTGCGAGTCGAGAGAAAAAGCAACTGAGAATTATTCAAGGTTTATTATATGTATCTTAGGAGCGCCAGAGAGGTCCTTAGAGAGGTAATCTTTAAGTGGCCCAAATAGGGGTTCAAGGTTTGATCCTTTTTTGATATTATTTCATTCAAAAAACGCTGATTTATTGATTTTTATGCATGAAAATGCCATTTTAGAATCTCCTCCAAGTAGCTCTTGAGCAATCCCTTAAGTAGCCACTTGGGTTTTGACAGAAATTCTAATCTTCCAGCAATCTACACCGCATCGAACAGAGACGTTCCGGATTTCATCAAACAGGTCTTTTTGAGTCAATTATTTTAAATTTGAACTGATATACCAAATAAATATCTACCTAGAAGCCTATGGTTACATTTGGAATGGATGAATCGATTTGTGAAAAGCTTTTTTGTGCGTCCGACTCGAAACTACTTGCGCGCAGATGCGTCAAAAACATAAGAAAAAGTTTCTAAGTGTCTTTAATCGAACCACAACGCGACGTGAGATGTTCCGCTCAGGTCCATAATTGATTTTTAAAGGCATAGGGGCAGTAAAAAATGGGGCATTTTGCGAGAAATGACCGGATATCTGCTTCAAATCAAGGGTTTCTTTTCTGGAAAAACATTAAGTCGAACAAAAAACATACAGCGATAATAAAGAAAACACAAAATATCGCTATCCCAATCGAAACCTGTGTAAAATCATCATTTTTCGCTAGAGAAGCATTTTTGCGATCAAAGTTTGCAACTTATACATGAACAGAAAGCTTTTGTGACGAAAAGAACTTTGGGGACAACACAAAAAATTGAAAATTGAAAGAAACGAAGAAAAAATCGAAAATCCGGAAGATGACGAAACCTGTTGTCCATAGAGCAACTTTACTGCAAAGCGCCCTTTTCGCGGGAACTCAAGCTTTCCTCTCGCCGACTTTGAATTACTTTTTCTTTAAAACTAGGAACTTCTGTAGGTTTCCAAGCTCACCGTTCGATTCGCAATGAAAAACTCTACAAAATACTGCTTTGAACTATAACACCGTTTTTTACTGCCCCTATGCCTCTACAACTGGCTGGAACGAAAAATAAATTATTGATTGATTAAAAAAAAAGAATAAACAACTCAATTGACAGGGCCTCGTGGTAGAAGACGAGAAAGAACGGAAGCTCGAAATGATAAAAGAAGAAAACGAAGGGATCCAAATCACGTTACACGATATTCATGGAAAGGTCTGCATGATCCTCCATTTTTTCCAAAAAAAAATCTTCAGGAAATCCAAGAGGAGACGAAGAAGGAAGAAGGGACGAAAAAAGAGGAAGATAATAAAAAAGTTAAAGAAACTAAAAAGGAAGAGGAAACCAAGAAAGAAGAGCCGATACCTTTGGAAGGTAAAGTTATACTGGTCGCATTTGGAATGGCTTGAAGATTTGCGGCGCGGTTGAAGTTGGAGCAGCCGCAACGCGTCGAGCCATTCCCAGTGCGACCAGCGAGTTTTACTTCAAGAGTTTATTTTTTTTTTCAGTTCTACCGAAAAAAGAAACTGAAAAAGATAAGGAGAAGGAAAAGGGGAAAAATCGCTCTGACGAGAAAGGAAGCTCATGAAAACTGAAACAGGTATTTTTAGTAAATTTTTTTAATTTATTTTTAATTTCTGACTCATTCCAGAAGCTCTACAAATTTTTCAATTTTGCTTGTAAACGATGATTTTTTGTATTAATAAAATGACGATATTCTTTTTTTTCCAAAAATCAGGCTTATCGGTTGAAAAAGTGTGAAATTCATAACTTCTTATCTATTCCTGTTCCAAATTTGGTTACTCACTGGGTTTCGCCATGACTTGAAGGATGAAACTGGTCTTGACACGTTCTGAAAAAATAGTGTGTTAAAAGTAGAGATTCAGACTTCAAAGTGTGCACCCGACCAAAAACGACTCTCGCGCGGCTCCATAGAAAATCTCAGAAGTAACTTAGGAGCTCCGGAGTGGTCCCTATAGGGAAAACTAAGGGGTCATTGGAGAGTCTCCTTTAAGGATCACTATACCATCTCCTAAAGAGGCCAATGAAGCTTGCAAAAGTGGTCATTATAGGGGCTGGCCACTAAAAAAGCGATCCCTATAGAGGTTTGCCATAAAAGCTTGCAGTAGTGGTCCCTATAGGGGTTCGCCATTAAAGCTTGCGAAAGTGGCCCCTATAGGGGTTGGCCACTGAAACTTGCGAAAGTGGTCCCTAGAGTGGTTTTAGTTAGAGGCCCCTATAGGGGACATGCTAGGCGATTATTTTTATGACCTCTATCAACGATAAATAAGCCTTTTTTGAATGAAAAACATTAAAATATAATCAATTGATCAAATATTTTTCTTTTTCATCATCAAACCTAAACAAAAAGTTGTAAGAACCCTACAGGAACCACCTAAATTTTACCCCTGTAGTGGCCCCTTTTTCGGTCCTTTTTCTCCTGACCTCTATAGGAGTCATCTAGAATCCCTCAGAAAAGCACTTTTATTGAAAACTTGAGAATCGTTCTAAAAAGTGAGCCTTTTCCTCTCCTCTCACACAAAAGCCTTTTAAAAAAATATGGCTCACTGGTAAAGCGCTCGCTTGCCACTCGAAGGGTCCCAGGTTCAATCCTCCTTGCCTCCATCTACCTTTTTTGCCGTTTTGCCGCACTTCCAATGGAAAAGCTCGATTGTTTGTCGGGTTGGACTATTTGCACTGAATGTTTGGCACCTCTCCTACTTCTCAATATTATTTCTTGCTCCCTCGGGTTCCAAACGACGTGTTTCTGTGTACCCAGGTAACTCGTGGCCCACTTGTCCCTTTTGCCTTTCATTTTCGTTTTATTCCGTCGCTGAACCATTTATCGAGAGGATAAAGCTGATATTCTGCGAAAAAAGTCGGGAAAAATGATGGTGAGTTGATGATTTTTCTTTCTTGATTTTTGGGTCCAAGTGTGATTCTTCAAAACCTGCTATCTTGTTAAAAAAAAATCAAAAATTTCATATCTAGTTGAAAAAACACTAACTGAATGGTGATGCCTTGATATTAGACTTCTTGGTTCGATTCCTCTCGGCGGCGGATTTTTTTTGCCATTAATTTAAAGATTGATTTTTTGCCGAAAAAAATGTTTCTGCTTGAGTAAAGATTTATGAAATAGTAATAAGTTTTATTTGAAAATAAAAGAAATAAAAAAAAACATTTTTTTGCTGATTAAAATTTAGGATCCTAAACCGAGTATGTACATCTTATGAACACTAAAATGAAATTTCGGTCTTCTTATCCTGAAAAAAAAACTTTCAAATGGCTCAATGGTAAAATCCTTGCTCTAAGCTCCAACTCTTCTTGGTTCAATCCCTCCTGAGCGCCAAAATTTTTGCTCCCTTTCAAAAATTTCATTTTCTCACTTCAATGAATAAGTCTCGACAAACTTTCTGTGTTTTCTTCAAATTTGTCCATTCCGATCAAAAATCAGCAAGAAAAGCTGAAGAATCATCAATTTTGCACGCGGAAACGACCTTTTGAGCCGAATTCTTCCTTGTTTTTTTTCTCTTTTTGGTTCAAAATAAGAGAAATTAGTTCTCCCAATGTTCTTTAGACTTTTCCTTTTTTAATCAAAGCGAAAAAAGGGAATGAGAGGAAAAGAAAGGGAGTGATTTATGAATCAAGGACATTAAGTAGAGTTTTTGTGGTCTTGGAATGGGTTTTTTGGCTTTTTTTTGAACATTTTTTCGTTCTTGTTAGTTAAAATGATCCAATAATTAAAATTGAAACGATTCGGTCGCAGTTAGAATGGCTAAAAATTTAAAAAATACTCGTTAAGGTAACTTTTTTTGATCATATTTTTTTGGAAGATGCAAGTAATTTTTGATTTTACTTTGGGAAGATAGAGTGAAGTTTGAATAAAAAATTTTTTTTTGAATTTGACCTCATAATTTTTAGAATTTTAGACGCGAAATAATGTGCTAATCATTTTGAAAAAAAGATTTTTTTTCTGAGTTTATTTTTTTTCAAATTTTTTTTTTCTTGGTTCAGCTACGATTTCAAAGCTTTTAAAATCATATTTTCGGTTCAAAAAAACCTTATTTCCCGAATAAAACCTTTTCCTGCCTCGATTGCGAAACACCTGGTCTCCCAGGTGATGCGCGAAAACGACCAAAAATGGGCCAAACTTATTATATATTTGCTTTTCTCCCCGTTTTCCCTGTTTTGACCGATTTTCGCTGAAAGAATCCATTTTTCCATGAATAAATTTGCGAGAAAAAAAAGTTTTCAAGTTTCAAAATAATTATTTGAAAGTTATTTGGAAGCTCCGAAGTTTGAGCCAATCTATTGAACCAATATTGATATTTTTCTTTGAAATTTTCCGTCACAATCGATAAAATCAATAAAGAAAAAGATTATTTGTTCGAGGCCCGTGAGTCAACGCGAACGGCAAACATTTCACTCAAAAGTTTGACTTTTTTTCCGCCCCTGTTTTTCCTTCATTTTTCTTCATTTTTTTCGTTAAAATTGTCCTTATGTTTCCTCTTGATTATGATAAAAAAATAAAAAAATTTGGGGGAAAAAGATTTTTTTTTGAGCTTTTATTTGGAAGCGAAGCTGAAAAAAAGAGTAAGTTCCGAAGCTTCAAAAACCAAAAATATTTTTTTACGACTTTTTTAAAAATATCTAAACTTTGAGAAAGTGTTTGAAACTCTTTAAAAAAAAGTGTAAAAATGGAAAATTAACCGCTATTTGAACGTATAAAGTTCTAAAATTCAAAGAAAAAAATGCCAAGGGTTCGAGTCCGCCTGAATCGGCTTTTTGCCAATAATTTTTTTGAAACTTTTTAAAATTTTTTTGGCATCATCGAATAAAAGTTACAAAATCAAATATCAACTGTTATCACTTCAAAAATGGCGTTTGAAAATCATAAGTTCGACTCCTGTGAGCGTTTTTGCCATTTTTTTATAAATAAATCACTTTTTCTAATTTTTTCGGTGTCCTTTATTTCAAACAACTCGATTAACCTTCAAAATAATATAAACATCATTGCTCAGCTGGTATCACTTTAAACTAGCACTAAAAACATTCGCTGGTTCGACTCCTCTGGGTGACGAATTTTTGCCATTTTTCTTTAAGTTCATTTTTTTATTTTTTTTCGTATTCAACCTGATAATTCTATTTATAGAAACCTTTCCAAAAAAATCAATTCATTCTTTTTTTCAAGATTTATTTTTAGAATTCAAAATTTGATAAGAAACGTCGTGAGAACAAAAAAATTTGCATGACTATGATTCATTGTGTAAAAAAATGACGTCATTTTTTTGGTCACACTTTGACCCCTTTTTTTTCTTTTTTCTTTAAAATTTGAGTTCTCGGAATTTCTGAACCTTGAAAGTTTTTGGGATCGTTATTTCAAATGCTAAAGTTCAGAAGCACTAAGAGAAGGAAAATTTGCAATATTCTAGAAAAAATCATCATTTTAGGTCTCACTTTGACCCTTTTTTTCGTCCTGTTCTTTCAAAAATCAGAGTATCTGAACCTTTAAAAAAAGTCTTTTTTTCTAAATTTTTTTGGAACCGTTTTTTTCTAAATGGTAGAGTTCAGAAGCTCTAAGAGAACGAAAATTTGCAATATTCTGGAAAGAAATTGACGTCATCATTTTCTGATTTTGACCCCTTTTTTTCTTCTCTTCAAAATTTGAGTTTTTTGGAGTATCTGAACCTTGAAAAAAATTTTTGAAAGTTTTTTAGTGTCGTAAAAGTTCCAGAGATGAAATTTCAACTGGAAGAGTTCAGAAGCTCAAAGAAAAAAATTGAAACCCTAAAAAGTTTTTTTCTAAATTTTTTTGGAGCCGTCATTTCAAATGGTAGAGTTCAGAAGCACTGCAATATTTTTGGAAAAAAATCATTTTTTTAAGGTCTCTTTTTGACCCCTTTTTTTCGTCCTGTTCCTTCCAAATCAGAGCATCTGAACCTTAAAAAAAGTCTTTTTTTCTAAATTTTTTTGGAACCGTTTTTTTCTAAATGGTAGAGTTCAGAAGCTCTAAGAGAACGAAAATTTGCAATATTCTGGAAAGAAATTGACGTCATCATTTTCTGATTTTGACCCCTTTTTCTTCTTTTTTTTTTCTTCAAAATTTGAGTTTTTGGAGTATCTGAACCTTGAAAAATTTTTTTTTGAAAGTTTTTAGTGTCGTAAAGTTCCAGAGATGAAATTTCAACTGGAAGAGTTCAGAAGCTCAAAGAAAAATTGAAACCCTAAAAAAAAGTTTTTTTCTAAATTTTTTGGAGCCGTCATTTCAAATGGTAGAGTTCAGAAGCACTGCAATATTTTGGAAAAAATCATTTTTTAAGGTCTCTTTTTGACCCCTTTTTCGTCCTGTTCCTTCCAAATCAGAGCATCTGAACCTTAAAAAAGTCTTTTTCTAAATTTTTTGGAACCGTTTTTCTAAATGGTAGAGTTCAGAAGCTCTAAGAGAACGAAAATTTGCAATATTCTGGAAAGAAATTGACGTCATCATTTTTCTGATTTTTGACCCCTTTTTTTCTTCTTTTTCTTCAAAATTTGAGTTTTTTTGGAGTATCTGAACCTTGAAAAAAATTTTTTTGAAAGTTTTTTTAGTGTCGTAAAGTTCCAGAGATGAAATTTCAACTGGAAGAGTTCAGAAGCTCAAAGAAAAAAATTGAAACCCTAAAAAAAGTTTTTTTGAGTTTCTTGGAACCGTTATTTCAAATGGTAGAGTTCAGAAGCACTGCAATATTTTTGGAAAAAAATCATTTTTTTAAGGTCTCTTTTTGACCCCTTTTTTTCGTCCTGTTCCTTCCAAATCAGAGCATCTGAACCTTAAAAAAAGTCTTTTTTTCTAAATTTTTTTGGAACCGTTTTTTTCTAAATGGTAGAGTTCAGAAGCTCTAAGAGAACGAAAATTTGCAATATTCTGGAAAGAAATTGACGTCATCATTTTCTGATTTTTGACCCCTTTTTTCTTCTCTTCAAAATTTGAGTTTTTTTGGAGTATCTGAACCTTGAAAAAAATTTTTTTGAAAGTTTTTAGTGTCGTAAAGTTCCAGAGATGAAATTTCAACTGGAAGAGTTCAGAAGCTCAAAGAAAAAAATTGAAACCCTAAAAAAAGTTTTTTTCTAAATTTTTTTGGAGCCGTCATTTCAAATGGTAGAGTTCAGAAGCACTGCAATATTTTTGGAAAAAAATCATTTTTTTAAGGTCTCTTTTTGACCCCTTTTTTTCGTCCTGTTCCTTCCAAATCAGAGCATCTGAACCTTAAAAAAAGTCTTTTTTTCTAAATTTTTTTGGAACCGTTTTTTTCTAAATGGTAGAGTTCAGAAGCTCTAAGAGAACGAAAATTTGCAATATTCTGGAAAGAAATTGACGTCATCATTTTCTGATTTTTGACCCCTTTTTTTCTTCTCTTCAAAATTTGAGTTTTTTTGGAGTATCTGAACCTTGAAAAAAAATTTTTTGAAAGTTTTTAGTGTCGTAAAGTTCCAGAGATGAAATTTCAACTGGAAGAGTTCAGAAGCTCAAAGAAAAATTGAAACCCTAAAAAAAAGTTTTTTTCTAAATTTTTTGGAGCCGTCATTTCAAATGGTAGAGTTCAGAAGCACTGCAATATTTTGGAAAAAATCATTTTTTAAGGTCTCTTTTTGACCCCTTTTTCGTCCTGTTCCTTCCAAATCAGAGCATCTGAACCTTAAAAAAGTCTCTTTCTAAATTTTTTGGAACCGTTTTTCCAAATGCTAAAGTTCAGAAGCACTAAGAGAAACGAAAATTTGCAATATTCTGGAAAGAAAACGTCATCATTTTCTGATTTTGACCCCTTTTTCTTCTTTTTTTTTCTTCAAAATTTGAGTTTTTGGAGTATCTGAACCTTGAAAAATTTTTTTTGAACTTTTTGGAACCGTTATTTCAAATGGTAGAGTTCAGAAGCTCTAAGAGAACGAAAAATTTGCAATATTTTTGGAAAAAAATGACGTCATCTTTTTCTGGTCTCTATTTGACCCCTTTTTTTCGTCCTATTCATTCAAAAATCAGAGCATCTGAACCTTAAAAAAAGTTTTTTCTAAATTCCTTGGAACCATTATTTTAAATAAAAATGTTTTGGAGATGAAGTTTCAACTGGAAAAGTTCAGAAATTCCAAGAAAAACGAAAATTTGCATGACAACGATTCATTCTATAAAAAAAATGACGTCATCTTTTCTGGTCATATTTTGACCCCTTTTTCGTCCTGCTCCTTCAAATTTCATGATCTGAAGCCATAGGGGGAAAAAAAAACAAGAAGAATGGGGATCTCTGAATGTTTTTTTCTCTCTTCGGTTTAATTGCGAGAGAAGGAAAACGCTTTCCATATATAGATCTTGTTAGCTGACAATTCTCTCCACTTGTTGTGACTCTTTTCCCAGCCACGGAAAAAGTGACAAGTTCTTCGGACAAACAAACAATTTTGATATATTTATAAGTGCGGAGTTGTTATCTCACTGGAGGTTATAAATAAAATTGTTGATTTCAGGAATAAGTGCCATTTTTTTCTGTTAATTATTGAGACAATTGTTTTTCTGTCTGAAGTACTTGTCACTATTTTTGGTCACAACAAGTCAAAAATAGAGAAAATTGTCTGCTGAATGGGTCTATTTATGTCAATAGAGAAGCGTTTTTTAATGAAATGAATGATGATCGAAGGTCCTAGAGAAGTTAAATTGTCGAGAAAATAATAGGAAAAAAAAATTCAAACTTAGAAAAAATGGCCATTTAAAGAAGGAACTAGTGTGCTCCATCGATAATTTCGAGACGGTTTTTTTTTATCGAACGCCCTAGAGATAACGAAGCTTCGAGAAAATAAAAAAAATTTTGGGAGGAACAAATGTGCTCCATCGCTAATTTCAAGATAATTTGGTGATGGAAATTCTTAGGGAAGTTGAAGCTTCGAGAAAATGGAAAAAAACTCTAAAATAAGAAAAAAAGAACTTTATCCCGATCTGGAAAAAATAGCCTTCCTATGAAGAAGCTAATTTGCTCCATTGATAACTTGATGTAATTTCAATTTTTGAAGTTTTCAAGCTTTAATTTGTTTTTGTTATCAGACGAAAAAAACATTGAAAGTTTCCGATTTGCCTGAAAAAAATTCTTTTTTTCCATCAAAAATCGTCCCGTGGAGCGCACTTTTTCCGAGGTTTCTTGATTTTTTTTTTATTTTTTATTTTTTGGTAAACTATTCTCATTTTTTACTTCCTTTGTAAAATAGAACCTCAAAAAAATTTAATAGAGTGAAAAAATGTAAAAAGCAAACTTTTCTGTTACCTGAATATCTCAAAAAAAATTTTCTTTCAGATCTCTTCTGCTTATAACAACTACAAAAATGAACAAAAAAAAATTGAAAAAACTTTTTTTTTTTGCAGAGAATGGAGTCTACCGTTGACTCCAAGGAGCTGCCCCAGTCCAACGGTCAGGATAAACGGATCCAGGAACTTCGTGCTCAAGTCGATTCTGTCAAAAATGTGAGTTAGTCCATCCAAAAAAGCTCTTCCAGGAAAAGATCTTCTGAGGGCCCCGAACAAATCCTAATTATTTCGATTTCGCATCTTTTCACGTCCTTCGATAAAAAAGATCCCAGGGAATACAAAAAGGATCCTCTGAGGGTTTGGGAAAGGATCTCAAAAGTCTTTTTCTCAATATATTTAGTCTAGTTTAAGAAGCTTCCAGCGGAACCTTTTTCCAGATCCTTCTGAGGATCCTCAAAGGCACTTTTTCTGTGTTTCTAGGGCTTTTGCGATGTTTATGATGGATTAAAAATGAAGGAATGAATGATTTAACGAGTTTTTAATGCAATTAGAGTCCATTTTCTTCCTCAAAAGATCATTCTTGATGGAAAACTGTTAAATTTTGATTTCTCCAAGAAGGAAAAAAATTTTTTTACCTTGTATGTTAATCAAAACTAGTTTATTATAAACCGAATTTCGAAAAAAATAGAAGAATTGTTCTCGGGCAAAGTCGGAATGGTGGATTATGGCCGCTAAAAGGGAGAGGCTCAAAAAAGGCTGCAAAAAGACAGCAAAGAGGTAGCAAAAAGGCTGGAAAAAGGCTGCAAAGAGAATCCCTTTATCGACCCTCCGTTTCTCCTGAGATTTTAAAGGCTCAAGAAATGGTGGAAAAAGAGAGAGGCAGCAAAAAGAGAACCTTCATCACCCTGAAAGAAACATTTCTATGCAGACTTTTTGACTCTTTCTGACTTTGCCTATGGATTTTTTTGGATACGTTTTTTGAATATTTGGATATATGGATACATTGTGAGATTACTGGGTATATGAAAATAATTGCAGGTGATGGCGGAAAATGTCGAGCGAATGATGGAGAGAGGAGAGAGGCTCGACAGTATCGAATGTAGGACTGAAGCTCTTCAGACAAATGTAAGTATTTTTTTCACATTATTTCTCGAAAAATTGATTCAAAATTGCGAAAAATCACTTAGAAATTCGATTTTTGACCTTGTAAAATTGCTGTAGTTCTTCGAAGTCTAATCAAATCGGAGAATTCTTCCCGTAAATCCCTAAATTTTTCAAAAATCCTTCATTTTCAGAAAATTGAACTTTTTTTGTTTGGTCAAGTCGAAAATTTCTTCCCGAGAACCCCTGTAATTCCAAAAAAATTATTCATTTTTCAGAAAGTTTGAATAAGTTTGGTTCTTCTTTTTAGGAAAAAAATGGGAACTTTCATCTCAGTTTAATAAAATTAAAAATTATTCCCGAAACCCCCTATATTTTTCAAAAATTCTTCATTTTTAGCTTCTCAACGGTTTTTTTATGGCTAGTCCAAAAAAATAGTTTTTTTCATATTTTTTTCAAAATTTGCCAAACAGAACAGAAAGACTGATTTTTTTCATTCAAAGAAAATCCGAATTTTCAAAAATTCTCCCCGAAATTTCTTCATCCTCCGCTTTTCAACAAGCAACATTTTTTTGCAAACAAGTCTGAGCCTATTCCAAACAAATTTTCATATAAAAATTTACGAAGCGGTCAACTATGGAAGCCCCATTCAAGGGTTCGAAAGCGAAATTTACGTAGTGATTTTTGAAACGTTATTATGAACTGGAACATATTGATTTCAGTGGTTTTAGTCGTTTTTGAAGGCTTAGAAAGCTTTTTTGAACACAAAGCGGTAAATATTCGTTTTGAGGCCTCGAGAAAAGCTTGAGTTTGAACAGTTGGCAAGAAAAATGATGAATTTTCGAGGGAAAATTCAAAAAAATAAAATCAAAAAGTCCAAGCTCCAGTTAAATCAAAGTATCTATTTTCGCATCGTTTCTCAGATTTTTTAGGTATTTTGGGGCTTTATCGAGAAACTTCTCGATTTATTGGGAATTCAAAAAATACATGGAAAGAATGTTAAAAGATTCTTTCATGAAAAAAATTGTAAACACCTAAAAAAATGATAAACTTAAAAAAAGGTTTACTTTTTTTAAATTAAGCTCAAAAAAACGAAGAAAATAAACTGAGCGAGAAATATTGTAGCAACTTTTTTTCTTGAAAGGTGAGATGGGTAGATTTTTCGGACATTAGTAACGCAAAACGGACGTTTCTGGGCGATTCTAGGGATCACTTAAGAGCGCTGAGGCTACTAAAGGGGTCACTAGAAATGCCCCGAAACGTCCGATTCGCGTTACCAAGGTCTGAGTTGCAAATGAGACGCGTTGCGTACGCGGTGCTGCTTTTTGGCGGGAATCTCGAGGTCAAACGCGCGTTTTTTATTTTGACGGTTTTTCAATCATATTCAACTTTTTATGGTTTTATAAGGATTTAGTTAAACGAATAATAGTATAAAAATGATGAAAAACTTTTTTTTCTTCATTTTTCCTAGATTAAATTTTTTCATACCTCAAGTTTTTCCCGCCTGAAAGCCGCGTCGCACACGCAACGCATCGCCCTTGCCTTTTGGATCGTGAAGAATTGACTATATCAAAGTATATAGTCCGTTCAGATTTTGAATGTCGAGTGCAATGACGTCATTCAAAAACACTCTGTGGGTGGCTCGCTCTCTGATTGGTTCATCACACCATTAGGGGCGGAGCTTCAGCCTCGACTTGACATTCAAAATCTGAACAGACTATAAAAATATAATTTTCAGAGCGCCAACTTCAAAATGACGGCGAGGAAGGTGCAACGGAAGTTCTGCATGCTCAACGCCAAATGGACATTTATTTCGGCGATCGTCTCGATTCTCATTATCACTGTTCTTATCGTTCTGATCCTTCACTGGTGTGGAGTTATTGGCAAGAGGACTAACTGAGAATTCCGTTTTTGATCGATAATCACGAAAATTGTGGATATTTTGACCCATTTTTGAGATATATCAAAGTTTATACCGATGAAACTTTAGTGTCCACTTAAGAGGTCCCTCAAGAACTCCTTAGAGGGGACTAACTAAAATTTCCGTTTTTATTCGAAACTTGTGGATATTCTGACCCATTTTTTAGATGCTTCAAAGAGCGTTACTCGGTAAAACTTTAGTGGCCCCTTAAGAGGTCCCTCAAAGATACTAAAACCACCATTTTGAACCTAAGTGGTCACTATAGTAGTTCTTTTGTTTGTGGGCATTATAATAGTTCAGTTAAGTCAATAAATCTGGAAATGGGGTTTTTTGGTGTAGTGGCTAGACTTTTTGGTGATGATCGTGAGGTCCCAGGTTCGATCCCAAGTCTTGTCAATTCATTTTTGCCATTTATTAAAAAAATTTTTTTGATTAACTTTTTCTGATTGATTCTAAGATCATTTGATGGATTAAAATCACGATAAGACTATTTTTTTGAAAATTGTGATGTTAAGTTAATCTGTCTGATAGGTCAACGGCTAAGAGCCTGGTTCATCAATCTAGAGGTCTCTGGTTCGACCCCATCCCACGCCAGAAATTTTTTTGCCGATTCCTACCAAAATTTCTCCATTTTTGTACTGTTTCTCTTTTCACTTTCAACTGATTCTAACATAAAAATTGTTGTTTTTTGTGTTTTAATCTGCAAAAAGTAGTTTAAATTCCCATTTATCATGTTCCATTTTTTTCTTCCCCTCGTTTAGATTTACGAGTAGAAATCAACCAGAAAAACATATGAAAATCGTGTATTTTTTTTTCTTTAATCGGATTACGGTGAACGTAACTTGACTGTGTTTGCATACCAAATAAAGTTGCAGTGAGTCATTTTTTGCATTGAATTGTGTCGCACAAAAGAGGTTCCACAAGACTGAATCTGCATAATAAAAGGTTTTTTTGAGATTGAGAGCATCGAGTTGGATTTTTGATGTAGGAAAAAAGTAAAAAAATCGAGGAAATAAAGTCTAGTTTCAGTCAAAAACTCATGGAAATTGTCCATTTTTTGGTCTAACATGAGCAATATTGTAAAAGGGTAGTTTAAACTTCCCTCATTGAAAATATATAAATAAAGAATATTTTTTTAACTTTAAGGATCTTTTATTTATTTATTCATTTATTTATTTCACTCAAACAGAAAAAAACAAAAAAACAGACATCTTTATAAAAAAATATTTATACCGCCTTTATTAAAAATATTGCTCATGTTAGAACTGAAGGTTTCTTATTTGGAATTGTAAGCAATTTTAAAGAAAAATTAGTTTTTTTGTCAATTAGCTTTAGTAGAAATCTGAAAAATCATTTCTCCCGAACCAAAAAAAATTCTCGCTGCCATTTCCCACTCGTCGTCCGCTACATAAAAACCTTTTCCGGTCAAAATTTCAAGTGTCCCTTCCGCGCAAACCACGATATAATAGCCGCTTTCGTGTTTTGGAGCGCGAATTTTCTGGTTTTTTGGGCTGAAAAAGGTCAGTCGGCCGCCTGGCCACGCCCCCTTCGACTCCGCCCACTTATTTTTTCCGAAGCTTCTATGCTTTGTCAAGTTTCTGTTTCAACTTTGGTTCTTTCGGAAAAATTTTTTTCTTTTTTTGTTATTCACAAGTTTTTTTGATTAATGTGCAAATTATTCAAGTGGATTTTTTTAATAAGGTGAAATTTTTTTCCAGGAATTTTTGTTTTTTTGATTTACTTCTCATGTTATGAAAATGTGGGTTTTTCTGATAAAATGGAAAAAAAGTATTAAATTTTTTTGAGCTTCAAAAAGCCGTTAAAAAAATTAATTTCCACCTCTATATTTTTTTAAAAAAATTATTCCCAAATATTTTTCCAAAATTTGCAAAAGCTCAAAATTCTTCTCGGAATAGATTTTTCTCGGAAGGAAAGTCACGAGTTGACTTGTATTTGACCCGAAAAAAATGTAGGTCGTTTTTCTAGAACAACCCGAAAATGTACTTGATTTGCGTCAACAGCTTGGATTTGTGGGCTTTTTTTAAAAAAAGAAATTTTTTTGCCAAAAAAACGGTAGATGATGCATTGCAAAAAATATTTAGGAAGGAAATTCGAAACTTTCATTTTTTTACAGCGCTTTTTTTACTCGATTTTTTGAGATTAAGCATATTTATTATTTGAAAAAAAGAAGTTTGAATTTTTGAAAGTCATGAAAGATATTTATTTTTCTAGAATCTGAAGTCTGTGAGCCTTATAGAAAACCTCATAAACTTGAATAAATACTTTTTTTCTTTTATAAATCTAAAATTCCCAAAATAAATCGATGATTCCGCCAAAGAGTACCAAAATATCGGAAATTTCTTCCAAACACCTCTGCTAAGCTTGGATTTGCGTTAACACGTGGAAATCTTCATGTTAAAAATACTTCAAAATCGTGAAAACATATGAAAGTAATCTGGGAAAAGCTGCTTTTTGTGCTTTTTGTATTCTCCCTTCTTAGAAACCATTTTTGTTCTATATACACTATCATACGAAAAAAGTTGTTTTCCATAAGTCTAGCCACTTTTTTTCTTCTCATTTCCTTGCAGATTTTGTCGTTTCATGACATTATCCGGGCCAAAAAAGCGGTTTCCTGGAATGATTACGGTAGAAATTTGTAGGCGAAAAGGTCGCGTTTCGTTCAAATTGGTAGCCAGAAAAAAAAAAATATTATTGATAATTTTCTTGAGAAGAAATGAAGGAATGAGTGGGCAGCTTTACGGAAATACAAAAATTACATCACTTTCTTCGATTTGAAACACCCTGACCGCACTTGGAATGGCTCGAAGCGTCGCGGTCGCGTTGCGGTTTTGTTCAAGCTGGCAAGATTTTTTTCTCTACAGATAACTTTTCAGTACGGAAAATAGCCAACTTGTTTTTTTTCTTTTTGAATTTTTGAGAAATGCCCCCGCGCTCTCTTGAAAATTCAAGTCCTCAGAGCCGCTAGCAGCTTTTCTCAGATTACTTTCATATGTTTTTCACGATTTTGAATTATTTTTTTAACACGAAGATTTCCACGTGTTAACGCAAATCCAAGCTTAGCAGAGGTGTTTGGAAGAAATTTCCGATATTTTGGCTATCTCTGGCAAAATTATCGATTTATTTTTGGGAATTTTAGATTTTTTTAAAGGAAAAAAAGTATTTATTCAAGTTTATGAGGTTTTCTATATGGCTCACAGACTTCAGATTCTAGAAAATAAACATCTTTCATTATTCAAAATTTTAAACTTCCTTTTTTTCAAAAAGTTAATTTGCTTATTCTTAAAAATCGAAAAAAGGTTATAAGAAAAATTAAAGTTTCAAATTTTCTTCCTAAACATTTTTTGCTATGCGTCATCTACCGTTTTTTCGGCAAAAAATTTCTTTTTTTTTCAAAAAGCCCACAAATCCAAGCTGTTGACGCAAATCAAGTACATTTTCGGGTTGTTCTGGAAAATGAGCTACAATTTTCTTTTTTTTTCAGGTCAAATACAAGTCAACTCGTGACTTTCCTTCCGAGAAAATCTATTTCGAGAAGATTTTTGAGCTTTAGCAAATTTAGAAAAATATTTGGGATTAATTTCATACTGCTACTCGATTGATGTCTTGAAACGAGATTTTCTTGATTTAAGGGCTTATGGTCGCATTTAGAATGGCTAGATGCGCTAACGCGGTTATTTTTTAAGGTGCACCCGACCAGAAACGACTTACGCGCTTTTTCAGCATTTTCTACAACCCAACCGTTACGCGACCGCAGCGCATTGAGCCATTCCAAATGCGTATATTCACTTTTAATCTTTTTTTGGGCCTATTGAGTATGTGAGTGGATTAAATTACACAGATTTTTTTGGAGAAAAAAAGTTCTGAAAATATGAAAAAAATTCGATTTTTTTCATTAATCAATGTAAAAATTAAAAAGTAATCTGAATCAACGAAATATCTTTTTATTATTCAAAAAGGTCCCTGTTTCCGCAAAAAGATTTTTTTCAGTTTCATAAACCCATCAAACCCGTCAAAACATCGCAAAACCATAAAAAAAGGAGAAAACAATTATTTTTTGTCTACTCTTCTGCAAAATCTGCACGAAATCCGTTTTTTCCGACCCAATTTGTTAAAATGTCCATTTGAGAGAATGTCGGGAAAGCTTTTTTTCTTTGAAACCACGGAGGAAGGCTTATCACTCAGCTCGAAATCCGCTTTTTTATTTCAACTTTCAAAGTGGAAACGTGAATTTTTCGGATTCGAATTCGGATATCAGGCCGTGCCGGCCGCTTAGTTCTGTTGTTGAAAACATTTTGTGTATTTCGAAAAAGAGAAATAAATAAGAAAAGCAGTTTCTTTTCGTTGAAATCTTGCTTTTATTTGGATTGAAATTTATATCCGTTCCTTGAATGAATTCATTTCAAAGTCTATTCACCCTGTTTCAAGCTAATGGTCGCACTGGGAATGGCTCAACGCGCCTAGGGAAATTTTTAGTGGCCACTATAGGGTTTTGACGTTTTAGTGGCGTAGTAGAATTAGTGGCCACTTAAGGGGTCGAAAGTTAGTGGCCACTATAGAGGTCTAAGTGCTACTACTAGACCACTAAAAAGTCTAGTGGCCACTTTAGGGGTCAATAGATCAACATAACTGGTCCAATCTGTTTTTTTTAAGTTATCAGAGTTATTGGAAGGAATACTGGATGAAAAACTACTGAAGTGGCCACTAATTGGAGAACCTTTAAAGTGGCCACTAAAACGGAAAATAGTGGCCACTTTAGTGTCCTCTCCAAGTAGTCCTTGGCGAGTCTCTATAGTGGCCCCTAAAAATTTTCCCAGTTGAAATCTTGCTTTTATTTGGATTGGAATTTGATGAAAAACTTCTTCGAATTCATTCCTTGATTGAAAATCAAAATGAAATTCATTTCATAGTCTATTCACCCTGTTTTGAGCTAATTGGTCGCACTGGGAATGGCTCAACACGTGGCGGCTCAAACGAGCGTTATTAAGAAACTGCACCCGACCAGAAACAACTTGCGCTCGTTCGCATTATTCAGGCTGCATTTCCTTTAAAAATTTCCCCTTTCTGTGTAAAAATTAATATTTATCAAGCCATGTGACCACAATATTTCAAGACATTTTGAAAAATCTTATGAAAATTCAAATTACACAATTTTCTTTTTTTATTTTTTTCTTTCTAACTCCAAGATTAGAAACTAATAAACTGATAATTCCGATAATAACTTTTTAATCTGCAACTCAAAAGGCTAAGCTCCAAATCAAAGAACGCCGTTTATGGCAAATCCTGAGGCCACGCCCCCCTTGGCCATAGGCTCCGCCTCTCCATCAGCTCAACATTCCCTTTCTTTGTTCAACGTTCCCTTATTTGGCTGGGTTTTGGTTGAGCCGAGTCGTGTGACCCGGCTGTGCGACTCGGCTAAATTGAAGTTAGCCGCGTCGCAAAGCCTATAAAAGGTTTGCGACCCGGCTAATTTTGAAAGTTTCTTTTCTCAAGAAAAATTTATCTATTCAGCGAAGTTTTGTGACTCGGCTATGCGACTCGGCTAAAATAAGGTTAGCCGCATCGCAAGCCAGAAAAGTCAAGCGACTCGGCTTAACTGAAAAAGTTCCATCCTGTCTTTCATTCTTTTGTTGATTTTCTGAGTTCTAACCAAAAAAAATGTTCTGTGACTCGGCTAAGGCTCCGACAGCCGCGTCGCACTGTTTGAAAACTTTTTTTGCGACCCGGCTAAACTTCAAAAGTGTTTCCTATGCTTCAAGTAGAAGCTGCAAAAAATATTTTGACTTTTAAGGCGTGACTCGGCAAAGCGACTCGGCTAAACTGAAGGTACCCGCGTCGCAGAGCTAGAAAAAGCTATGCGACTCGGCTAAATTTGAGCGGTTTTGATTTTCCTAACTGAAAACTGCTCATTATTTCTCTTGATTTTTTTCTCGATTTTTTTTTCTCAGCCGAGTCGCTTGGGTTTGCGACCCGGCTAAACCCTTGCTCTTTTCGAAATCCCCTCCATAGCCCTCAATTATTTCAAAATTAGGCGAGTTTCGAAATCTTTGAGCTTTTCCTTCAGGGGCTTCTCTCCACCCTCACATTGCTTTTTTCTCGTTTTTTAATCCTGCCCTATTTCATTACTCATGCTTTTTCCTTCCGACCAATTAAAATGATTCAGTCAGAACCTCGAAATGGACCCACAAGGAAACGCGATCCCAACCCAGACAGCTGGAAATTCCGATGTTCCGCCAGGACAGCAGACTACGAAAAATCGGCTGGATGAGATCAAAGAACAGGTCAACAATGTCACAGCGGTTCGTTTTTTAATTTTTGGGGGTAAGAGGGAGAAGGGGCGGCGGGGGGAACACGGTGAAAAAAATACGAATTTTTCAAGTTTTTGATCAGGTTTTGATCAAAAAAAGTTATCTTCTTTGTTCTAAAAAAAGCTCAATTCTGCTTCGAAATCCGAAAAAGGTTTTTTTAAACCTCTAGCTGCAATTTAAAGCTCAAAAAAACTGAAGTTGCACGAATCTCGATTTTTGAAAAATTCCAATTTTTTTCATTTATTCTTGAACGATTCTTTAAAGTTTTGACTCAAAGGTTCAAAAAATTTCCCTTTTTGAAAAAATCAGAAGCTCAATTCTCCTCCAATTTCGAAAATATAAGAATTACGAATCTTAAAGCTCAAAAAGTAGAGTTTAAAAAAATTAATTTTAAAAAATTGAATCATCAGAAATATTTTTTTGAAAGATTTTTCTTTTTCGTCTTAGAATAACCAGTAGCTCAACTTTCCCTAAATCAGAAAAAAAAAAAAATTACAAATCTCAAGACTGAAAGCTCAAGAAGCTGCGATTGGAAGCTCAAAAATTGAAGATGTCAAAGTTTTTATACTCAAAAAGTATTGCTTTAATTTTTAGAAGAGCTTCTTTCAGTTCAAAAATAACCTAGAACTCAATTTTTATTCTCAGAAATAAGATGACCGATTGAACATCTAGCTTTTTGAAGCATCAAAACTACAATTTCTTTTTTTCGCTCTGATTTCTCAGACTCTTATAAAAAAACAAGTTTATTTATTAATACTCTTAGCCTTCTTTTTGCAGGTCGTCGCCGAAAACATCGATAAGCTGATGGAGAGAGATTTCCGATTGCAGAGCATCAAACGTCGGAGCGAAGATCTCAAGGCCGCCGTGCGTTTTTTTAAACTTTGAGCGATGGAATTTAAAACTTGGAAGGAAACACCGTGTTCAGTAGTGCTAGAAAAATTAAGCTCTTGGCCTCTTATCAGGAAAACTTAATGAAAAGCTTAAGAAAAAAAACTTTTTCAATTTTTTTCAAAAAAATTTTTCTAGTAACTTTATACAAACAATCAGAATAAACTTTTTTTCGAAAAAAACTCTAAATTTCAAAAAAACTCAAAAAAATCATTGTTCTATAGGGGTGAAATTTTGGTGGTCCCTATAGGGTTTCAGGGTCATAAGTTCCTAAAGCTTCTGAGGGGTCCCTATAGGGAGTAAAAATAGGGCCCCATTTAGGGGAAAAAAATTCTTAGGGATCCCAATAGGGTTTCAGCCCCCCTAACATAGGGAATTTATTGTTCAGTTTTAAAAAAATTAAAAGAAAAATTGATCAAATTATTTTTCTGTCACAAATCGCATTCATAAACGACTATTTATTGATTTTTTGAGAAAATGCTTCTTTAAGAGTCCTAACAATATGTCCCCTAGAGGGGCCACTTTCGCGAGCTTCAGTGCGCCTATAGGGGGTTGATAAAGTGGTTTCTTGAGGGGAGCCTTCAAGGCGCCCTAAGGTTGCCATTACTTGGGAATTTTTATAGTGACCCCTATAGGGGTTGGGCGATGAACAGCCCCTGTAAAAAGTGGTCCCTATAGGGGTCGAGGGTCCCTTAGCTCCTGAAGATTAAGTGGTTCCTATAGGGATCTCTCAATTTTATTCAAAAAAACGCTTATTTATTTATTTCTGTGCATAAAAAAATGCTTCACAAAGTTTACATAGGGACCACTTTGGAGTTCAAGCTCATTTATCAGTAGTAAATGCACAAATCCTTGATCAAAATGAAGATTTTCTCAATATCAACTTTAACTTCGAGCTTAAATTTGCAATATAATCAAAAAAAAAAGTTTCAAATTATTATTAACCTTTTAAAATGGTGATTTTAGTCGGAAACCTTCCATCTGACGGCTCGAAAGACACAAAACCGGCTCTGGTGGCAAGATGTGCGATGGTCCATCGTTGCCGGTGTCGTTGGCGCCATTTTCTTCCTCGTCCTTCTATTTTTCATCCTCAAATCCACCGGAACCTTGCCCTGGAACTAAATTCTTCCATTTCCCACGAAAATTATCATTTTGTTCCGTTTTTGTATAGTTTTGTGTCCAGCTCATTTTCCAATGTTTATAATATAATTATAAACTTATAAAACCTTCTTTTTCTGATAACAACTCGAACTTCACATCATATGTGAAACTTTCCAACTGTTAGTTTTTTTGTAGAGATCTCTCATATCAATTTGCGTTTGTTAATGCTTTCCCAACGTGTAAAAGGCAATAAAATCATATTTTCAAAAAAAAATCTTTATTGAAGCAAAATTTGAACAATAATAAGGTCAAGCGGAAATTCAGGAAAATAAAAAAACTGGTTCCCAGTTTTTCCACGACTATTTTCTAAGAAGTTACACATTTTTTTCATTTCTGGGAGTTTTCGAATTAAAAAATATCTTTCCCTATCTTAAATGAAATCATCTAGAAAAAATGAATCTTTGTCTTGTTTAGAAAAATTTTAACTTTGTTTGAGAAAAAAACCGGAGTGATCACTAGAGGGGTTAGGGAAACAAAAACCCTTATAGTGGATAAATAACTGCTCCCTAGAGGGGTAAAATTCAGGTGCTTCCTATAGAAAATTAGGGTGTGATCTCCAAGCTTCTAAAGCTTAAGTGATCCTTATAGGGTTCTTTTAATCTTTCGTTCCGATTTAAAAGTAAAAAAGACGTATTGGAATGGGACCATCGGCTTGCTACCCTAAAGTGGCCACTTTTGAAAGCTTTAGTGCCCCCTGGAAAGAGAGGTAAAGTGGTCCCTTGAGGGAAGCCTAAAGAAGCCCCTGAGGTCGCCCCTCTAGTGATCCCTCTGACGATCCTAAGCTTGGGTTGGGAATTTCGGAGGTAGTGGGATTTTCTTCATACACGATGGCATCCGAAAAAATCAAAATACAAAATTGCCGCTTTCGAAGCATTTCTTGGAACAATCAGGACAGAAAAATTGATTCAAAATCGTTTATTTTCAGTTTTTTACATTTGACAAGCTTTAGGCCGATTTTGAGGCCTAAAGAGGAAGAGATTGTTCGATTTCAGTCGACGGAATATGCACAGAAATGTCTGGAGAGCTCCTTGGATTTATGGCTTGTTGTTGTTGAGCAGCGAGGGGCGGGGTCCGGCTGGGGCGGCTCCGGCGGCTTGTCCCTGGAAACGGTAAGGTGAAATAAGAAGTTTAGAATATTGGGAAGTTAGGGAGCGTGGAAAAATGAGAGGGTGGGGGTCTTCTTGTTACTCTAACCACCCTCTTGTTTTTTAATGCTCTCTAGCCTTGTAGAAGCTATCGTAGGCTTCAAGAAGAAGCTATTAAAAATGGAGATGAGCTCGGAAAGGTACCAAGTAAATTTAAAGTATCTTTCGAGCTCAGAATTAAAAAATGGCTGTTTTGGCGGCATTTTTTTTCCCAAAACTCCGCATAAAAGGCTCACGGAACGAATTTTTGAACTTGATCACATACCTTGTTGGATCCCCATCCGTAGAAAGCCGGATAGGCGGCGTAGGCAGCGTAGGGAGAGTAGTATGATGGGTAATAGGCGGCGGCGTAAGTCGGGACCACGACCTGCTGTTGGGAGCCGACGAAGACGGCGAGGAGGACGGCGAGCAGCGAGAACCTGCAGAATTTAACATGAAAACTTGGTCATTTAGACGTTAGAAATATGCTTAAAATACATTATTTTCAACTTGCAAAAATCTTACTCCAGAAAATTTTGGAAAAAAAGGAGCTTTTATACACTGTAAGCTGAAGCTTTAACGGATAAATATAGTCGATGTGTCACAAGTTGAAATTCCATGGAACGACACTCCGCTGTTTCGATATGTGCGGTAGCGCGCATCGTGCGAATTTGCCAACTTCGGCCACGCTAATTTTTTTTGGTTTTAATTCTAATTTTGATCTTTTTTCAATTGTTTTATTTCTTTAAAATGTACTATTATTGTTGAAAAGGATTGCGTTGTAAAAATGTAAACGAAAGAACACAGTAAATTTCATGATCTTCCTCGAAAAGAGCGATAAAAAAGTGTGTTTTTGTTAAAGCCATTTTTTAATGTTTTCATCGTTTTTTTTTCTGTTTGTTGCAGTGGTTCATGGATTTTTTCAGAAAGTGAGTGGCTTATAAAATGAAGACGTGTACGCACTATGAAATAGAGAGATCGGTTTTAGTCAATATAAAGTTTTTTTCACTGCTTATTTATCCACTGTTTGAATTATTGGCATTCCGAAAAAAACTTTATACTTCCATTGCCCTGCCAAAAAAAGTTCATAAAACTAAAGAATTATCGAAGAAAAATGTATTTGAAAAACGGCAAATTATAAAAGGGGAAAGCGTGACCGAGATCCGCAAAGGCATTGATTTTTTTCACGGCCACAAGGCCACCGAACGGAGTGTCGTTCCATGAAATTTCAATTCGTGGCACATCGACTATACTATCAAAAATTTTCTCAAAACTGAAATTTTCAGTTCTAACGTAAAACTTTCAAAAAAGGTTAAACTACAAGACCTAAAAAGGTACACAAAATCGAAACTTTAAAAAAATTTCAAAAAGCAGAAAGAAACCAATAAAACCCACATCTTGGCGAACATTTTCTGGTAGTGGAAGTGAAGAATCCGAGGGTCGACTCGAGTTGTTCATTCCAGGTAATTCCAGGGCTTATATACCCGGTTGGTTTTCCGGTCTTTCGGTACAAATCGAACCTTTTTTCGACCTCTTGGGCTCGGCGCAAATATTGTCTTGTTTGCACGTCTTTTACAACCGTTTTTTTTTTTCGAGCTTCTTCGCGTGTAACTGGTTCGGTATTTGTGTACTGTCGGCGTGCTTTTGTAACATTGGGATGAGTTTTTCGAGTATTTTAGGATTCTTAGCGTTCAGAGTTCACACCGAGTAGAGTCTTTATTTTGTTGTAGAAAGTATCGAATATTTTTTTCCGATTTTGGAACTTTCCTGGAAGATCCAATTTTTTTTTCTCTAGTTGTAAATTTTTTAAATTTTCTTGAATGAAAGTTGAAACGTTCATTAAAAAGCCCGATTGAATAAAATTGACTAATTTTTTTTTATCAGCTGGTTGAATGTGTATTCAGTTACCTTTTTCAAATTTTGAATTTTTTTGATCTCGAAATTCGAGTTTTTGCTATGGCAACCCGAAAAATGTTGATCTCGGTGAGCCTACTATCCTCGTAACAACTTTAAAAAAACGGTCGCACTTGGAATGGCTCGGCGCGTAACGGCTGCGAAGCGGTTGATTTAAAGGCATATGGGCAGTAAAAAAACGGTGTTTCAGTTCAAAGCAGTACTTTGTAGAGCTTTTCATTGCGAATCGAACGGTAAACTTGAAAACGTACCGAATTTCTTAGTTTTGGAGAAAAAATAATTCAAAGTCGCAGGAAGGAAATCTTGAGTTCCCGCGAAAAGAGCGCTTTGCAGTAAAGTTGCTCTATGGACAATAGGCTTTCCCATCTTCCGGATTTTCGCTTTTTTCTTCGTTTCTTTCAAATTTCAATTTTTTCTGTTAACACCAAAGTTCTTTTCGTCACAAAAAAACTTTCTATTCATGTATAATTTGCAAACTTTGGTCGCAAAAAAATGCTTCTTTTGGTGAAAAAAATGACGATTTTTACACAGGTTTCGATTGGGATAGCGATATTTTTGTGTTTTTCTTTATTATCAATGTGTTTTTTTGTTTGATTAAATGTTTTTTTCAGAGAAGAAATCTTTAATTTGAAGCAGATAGCAGATATTATTTCTCACAAAATGCGAGTCTAATGAGACGTCCGCAACATCGCGTGTACGGCTACTGTAATCAGTTGTCTGAGCACCGATCCAAAGCTTTTTTCAAAAATAAAAGCGGGAAAGTAAAATCGCGTTTTTCTTCTAAAGTTGTCACATCTTTAATTTTTTTGAGTACACCATTCGATTTGCAAAGAAAAACTATATAAGATACTGCTTTCATCTGAAACCCCATTTTTTACTGCCCCTATGCCTTTAATGATTTTAAGGACTTTTTAATAATTTAATAAAGTTGAAAAAAATCCATCAAGCCAAAAATTCATCATTAGAATTTTTTTAATTCAACTCCTTTTCACTAAAATGTTTCAAGAATTTCGATTTGTGAAAAAAACTTTTGTAGTTTTTCACAAGCTGTCATTCCCCCGCCGTTTATTAATTTCAACGCTCAGAAAAATATACCATTCAAAAAAATTCATCAAAGTGAACAATTAAAAAAATAAAGAGGCAGTTCTGGTTGTACTCAAATTCTCCGAGAAATCACAAAAAACAACAAAAAGAGCTGCCTTTCGAGGGATACCACTGATTTTCGGGCGGCTGATAGAGGTTATTGCGGGGAGTTGGCGAGAAAGATGACGTCGGATTTTTGAGTCTGGCCGCGATTTTTGGCGCAGAATCGAAATGTAGTTGAGCTGGGAAACGCATTCTTCGAACACCTAAATTTTGAAATATGATTAAAATACTACTGATTATTTTTGACATCACTCAAAAGAAAATTTTTCGGCATTATGAAAACCTTCGTTTTTTTAGTTTTAGATCCGAATTTTCAACTCAAAATCAGTCTTTATTCTTTATTTCCTCTGAGGTTGGTCTTTACAAATTCAAAGTTCAAGGTCTCATTATAAACTTCTAATTCCAATATATTAAAGGAAAAAAATATAGGCAAATATTCTAAAATTTTTAATTTTTTTAGTCATTCGTCATTGAATGGAATGAAAATAATATTTAAAAGTCTTAAACACTTTTCAAGTTATGAAGCTTCTGAAAATTTCAACAAAATTGAAGCACGAAAATTCAAAAAAAAAAGCCGAGGGAATCAGGTAATGAAGAGTATAGTCAATGAAAAAAAGTGCAAACACTTCAAAATTCTGGTTTCAACTTGGAAGAAAAATTATACAGTTTGGACATTTTTGAACCCAAAAAAATATTTTTTTAAGTTAGGAGTCTTTCGAAAATTTCAACAAAATAAACAGCAGGAAATGAAAAAAAGCCGAGAAAACTGGATTTAATGAAGACAATAGAGAAAAAAATATTGTAAAGTTCTAGTTTTTCGTCATTAAATTGAATGAAAATTAAGTTACAGAGTTAAAAAAATAGAAAATATTTTTTTGAAATTTTTGAAAAAAACCGCATGTCTCTGCTCTTATTCTGATAAATAGAATAAGTTCAGAAAAAAATGGTAAAAAAAGTTAATGAAAAAAATAAGATGAAGAAGTTATTTTTTTCTTTGAAAAAAATCGCAAATATTCTAAAAATGTTTACATTTTGTCACTAAATTGAAAGAACATTATCCCGCTTAAAAAAATATTAAAGTTTCATTTTTCCTTTTTTTATAGAGCTTTCTGCGCGTTTAAATCATAGTGGAAAGAAAAAATGGTCAAAATACCGAGTTCAATAAGAATTGAATGAACAGTAAAGAAACCCAACCTCATTGACGTTCAAATCTCTGAAGGCACTCGTTTCGGCGAAAGAACATTGGAGCTGGGCCGAAAGTTCGTTGGCTTCTTCGGGATAGATCTCCCGGTAATCGGCGTCGCATTTGCAGCCGACCAGAACTCGGGCTATCTGGAAAATTGAAACAATTTAGATCTTCAGGGTACAAGAAAAAATGATTGTACATTTCCCTACATTTATTCTGTCAATTCAGAAATGGTGTGTGAGAAATATAGTCAACTTTCCCGATTTAAAAGGCGAAATGGGTAGTTTGACAAGGGTGAAGCGTTGCTTGTGCGACGCGGTTTTTAGCGAAAAATTCGCGTTTGAATTTAAGTTTCCCGCCAAACAGCAACGTCGCCTACGCAACGCTTCACATATGCCAACTTACCGATCTTGCCTTTCAAGTCATGAAGAAGTGACTATATATAAAAAAATCCGATTTTCAATTGAAGCCGTGTAAAGTTTAACTTGAAGTGATTTCACACAAAGCTCAGTCTGACTTTAACAAAAAAATAACCTGGTTTTTCAAAAGTGACCTGGTCGGGCCCCCCTCTCATTATCAAGTCTGTATTTTGAGACCGAAAACCCGTAAATCTTTGACAAGCCTACTTTGAAGGCACCCACTGAGTCGAAAACCACTATAAATTTGTCTCAACCGGTCGGATGTACCTTTTTGACTATTAATAACCGTTTTTACGCCTTTCGCATTTTACACGATTTAATGAACCCAAAAATTTGCATTTCTCTTCGGCCACCCTAAAATATACGGACCCACCGGATTGAAACGGGGAGAAATAACCTGAGAAATAGGCCGAAGCCGAGAAATGTTCTCGAAATAGTGATGAACATGGTCGAAGGAACGACGACTTCCAATCGAATAGCAGATTATGAAGGCGTCGGCAAATGTGATGTACCTTGTCAACATGTCTGGTAGGAGTTCCTGGAAAGTTCAACTATGAAAACTTTGAAAAAAACAATTTAATTTACTGAAAGCTCAAACCGTACTAGAATTCAAGTTCAAACAAAAAGAACTTTTTCGAGTTTCGCTCTTTTTATTGGGATAAGAAACTAATTCGGAATTCTAAAAATGTGGCCTTCGAATCGAAGAATAAAAATGGAAGTGTTAATTTAAAAAAAATTCAGACCCGCAAAAAATGATTGCAAAAAGAATGGACCAACCCTTCCCGCAGTGTCGACAATTTCCAAAGTAACTTGGCGGTCTTGAAAATGGAGCTTTTTCTTGTACTTATCTTCGATAGTTGGGTCATAATTGGTCACAGCTTGTCCGGTTACAAACCTTCTCACCTGAGAAAAACAAAAAATTCGCGAAGTAAAAAAAAAACAAAATAATGAAGTACGAACCAAAGCAGTTTTTCCGCAGGCCGAATCGCCGAGAACCACTATCCGATAGTTTTCTTTTTTCATCAGAAGTTTTTTTGAGTGGCAAGAATCGGAAACAATCAATAAGATTGTGGGAAAGGAGAAAGATGTTACTGAACGGATGCAGAAGTGTTCCCTTGTCTCGGTGGTGGGTCGTAAATAATTAAGGTCATCCCGCCGAAATCGCAGCGAAATGATCCGAATCATCTGTTTCTTACTTATTTCTTGCAAACGATAAAATTATAAACTGATTTGAGAGTAAAAAGTGTGATAAACGGAAGTAAAAAAAAATTATCCAAAAAAAACACGCCTGAAGAATCGTTTTTTTACATGTTTTTCCAAAAAAATTCATCTCATAATAAAGATGCAGGTAATGAAATATAAAGGCTTCTCAAAAATCAAAAATTTTGAAGTTTGTGGAAGCGCTTCTTCGAAGAAAACACTGCTTAAAAACGATATCTTGCGCGATTGAGATTATCAGATTACGGTGCGATTCGTGCAGTTTATCTACTCGGTGTTGACACATTTTTTTGTGTCGATTTACGAGCGCTGAAAAAGTTTTTGTTTTTTTTTTCATTTATCGAGTCTCCAATCCTTTATATATTTTTTTCAATTGTTCATTTTTATCAAGCGTCAAGTCTAAGCGTTGTCTTTTTCACAGTTTGAAGTTCGAGTACAGAAAATGATACAGGAGAGTCTGATATTTAAAAAAAAATGATGTTTTGCATACTTTCATTGTCCTCCGTGCAATTAGTTATTTTTTGTTCTTAATGTTGAATAGATTGTTTTTGCAAGATTTATTTTTAACATGAACTTCTTATCGTTGAAGATGGCCAGTAAAGTACGATACAACGTAGCCAATCATGTGTGTTTTTCACGGTTTCGCCGATTATTTTCATCAGCACCTAGCAGCAAAATGGCAAATGTTGGTTGGTGTCAACTTTTTCATTCGTGTTGCAAGTTTTTTTTTGTCGATATTAACTACGAAAGGAGAAAAAGCTCTTTTCAGTTAAAACCCGACTTGAAGGGCCAGTGTTCTACATTTCCATAAACAGGCCGGAAAAGAAGAACTGTATCAATCATGAAACGGCCAGACAACTCGTCACGGCGTTTGAGAAGTTTAATGAAGATGAAAATGCAAAAGTGGCCGTTTTTCACGGGGAAGGTGAGTGAAAAGCAACCAATTTTAAGGACGTCAGCGTACTCCCTATGGGGGCTGAGGGAAAGTTCATTTAAAGTGCCCGTATAAGGTTGAATTTCAGGGTGTCCTTATAGGGATGGAGGGTCTAATTCCTAAGTCCTAAAGCTCAAGTGGCCCCTATAGGGTCTTTTGATTTTTTGGTCAGATTTGAAAAGACTTGATTGATCAATCCTCTGTCAAAACCTTTTCAGACGAACGGCAATTAATAAAATTTTTGCATAGAAATGCTTCTTATAGAGTTACTAACAGTAATCGACTAACATGTCCCCACTTTTGCAAGCTTAAGGGTCCCTAGAGGGGACCCTCCAAGAGCTCTAAAGCGGCCTAAACATTCAATCTCGCTTTTTGCGCGTCACTTTTCATGCATCGCGTGCATTGCGTACAACACATTTTATTCTCCGCCCTTGCTGTGGATGTGGCTTCGATTCGGTGTCGCCGTGTTGTAAGCTTCAACGGCCCTATAGGGGAAAAGGGAACCTGTAAATCCCCCTGAGATTGCCCCTATAGGGACCACCCTGACCTAAGATTCGATTCAAACTAGTTTCGAAATTTGAAATCATTTAGGCAGCAATTTTTGCACTGGATACGACTTGTCCGAAGTCTCACGTGGCGATTTTGAACACTATGATCCCGATTTTCTCGAAAAATACAGATATTTGGTATCTTCCTTCTCAAATTCTCCTAAAAATCAAATTTATAGGGACCAACAAATATGAAGATCAAAAAGCCGTTAATCGCCGCCATTGAGGGCTACGCGGTCGCCGGCGGCTTGGAATTGTCCTTGATGGGTTTTTTCATAAGGAAAAATAATAATAAAGAAGAAATAATCACAGCTGACATGAGGGTTTGCGGAAAATCAGCAACTTTCGGAGTTTTTTGCCGAAAAGTCGGAGTTCCTCTCATCGACGGCGGAACAATTCGGCTTCCACGAGTTGTCGGTTTTGGAAGGTCAGAAAAAAATCAGAAATTTATGAAATTAAGTTTTGAATATCGCAAAATCGTTATTGTAACCGAAATTCATGGGGAGGAATCAATCTTGAATAGGCGTCATAATTATAGACTCGCAGACTTTTTCCAATTATTTTCTGAAAATTCGATAGATTTCGAAAAATGAAACTCGTTCAGTAACAGTTTTGCAGAGCTGATATCGAAACCTAGATTTTTTTATCAAAAAATTTTTTTCCAAATGTGAAGTCTTTGACTGCGTCTTAATTATAGACTCGTATTTTTATTTTTCTTTTCTTAAGTTGAAAAAAATCTTGAATTCTCGTGTTTCTTTTTTTCAAACGATATTCACAGAGTGCGAAAACAAATTCATGTCAATGAGCTGAGATTTAAAAAAAGTTCTTGTTCTTCGAGAATATACTATTTGTGATTTCGTCTGATTTTTTTCCCTGACAAAAGTTGTTCAGAATCAGAATCATTTTTTCGTTCTTTTTCAGAGCGATGGACATGATTCTAACAGGACGTGGCGTCGGAGCCGAAGAAGCTCTTTCTTGGGGATTGATGAATCGAGTCGTTTCTGACGGACAAGGTGTCCCTTTTTTTCATCATTGAATAATTTATATTTTCGAAGAATGTTGAATATTTTTCAATTCTTCCGCTAGAACTTGAAAAAGTATATTTTCTTACAACTAACCAGGGAATGGTCTCCAGTCAGCATATATAGATCTCGTTCTTCTGTCAACATAAAACAAATTAATTTTTTCCCGAAAAAATTTTCAAGCTTGGATATGATTGGTCTTTTTTAGTAAGATTCTTTTTGTAATGTCTTTTCAGTTTTTGGTTGCGAATTTCTTGAAAATTGGTCAGGATACATGTTGATCAACCAGATAAATATCCCGTAGGCCTCAATCTTTTGAAATTTCTAGTTTTTGAAAAAAAAAACGCCTCAAAGTCAAAGAAAAACCTCAAAAACCGTAAAAAAAAGGCCTTTTTATGGCTCTGAGTCCTCATTTCTCGGAAACTGAAAAGTTGTGCAGATCTAGACTTACAGGATCTCCTTTTGGTACATCAAGGAGTATTCTGGCCAATTTTCAGGAAATTCCCATCCGCAAAGAAGAATGACCTCCTTGTTAGCGCCTCTTTTTTTCTTGCTGATTCTCTCGTCTTTTCGTTAAATTTTCCTGTTTCTTTTACCTCTCCGGTGAGAGAAAAGAGAGCACAGACAGGCCAGAGTGCTTCGGGATGAAATTTCTGTGGAAATGAAGCATTCTGTTCAAATTCCAGCCGTAGCCGAAGCCACGAAATTAGCCCAACAGATTGCCAGTTTCCCGGAGCAATGTATGTTGGCTGATCGGAACTCCTCTTATTATTCCTTGGACCATACAACCGAGGAAAGTTTCGCCAGAGAGTACGAGAACATCTCTGTTTTAGGCGAGAGTATCAAAGGTTGGAAGTTTTCTTATTTTAGTTCTATCTTGTTCGTATAATCAAAGTATTTCCGGCGATTTTGAATTTGACGCGTTGTTATTTTATAATGGGGGTTAGCACCGTCTACTCAGACAATCTTTTCCTCCAGCCGTTTCCACAGATCAGCTGTTAGATTTATTTGATTGATTTGATTGTTTTGATGTATTATTTTTTTGTATTTGTCGTGCAGATTGCGGAATGGCGAATAAACACTTGAAATGAAATAATGATTCCGCAAAATTGAAATTTCAAGAGCCGTCGAAAATTGGGTCCCAGAACGATATGATGACTTAGACGCGCAAATTTAAAATAAAAAGTTTTAAATTTCCAAGTTTCGCGCGTAAAATTCGCGATCTCGTTGTAGGACCTAATTTTTTTCAACCGCATCCGAATTTCCAATTTTGCGTGTTTCGAGATCTTATTTTTTAAAAAAAGAGTAAATCGCCGAAATTACTTTGAACACGGCGTTTAGAAGGTTCATGAAGTTAAACATCAAAAAAAATAATTTAATTTCATTCCAGGAGCTCAACAGTTCATGCAGAGCCAAGCAAAGAAAAAATCGAAACTTTGATTTTTCCCCTTTTTTGTACACATTTCCCGCTCCGTCTTCTTATTGTTCCATTGATTTGTTGATATCACCACCATGTCCGTAATTCTCACGTCAAAAAACAAATAAAATTATCGAAAAATGGAAAATTTTGATAAAGATGGTCTTACGCGTTCCATTGGAAATACTGATGAATCATTCGAGGTCATTGATAAGTAAAATGTTCCTGGATGATGTCATTGGAATTGATTTTGGTGAGTTTTAGTATGATGAATTAATTTGCTTTTCGAGAATTTGTGAAGGCTGATCAACTATGTTTTTTCAGGGGATAACTGGAAAAAAGTTCTAGAAAAATGATGATTCGATATTGAACTTGGAAAAAAATATGGGCAGAAAAAAAAAGAGCAAAAATGACTTTTTTAAACACTTGAAGGTAGAAAAAGTTAAGAAAATCTCTTGCTTCCTGTCTTTTTTCATATATCTTTTGTTTGCAACAGAGAATTTTCGAAAGATTTTTCTTGTTTCTTCTCGTGTTTGTCTATGGAGCGTACATGAGCAAAAAAGTTCAGCTAGTGAGAAAATTTTTTTAATCTTCCCATAACGCAAACTTTGAAGAGCAGTGAATTTTTTTGTAAATTAATGGCCTGCTGAAATTACCTTGCTGACTAGTGGGTTTTTTTTTTCAATTCAGGCCTATTTTATAACCTAAAATGTCCTTCAAGCGACTCTTCATCATTACTTGCATGAATATCATTCCAAAAATTGATTATTGAATAGAACCCAAAGAAAAATTAATCTTTAACCAACTTCGAGCAGTTTGCCTGTCGCCATATTTGCACAACCCTGTCGTCAATTCTTGATAGTTGTGAATCAGAAATGTCTGGATCTCTACTTTTCTTATGATTTTTCTTCTTTCCATGTCCAGCACAATCTTATCGATGAAAACGTGCTTCGCTTCGATTCTTAGCCTCCCATTAAAAGCGCTTCTTTGGCCATTTTCTATTCATTTGGTTTCGTCCAACTCTCAGCTGTCGAAAAAAATGCTTTATAATTTTATCGAGAATCCGGTTGGTCTTTTTGAAATTTTTTTGAAAATAGTTGAAAAAAATGTGTTACGTTCCTTGATTACTTAAAAAGCTGTCAATTCTTGCTAGTTATCCTGAAATATATCAAATGGTTGTAGGTACTAGTAATTTTAACAGTGTTTAAGTGACCACTTAATTAGCCCCTTGTTAATAAGATTATTTTTTTTTCCTTCCTTAAAGGTTTTTCAATATAAAGATATTATTTTTCAAGTTTGTAACGATATTTTTGGACTTTATTAAGACTCTCCCTCTGTCAACACCAGTCTACGATGGAATCCAAAAAAAGAAGCCGTCATTGAAATTTTCGGAGAAGTTTTTTGCGGGTCAACAAGGGTTCGTTTTTGATATTCCGGGTTTTTTTAAAAAAAGTATATAAATTTTAATGAAGCTTCAAAAAAACCTTTAGTAGAAAAAAACTGGTCTATGTAATATTTGAAGCTTTTGAAAAATTCATTCAAATTCTTGTATAATCCCATAAAATTTTTGGTCTTTAACTGTCAAGAAGTGAAAGCTGCGGTGGATTAACTATAACTTTTTATTCTAATATTTTTGAATACAATTTTTTCAGAGGCTTCTCTCTGGAGTTCGTTTCGCATAAGGGTGTTCCTATGAACATGTCCGTCCGAATGGGTCTCTACAACAGCGGACCGAGCACCATCGTTTTCAACCACCTCAAGCGTGGAAGGTTGGCTTTTTAAAAGGGGAAAATGTGCTCTATTGCCAATTTTCCATATAAAAAAACGTTACTTTTTCAAGAAAAACCTTTTTGATTCGAATTTTTAAATTTGATAGAAACGGAAAGCACAAATTCCATATGTTGACCGCTTTTTCGATCTCAAAATTCAAAAATATAATTTCTAATAAAAAAATTCTAAATTTTACACTAAATCAAAAAAACCGTGACCGCAAGTGGAATGGCTCAACGGCTCCCTCAAAGTCCGTCCGACTTAAAACGACTTGCGCGCGAATCGCCATCCAAAAAGCTGCTGAACTGAAAATCGGCTGTAGAGCTATTCCAAACGCGACGCTATGCTTCTGTAGAGTTCAAATTCGACGTGTGTAGCGAATTAATTTCAAGGGTTCTCTCTAGGGTTGTCAATCTGATTGGCCGCGTTTCTTTAAAACTTCGAACGCGAATTCGGTTTCTTTTTTTGAAAAGCAGTCATTATTCAATTCAAATAATCATTTTCGATTCAGTTGGCACAAGGAAACGCACCACGCAAATGTGTTCAGCTTGGGAACACCCTTCCACATGAGAATCGTCAATTGCCGGAGGCATTACTCGGTAAAAATTTTGAAAAAACTTTATTGCTTTTAGATCCAATTCAATTAGTTTTAAGGTCCACGTGAACGGAGCGAAAATCTGCGATTTCCATCAACACGAGAACCCAAAACACGTCAATTCCTTCAAAATCCGAGGCGATCTCAAAGTTTCGCGAATTAACTTTGAAAATTTCAAGCATGGCAACGGCAAAGGTTCCTTTCTAGATATTTTCAAATAATCACACGTACTGTATTGATTTTACTCGATTCAAGGCTTTTCAAGACTTGCTACTGAAAATTTCATTTCTTAATTTTCTCAGAAAACACTTTACCACTACTTCATATTCATTTCGTAATTGCAGGAACCCAAGTTGGTCTCGTCGCGACACCTACCGTAGTCCAGCCAAGAACAGTGATTATCACTCAGCCAAAGCCCACTTTATATCCATCTCTCCAGCCGCAAGTTGTCATTCCCAGTGCTCCGATCTACGTCCCAGAAAATGAAGTATACTGTAGCCGAAATTCAGCTGTAAATTTAATATTTTCATTTCAGGTAATCATCATCAACGGCCAACCTCATTATCGCGTACAATACTAGATTTTTATTCTCAAACGAATGTATAAATAAAAATTGCTCATACCGGTTCAAAATAAAGTTTTTCATTGTTTCGAATTGGTAATAAAAATATAAATCAAAATATGGTGAATTAAACTCTTTTAAAGTTATTTATCGTTTTAAGAAGCTATTCAGACAATGTTAGCAAGGTCAACTTTCTTTGAAATCATAAGTAAATACGTCAGAAATACAGAGAAAAAAACGGGTTGGTTTTTTTATAGTGCCCATTTTTTTGAAATTTTGAATTTTTTTTTCTCATTTAAAAGTTGATTACGTCTCCGAAATGCCAAATAAAGAAAATTTTGTAAAATCATAATTTTTGAGTAAAGTTGAATTCAAACCCTTTTATCCGACCTGAAGTCGAACATTCGAGTCCGAACTATGTTTTTGTTTATTGCTTAATAAGATAAAATTTCAATCAACACGAAGATTTTTGGCGAAAAATAATAAAAAAATCAGAAAAAAAGAGATTTAATCACCAGATTATTGAAGTTCAAACTTCGAACTTGGTCAGTTTATAAAGAAAAATTTCTTCAGAAAATTCATATTTATTCAACTGTAAAAAAACTAAATAAAATCCAAAATCTTTTTTTCGAAATTTGAAAAACTTGCAAACTTGAAAAAAATAGCCATAAACAGCCGACCGAAGTTTCCGGCCGATCTCCAGCATGTCTATATATTGCAATATACTTATACTGGCGCATTCTAAAAATTTGAAAGAAAAAAAGTTTAAAAAGTTGCGATTACTGTATTCAATGAGAAATGTCGTCACGCGCCAAATTTTTGATTTTTTTCAAATTTTTTTGACGTCATATCGCATCGAAAATTTTTTTTTATTTTTAAAAAAAGCTTTTTAAAAGCGTTTATTTTTCTTGTGGAGTTCCTTCAGTTTTGATATTTTTTTGAAATTCAATTTTATATTAATATTTTCGCTTGCTTGCTGAAGTAGTAAACGATGACTTCATAATGACGCATAGAAAAAAATGGTTTTTCAAAAACTCCGACAGTTATTTTTTTCTCACCGTCTGTTTATTGGTAAAAAAATACAGAAAAAAAACGCGAGCAACAAACCTGTTTATACGCTAAAAATGACGTGTTCTGGTTTTCGATGCCCTCATTATTGACATTTTCGTATTCCGTGCTGTTTTTGTTGAATTTGAGGTGTTTAAATTTGAGAATTCAACTGAAATGAAGCTCCTTTATCATGTTTCTTCTGTTTTAGCTCGTTTGATTTTGTAATTTTGCCCATACGTATGCAGCGAATCTAATTCATTTCTTTCAGAATAATAAAAAATGACCGACGTTTTGCGAGCCGAGCAACAGCACTTTTTCAAGTACGAACCAGGTGATTTTGGAAAGGGAATTCTGGATAAATTGTATCTTCTCAGAATTCCAACATCGCCAACAAGGAGTTCTCGCTCAGTCGCTTCAGTTTTTTTCAATCGAGTGATCGCCCCTCTTGAAAAAGCACATCGAACTAGAGAGGACGAGAATCCAGGAGCAGAATGAAGTGAAGAAAGGTTCGTTTGAGAAATAATTTGATTTTCAAGCTGGAAAAGGAATGAGATAAAGATTTTTTTAGTTAAGCTTTTTTTTTCTAAAAAATTTTGAAGTGATCATAATACTAAAATTGCGGACTATAGGGGATTTTGTTGTGTTATTATTATTTTTCGAATTCATGAAGAGTTTTTTTTCGAAATATTTTTGTTTTGTCATGTTTTGAAAGGACTTTTTGAAGTTACAATAAAACTTTTTTCGAAAAATTCACATCATTTTTTTCAGACGAGGAAGATGCTGAGGCTCGAGGAATGGCTCAAATTGACACGAGCTCTTTGGGAGAACCTCTGCCGGAATCTCTGATCGAAAAAATTGAAGAACTTCTTCAGGAGGAGAAGAAGCTGCCGGTTCAGGAAATCGACAGGTTTTTTGGTGAGTTTAGAAAATTGTTTGCGATCTTAATTGAAAAATAATATTTCGCTGAAAACTCGCTTGTTTTATTCAAAAAATACTTTTTTTCCAGAAAGTTTGCCATCGCAGCAGTACCGCCAAGTGATTGCCGAGTTGATCCAGGACCGCGAAAAGTTCTACGACGAACTTCTTCTTTGTCTGATGGTCAAAACCGAGCAAAAGAAGGCTCTTCACAATCTCTCCGAGCATTATCAGTTCTTCGAGCTCAATGAGCTCCCTGCTTTCCGTCAGTTTTTAGAGAAAAGCTTAAATTCATAATAGTTTATTTTCCTGTTTTTTTTTGGGTTTTTGCGGTTCTGATCGATCTTTTTCTTGCAACATAGATTTTTGACTCGCTTTATAGGTTTTGAGCAGTAGGAGGACTTTTTTGATTTTTTTTTTTTCTGATTTTTGAAAACTCTTTCGGCAATTTTAAGTGGTCGTTAGTAGCGGAGAAATGCACCAAAAGTTCAATATGAGACGTAAATTTTTACCAATTAGTAACGGTTTACTAGGGAACGTTTTTCAGCCCCGGTTGAACTTTTTCTGAAATTTCGCTGAAGTCTACTTTAGGACCTCCCCAGAACAAGAAAAAAAATTCTCGCAATAGAACTTGTTTTCGAGTTAAGACGCTTCAAAAGCTTGAAAGAGCGCTTTTTTGTCAAAATTTAGGTATTTTGCAGACTTTGAAGCTTTTTTAATCGAAAACAAGATTTATTTCAAAAAAAAAAACGATCCCGAGTTATTATTTTTCAAGTTTTCTTGAGCTTCGAAAACCTGTTTTTTCCAGGCCCCTGGCTCAGAAAGTGGGAGAACTTTGCCAACGAACTCCGTTGCTACATCCAAATCTTGGATGACAGACGCAGACGTGAGATCGATGAGATGAACGCCGAGAAAGAACGCCAAGAGGCGCTTCTGAAGGACTTTGGCCAGCACGACTACGAGCAGCAGGATTCCGTCACCGAATCCGACAACGAGGCTTCTGAAGACGAAGTCTCCGAGGAGGAAGAGGTTCAGCAAGAGAAAGAAGAACTCAAAACCGAGAAGGTCACTGAGACCAAGGCGGAAATTCGTCCTGAAAATCAGGAAATCGCCGTCAAGCTTCACTCTCCCATCTTGATCATCTCCGTTGTGATCCTCGCCATCTTCCTCGTGAAACTCCTCTTTTAAATTCGCCGAAGATATGTATAAATGTATATAGCTGTTTGAATTTGTATTTTATTTATTTTCTGGAAGCAATAAAGCATGATTAATCGATAGAAGTTTGATGAGGGAGTACAGAAAAATAGTAAGAAACGTTTCTGGGAGTTTTTGCAATGTTTTGATTAGTATTTTTTGGTTTTTCCTACGTGTTAGCTTAGGAAATCCACTTCTATTCATGAATTTAAAAAAATATAAGTCCATTAAGAATTCGAAAACTGTCAGAAAAAAATTTTAACTAGAATCAAAAAAATTTCAAAAATCAGCTGTAGTTCAAATTATAAGGTTTGAGAACAATAATTATTCTCGCATATAAAATAATAGAAAAAATATTTTTCAGTGGTTTCAACAATATTCACGAAAGACTACCGACTTCAAACTTATAAATCATGAATTTGAAAAAAACATTTTGAGCAGAAAACGGGAATTTTATTTTTATGGGGGCCCTAAAGTGGTCCCTATAGGGGTCTTTAAATTTTATTCAAAAAGCTTACTTATTCAGTTTTTCTCATGCAAATGCTTCTTCGCATATAGTTCATAACAATTACTAGCATGTCCCCTATAGTGATCACTAACTGAAATCCTTTATGAGGATCACTTCTGCAAGCTTTGGTAGCCCCTAAAGGGTAATAAAGTAGCCCCTAAAAAAATTGTTTCCCGTTTCAAAAAATGAGGTTCAAGCTTTGAAAAGTTTTCTATACAATAGAAAGAAATTTTTAAATATTTAATTTAAGTATTAATTTCTAAATCGATTTCTTAAATAAAATTAAAAATTAAAGGCACGCAGTGGAACAGCGGAACGTCCTTCGGTGAAATTCCCAGTCGTGGTACAAAGACTTTATTTTTCCAGATTACTCATAACCTTCTCGTTCAAACTTCACAAAACGTTCAGAAACCCTGCACACTCGTGGAAAAAGCCGATCTGTCCGAAATAAAAGCAACTCGGCCAAATATTTGCTTGCCAAGTGTCGGGTCCTTATCGAAAAAAGTTGCGTGATTCACCAATTCCAATGTTTTCCACCAATTTCTCGTCATTTTCAGTGAATCTTGAGTTCTCCATTTTCTTTTTGCAGATTTCCATAGTTGAGAAATGATGTTCGAAAGTTGGGTTGTTGAAAACGCGGTGAGTTTTTCCAAATTAGAAAATTTTGATTTTTTAGAATATTCCCTGCACGATACCGGTCCCTGAAGGCTCCCTGGAAACGAAAAATTATGCTCGATTGGAAATCTTCGGGCGTACAGTAAAAGGTGAACAAGAAGGGTTGGTTTTATAATACTTTTATCACTGAGGAAATCGATTTTTCAAACCCTAAAAATAAAAAGTTACTGAAAATTTTTTTAAACAAAGCTGAAATGGAATAAAAAGCCGCATAGCTCAGAAGCTTTTGAGCTCCAAGGCTAATTTTTGAAGCATATTAGAAATAACTATATAATGTTATTGCACTAATCAAGGGACAAAAATCTCAAAAGTGAATTTTTTTAGTGAAAAATTAATTAAAAACAGCCGTTATTCAAATTTGTTCACGCAATTTAGAGCTCTATCGTTCATCTTCAAATTAAAAATTTTCCTTGATTTTTAATCTCAAAGAGATTCTGCTACATACCTTTACAGTTTCACTTTAGAAATTTAAAAATCTTGTTTACCCATGGAGCGCACAAGACACGTTTGAACTTTTTCCGCGGCTATTTTTTCTTTTTCTACCATTATTTTTAATTTTGATTTTTTTGCGTTTTTTCATACGAAGCTCCTTCAGATCTTTCTCCCTATCGTTCACCTCAATGAAAAAAGCAACCCAGCCTTTTTTATTGGCCCTACGGGTTGGAATGTATCACGCCGACACGACAATTATCCTCAACCATCTTCAGGATGGCAAGTAATACTTTTTTCTCATTTTGAAGAAAAACTGATTCCGCTGCATTGATGTTTTTGAACTCAGATGGAACAAGGAGAAAAAGTACCACAATTTCATCCGAATTGGTGAGCCTCTGCATCTTGTGATCGACATCTGCAAGAAGAACTACACGGTTTCAAAAAAACATTTTTTTTGATCAATGTATCGATTGATCAGGTCTACGCAAATGGGCGACTCGTGGAGGAGTACCCCATAAAAGTGGAAAAGAAGCTGATAAATGGGATCACTTTGATGGGAGACGTTTCGGCGCAGAAGATTTCCTACCGAAACTTTGGCGATATCAAGCCGGAACCTATTGTCACAGGTATTACAGGTGATTTTTCATTAACCCGTGGTTTTATATAAAAAGATATCTCACCTATAAAAAGTATCTTCAAAAGTGTTATTCAGAACGGTCGCACGCCTCTGGCTCAAATTAGATACCTCGATGATTTTCAATAAGGAAATGCGCAAGTCGTTTTATGTCGGGCGCACTTGGAAAAAATTGCAGCAGCAGAGCATCAAGTCCGAATACACTTTAGAAAGTGTATTCGCTGATTGTTCATGCCATAAAATGAATTTTAAAAATTGGTTTATGGGAAATAAAAAAATCTTTTAGAGAAAATAGTAGGATAAATAGCAAAACAAATATTACAATGACGGAAATTTATCAAAACTGCCAAAAAAATATAATTTAGGAAATCTTCCGTTATGAAAAAAGTTGAAAACTTCAGGATCGCTAGCCATGACTCCGACGTCTCCTACCGGTTCTACCAACTCTTTTTCCCTCTTACCTGCACCTCAAACTCCGCCTCCTCGACCTCCAGCATCTTCTAAAGCACCTGGAGAGCTACCAGTAAAAACTGACTTCAAATAAAGGAAAAAAAAATTCTTATTTTTCTTGAATTCATCGTTGGATAAATTCTTGAGAACTGCAATAGAAATTAAAACTTTGAAATTACCGAATGGGTCTTCTTTCATTACAAAAAATTGGAATCTTTGAAAATCGGTTCTATTTTGGGATGCTATCTGTACAATATCACAAATTTAAAATGGAAAAAAGTCATTAAAAAGTCAGAATATTTTCTCCTTGGAGCACAGATTCAAAAAAAAAAAAATCTGTTTTAGGCTGATTTTTCCATTCATGCATACCAAAACCTGCCCTGAAGTCGAAGTCGAAATCAAAGCTCGACCAAAATAGCCCCAAAAACACATGATAATGAATAAAAAAGTGGCGTCTGACCCATGCAAATCGACAAGACTCTTATCAATCACGAACGCCGAAGGGCAAAACTTTCAAATTTTTAACTGGTGTTCATACAAAAACATGCTCTTTATATTTTTCCTACTTTTTATTTCTATGTTCTTCAACTTTGAGTAAAGAGGAAATGTAAGTTAAACACGATTAAACGTTATCAGTAGGTCAGAATCTTTCCAGATTATCATCTAATCAGCAGGAAATAACGGTTAGTTATTGATTATTTCGTGTCTACTCCGCCGTTCGAAATAAATCAGGAAGTTTCCAAAATACTGCTCGAAGCGGCGTCGAAAGGAGATCTTGACAAAGTTACCGAACTGCTCGAGTCCGGCGCCGACGTTGATTCCAAGGATTTCGTCGGGGCGACTCCGATTTATTGGGCCTCCGAAAAAGGACATTTGGAGGTGGTTCGACTACTTCTGGACCATGAAGCCGATGTTGAAATCGCCAACAAGGTGAGTTTAAAAAGGAATAATCGAAGATATTCTTCGCAGGATGGCTGGACCCCGCTCCTTTCGGCGTCGTTCTACGGAAAAGAGGAAATCGTGACGACTTTGCTCAGACATGGCGCTGATCCGAACGCTCAGAACGGGCGCGGGTTCACCGCGCTGCAGTTGGCGGCGTTCAGAAACCATCCGGGAATCGCTAGAATTCTTCTGGAGTACGGAGCTGAGATGAATCATAACAAGGTGAGTCTTGTCTACTACTCGATAATGTTTCAAAGCTACCACTTGTTCCCAATTTCTTCCCAAAATCGTGGTCCTTTTAGTGTGAAGTTCAGAATTTTCGGAAAATTTTCTCAAACACTCTGAAAGGTCATCGAGGATGGCGGAATTTTTAGTTTTGTCTCTCTTTTCTTTTAGCCAGGCTGGAACGCTCTGCACATCGCTTCGAAAGAAGGCCACACCGACGTCGTCAAGGAGATGCTCGAGAATGGCGCCGACATCAGCGAACCCGACGTCAACGGCTTCACGCCTCTGCATCAGGCTCTCCAGAAGAACCACACCGAAGTCGTTCGATACCTAATCGATCAGGGAGCTCAAGTCAACGCTAGGAACAAGGCAAGTTCAACAGACAAAAAGGCGGAAATTCGGAGATTTCAGGAAGAAGAAACACCGCTTCACATTGCCTGCCAGGGCGGTAACTTGGCTCCTATCGAGATTTTAGTTGAGAACGAAGCCAAACTCGACGAGCAGGACATTAGAGGGAATACACCGTTAATTTACGCGACTTTCTTCAATTATACTGAAATTTTGCGATATTTGATATCCGTTGGGGCTAATGTCAAACTGGCGAACAAGGTTTGTCCCTTCTCGACCTGAATTTAAGCCTAAACTTCTGTGTGAACTTCTATTTTTGAAGATTTGAAGTGATAGAAAATCTGCAAAACTCTTGTAACTGAACACGGATCTTTCGGAAATACAAGATTCCAAAAAACAGTTTCGGTTGTTGAATAATTTTATGAATATTCAACTGAAATTCTAAAACGGGCTTGACTAACAATCTAGTTCCAAAAGTCGAAACGACTCCAACCTGTATTCTTCAAGAACGGAACAACTGCCCTACACATCGCAGCGGCCAAAGGGTACATGCCAATCGTGGAATTGTTAGTGAAGAACGGAAGTGACGTCAACGCCGTCGACACCCACGGCAACACGCCGTTCCTCGAAGCCGTCGCCAATAATTCCGTCCAAGTGGCCCGTTATCTTCTCAATACTCAAGCCAATCATACTATTTCCAACAAGGTTCAAAATCATTCGTCGAAAATCAAAGAACTAACAATACAGAAAAACGAAACTGCCTTGGAAATAGCTCAGAAGAACAGTTTTGGAATGATGGAGGAGACCATAAGGGCGGCGCAAATGAAAGAAGCCGTTGGCATTTCGTTCGACAAGGTAAGAATAGAAAAGTTCCAGGTCTCGATTTTTCTTTCTTGAAACGCAAAAACAAAATTTAAAAAGGTCATAATATTAAAAAAATTGAGTCCCGACATCTTTGCGCTCCAGTGAAACGCCAAAAAAAAAAAATGAAAATTTTTGCCGTGTTCAAAGTAATTTCCGCGAAATGCAAAATGATCTCTGACTCTCCAAAATTTAGTGATCTTTTCCTTTCTCTAACGGGTATTTTGCATTTCGCGGAAATTACTTTGAACACGGCATTTATTTGCAGTGTCTTTTTTTTCTCTTATTCCTTCTTGTTCTATATATTTGTATTTTTATAAAACTTGAGTGAATGTCAAAGTACGATCTTTGCAAGTAATGGAAAGTTAAAGACGTCAAGTTTTCTTTTTTTTTATTCGGTATTTATTGGAGTTTTAAAAAGCGTTTTATGCGTAATTTTGTCAAACCTTTGAAACGTTTTAACTTTAGAAAGTATTCTGAAAATTCTCAATTTTGAAAGCGCATTACATTTTTATTATTTGACATAGAAATCAAAAGATTTAATTCTTTAAAATACTTCTTAATATTTGAAAAATTGAAAATTGTAACTGAGATGGAGATTCATTTGTTTTTTCGACATTTAAAGTTAATTTTTTTGACTCTGAATTACTGTAATTTATCAACAATATTGTATTCAGGATGACGCGACGTTCCTTGGCCTTCCAATGAAACAATTTTTCTATGCTTGTCTGATTTTACTACTTGCTTTTTTCGCCGTCTTTCTTCTGCGAAGAAGCGTGAGTCTATCACTTTGTTTTGTTATCAAAATTATCAATTTCAGTGCTCTTCGAAGTTGAAAGGACATGACGTTCAAGACGATCGAATCCCTCTGGAAACTATCAACAGTGGTACAGGCAGTTATGTTCGTTTTGTTGTCGATGATCATGAAGTCTGAAACTTGTTGCCAATCAGTTTTTATTTGAAACGGTCAGTTAATTACAGCTTAATCAATTAGATAATTGGGTTGCAATAATTTTGAGACAGAGTGAAAAGAAAAGTGAGAAATTATAAGTGCAAATGGCAAAAACTGTAAAGAAGGACAACAAAAAGAGCAAAAAGAATATGCTCGTCAAGGGTTTCAATGGAAAGAATAGCATGGAAATTTCAACAACAAAAAATGGAAAAGAACTAAACGAAAATCAGATTGAACGGTTATTTTGAGATTGGAAAATTGCAATTGAAGCACGCATGTTTGAGACAGTGCTACGGTGGCCGGTGGCCGGTCAATATTGCGCAGTCAGTTTCGGAGCCAGGAAATTTTTTTAATTTTCTTTCTTTCTTGCAATTTGTTAAGGACCTAATTCTCGAGGTTACAAGGTAAGTTACGTCACAAAAAGTACACAATATTTCATTCTATTATTGAAAAATCTATCCGAAATACCGTAATGCGACCGGCCACCTTAAACAGGCGTGAAAGCGCGGCAAAAATTGTCAAAATCATCAATTTTACATATTGTGAATAAGTTGATGAAAACACGGGAAAATTCGCGTTCCGGTTGGACACAGCATCATACAGAAAAATTAAAAATCGAGATAAGGCAAAGAGCGGCAAAAAACAGTCAACAAAAACAATGTTACATTGCGAAATCTGTGAATAGATTTATCACAAAAAAAGGAAAAATTTCGTTTCATTGGGAAAACCTTGTTTCATACTGGAAAAGCTTCCATTAAGAATTTTCATCAATTTTCAAAAATCAAAAGCGTTAAATTCAATTTGAGAATGAAATCCTGAAGTCTACCATTCTCAAGCTGAGTCAAACACCTCCGCCTGCAAGTCCGAAGCCTTCCTATGCAGACGTATTGCGTTATGACATTCTGGTTGCCACAAAGGAGGCTCAATCTGCCCCTCTTCGAGAAAGCTCCTTCGTCATTCATAATTTGGTTAACGAGAAGAAAGACGAAAAAATCGTGGAAGAAATTTGTCAACTATCGTCGGTCGAAAAAGCTCAAGAAATTTTTCGGCTTGGAAAGTCTACGACTCCTCCACCCCCGCTTCGCGTTCACCTCCAGAACAAGGACGCCGTCGTCAAAGTCTTGAAGAACTTCAACGAGTTGAAAGGCAAAATTCCGTCTCTGAGAACCGCCTCCGTTCAACGGGATATGAGCAAGACCGAGTTGGAGAAGCATCGGACGGCTTGGAAAGAAGCTGTTCGACGAAACGACGCGGCCGCATCCAGGATTTGGACCGTTCGGGACTTCGAGGTTGTCAAGCTGCGTCTCCCAGCCGGCGTCGAACGTCATCCTTGGTCCGTGCGCTCCCAAGAACCCAAGGCGAAATTGTGAGTCTTTTGAAATTTGCCTCAATTAATTGTTTTTCTCTTCTCAATAAGGTTGCTAAGCTCGAATTGATTATTAATGATCTTAATCTAGACGTCATTGCTCTATGTGAAACCAAGCTCGATGACAGTTTTCCGTCAGCTATGTTTTCTTTCGAAAATTCCTTCAACGTTTTTCGAAAAGACCGGAATCGTTTTGGCGGAGGTGTAGCTATACTTACTCAAAAAACTTTAAAAGTTTCCGCCGTTGAAATACCATCCGACTTTTCCAAGATTGAGGTCGTCGCTGCTGACATTTTTCTCCGCTCTTCCTGCTGTCGTGTCATTTCCGTTTACCATCCTAACCACAACATCAACGCTGAGTCACTTTTTAAGTGCCTTGAATTTCTTCTCCAAACTAACAATCATGTCGTCATCCTTGGTGACTTTAATTTTCCACATATTGACTGGTCTAACAAAGTAGCTTTTGATCTGCCTTGTAAAAAATTGCTATCATTCTGCTGTGATAATGGCCTTACCCAGCATATAACATCGCCTACTAGATTTAATCCTGATAATACTCTTGATCTTTGCCTCACTAGCACTAACATTGTCCAGGAAGCCTACGTCGGTGATTTATTTAGTGATCACTGCAGTATTATAATTACTTCAACACTTTCTAAAAAAATATTGAAAAAAATCTGTCAAAAGCTTTAAAAAAATTACAAAAAAAGCAGATTTTCATTCCCTCAATAGTCACATTGCCTCTTTGGACTGGGACCTCATATTCTCTAAACTTTCAGTTGAAAAAATGTACGACAATTTTTGCTCTTTAATACACAGTTTTGTAGAAGCTTTTGTCCCCATTCAAAATATAAAAGCCAACAAACCTTTCTCCCATATCATTCGTTCTCTCTCGCGAAAAAAGCTTTTGGTTTGGAGAAGAGAGGGAAACTCCGATCTTTATAAAAAAATTTCCAAACTTACTTGGTCCTTGCGGATCCAAAGAGAAAAAGACCTAGTTCAAAAAAGCAATCAACACAATTTCTTCAAGCATGCCAAACTTCTGAGTGGTCAGTCTGAGGATGATATCAACGTTCTAAAAACCTCTGATGGAGAGGCACTTACCTGCAACTTCGCTAAAGCTAACCTCTTATCTACAAAATTTCATTCATTTTTCACAATCGATGACGGAAAAACTCCGCCATGTGTTTCTAAAACATCTAACCGTTTATCTGTCATAGATCTCCCAGCGCACAGAATAGAAGCTTTTCTCCGTAGAATGCCCTCTAAATGTAACACTACTCCGGATGAAATCTCCTCCATTTTGCTCAAAAACTGTTCCACATCTCTCGCCTATCCTCTTTCTATTATTTTTAACGCCTCTCTCCGATCTGGTCAAATTCCATCTTTTTGGAAAAAAGCCATTATCAAACCCTTACACAAAAAAGGAAGTAGATCTGACCCTTCAAATTACCGTCCAATTAGTTTAACCAGTTCAGTTTGCAAATGTCTTGAAAAAATAGTTGTGCATGATTTCAGCGTTTTTCTCAACTCTAACTCTTTGTTAAACTCTAACCAATTTGGATTCCGCCCTAAATATAACACGTCTATTCAACTAATTCAATATTGTGCAAATCTTTTTGAAAATGCAAACAGTAACCTTTGCACGGACGCTATATATATTGACTTTTGCAAGGCTTTTGATACTGTCTCTCATGCTAAACTTGTTTACAAGCTTCAATTTTACGGCATTTGTGGTCCTCTTCTTGGCTGGATCGAATCCTACTTGACTAATCGTGTGCAGTGTGTTTCTCTTTCTGGAGTACTTTCCGACCCCGCTCCTGTACTCTCCGGCGTACCCCAGGGGTCGGTCATCGGACCCCTTCTGTTTCTACTTTTTTTATTAACGACATTACGGATAACTTTCGCTCTGCGCCCCTTCTCTATGCTGACGATTTAAAAAAATTTTTTTCTTCGCTCACAAAAAAACCTCTAGTTCTACTGTCATCGAAGAAGACCTCAAATTACTCGAAAAACTGGTGTTCAACATGGCAAATGGCTATAGCTCCAACTAAATGCTATTCTATTCATTTCGGAAAAACGTAACCCAAATATTTCTTATAAAATTTCAAACATGGCTTTTACAGCCTAAACTTTCAGTTCGAGATCTTGGTGTAGTTTTTCTCAAATAACCTTAAGTTCAATGATCATATATCTGAAATCTGCAGACGGTGTAAATGTCGCATAAATGTTATGTTTAACGTGTTTCGATCCACTGAGCTTTCATTGTATTTAAAAATGCTTTGAAGTGTATATTCGTCCTATTATTGATTATTGTTCTGTAGTCTATGCTCCAATTGACTCTCACAATATTTGTTTGATTGAAGGTGTTCAGAAAAAGTTTCCTTTTTCCGAGCTTACCATAGTTGTGGCTTGCCCTACCACTCTTATTTCACTTGTTTATCTGAAAATAGTCTCAAAACTCTTGAGACAAGACGCCTCATTTTTGACATGTCTCTTGTTTATAAAATTGTACTTAGAGAAGTCCCCATTGATTTCGATAGTCTCTTCTTTTTCCCCCGTGTCCGTGCGCTGCGTCGCCATCGCTATTATTTACGTTCAAATATAATACATAATAGTAACATCGTTGCCTCGTTTTTTAGTATCAGAATAATTAATGTTTGGAACTCCCTTCCCGATGTTGTATTTGATCTATGTAATGATTCTATGCGATTCAAAAATCTATTTAGAAAACAACCCCCATCTTCTCGCTGACTTTCTTAAAATATCTTCTAACTTTTTAAACGGTTTTGTTGCTGTTTTCAATGTTTAAATTTCCCTTTTTTTAAAAATTGGTTCTGTTAGAGGTCTTTTTCGGCCCTTGAACTGTATTATTATTCGTATTGAATAAATGATGATGATGATGAATGGAGATAAGGGAGTGGCAAAAAAATTAGATAATAATAAAGCTGAAGATGATTATGCAATCATCAAAATTAAGTCACATCAAATAACAAGCAAAAATGATTGAGACAAAACTATGAAAATTCGGAACAGTATCAACGAAAAATCTCAATTTTATCAACAAAAAATACGGAACCCTGGTTCAACAAGCTACCGGAAGGAAAAAATTGCACTTTCGTTAAAAAATAAAAGTAAAAAAACAAGTGAAAGTAGAGTAAAAGGCAATAACGATGGCGCTATTATTTTAAGATCAGAAGTCTACATGGACAGTGCTTTCAGGAATGTAGTGTTGATCAATATCTCAATATCATCCGAAAATTTTCCAAGTCCAAAAAAGAATATTTTTAGGAAGTTGAAATGTTTAATCAGAAAGTTCAGATTCAAAAAAGCAATAAAATTAACAAAAACAAAAACGATGGTAAAAAATCAAGTGAAAATTCTGAAGGTTTTAAAATACACTGTGATGTTTCTGTTATAGAAAATGAAAGAAAAATCTAATTTTTCGATTCTGTATAAAATAGTAAGGCAAAAAATTAGGTTAAAATTAAAGCTATACATAATAGGCTAGTAAATGGGATTATTATTGCGTATGGGGAAAGATCTCAGTTCAATCAGGCAAAGCTTAGCCAGACAAGAGAGCTGATCAGGATTATCAATGATTATTGTTTGCATCCTCAGTTTCGTCAGCTTCTTCCTCCAAGCTCACGTTCAACCTGATCATCGGCGCTTCGACCTCTTCTTCTTCGCTGACATTCAAATTCTTCATCGGCTCTTCCAACTCTTCTTGGCCCATGTTCAACTTCTTAATCAGCCCCTCGGCGTCTTCCATCTCGCTGACAGTCATTCTGCCCATGGGCTCCTCCAGAGATTCGACATTCTGAGAGGATTATTGGTTTTGAAGGGGAAGAAAGAATCATTCACCGGTTTGCGTTTTTCAGTTCTTTTCCTTCCGACAATTCCTTCCGATGACTTCTCCTGAAATTCTTTTTAATTTTTCTCGTCATCTAAAGATTTTTTCTTTAAAGAAAAAGGAAAAAGTCTTTAAGTTCAAGTTTCGAGCACTGAGAACAAAAATTTCTCTTTTTCACACGGTCTTTGATAATGCAAACCGGACGCGCCCCGGATGCTTCTGAGCTTTTCTAGTGATCCCTTCAGAGGCGCCAGAACTCTCAAGTGACCACTTTATTTGCTCAGGAACATATGCCGTGTTCAAAGTAATTTCCGCGAAATGCAAAATGGTCTCTGACCCTCCAAAATTTAGTTATCTTTCTCTTTCTCTGACGGCTATTTTGAATTTCGCGGAATCACTTTGAACACGGCAATAGGTTTCCATTACCGAGAACCGAGTAAGCTTTTGTCTTCGCCACAGAGCGCATATGCTTAGAATAAAATTTAATAATTGCCATTTTCTGTTCAGAGGCTTTTTGGAAATCGATGATACGTCACTGAGTTTGTTGGAAATTAATTTTTTTTTTTGAAGTTGATAAAATAAATCTTCGTTTAAAACTTTGAAGAAGAGGAGTGTTGGATCTTATTGAAGAATACCGCTTTTTTTTTCAGAACTGATAATCAAAACAGACCAAAAGGTTGAAAAGAGTGATCCCCGTGTGTCCGGAATGAAGACCGTCGAGGAAACAGTCACTGCACACGGCTTGACTCGCAAGCTAAAAAAAAGTCATTTTTTGAAATCCCATTTGAAATTTTCTCCTTTTTTGTGTTAGATTGAAACTTGGGACTTCCTTCTTGTCAGAAATAAATTTTCGGGGAGTTTTCGAAAAAACTTTTTGCCTTGCTTCAGCGTTTCAAGTTTTTTTCACAGATCTATCTTTCCTATTCTTGTTCAAACTCATAATTCACCTCGATGAAAGTCCTTTTTATCTTATCATATGGACGTTCTTCCGTTGGTTCGACTCTGACTGTCCGACGGCAATCCGTACAAATCCGCAAGTTGGGCACCCAAGATTCGCATTCGGTGCACTTTCCTCCGTACTGAAACTTGGTTGAATTGAAGAAAATTTTCTTAAGAAAAACACCTAACCTTTCTCCTAGTCTGAGTTTGAGCTTGCAAGTCCACTGAAATTGAAAAATTTACTTTTTTAATCCGATAAAAAAAATAACATTTTTCGGAAGTCCTGAGATTGACACGATGGTAGCTGTTGATTGGATGTGTCAAAGAGGTTATTTTCTTTCTGAATTGAAGTTGTAGAAAATGGAGAAAAAGTTCATTTCGAACTTGAGTTGGCAGAAGCAAACGCCGCACATCCAACGGCCCCCGGCGTCGGAGTAAGGGTCGCGATAAATTCCATCTGAAACAAAAATAGTTGTAAGTAAAATCCACTATAAAAGGCGAAATAATGAGATGAGAGCCAGCTTGAAGAGACGCCAGAGAACGAGAGCAGCTCTGACTCTCTGGCGTCTCTTCTAGCCGCTGCTGATCTCTCCATGTCTTCATGAAATTTCCTTTTTTTTCTAGCTCAAAGTAAGAAAAGATACCATATTTTTGCTCGCACCGGGGACACGTTTTGAAAAGGTTGCTCCACCTATTGAACATTTCAACGGTTGGGTTGAAGGCTGAAACGAATGCTGGTCAGAACGCAAAAAAAAATAGTCGATTCGGGCCGATTTTGATGTTACGGACCATGAAACGGCTTGCGCTACTTGACATTGGTCATCAGCGACACTTGAAACGAAAGCTTATAGTTCTGATTTAAACCGCAGCGTTTTTGAAAGTCTTGCCGAATCAAGTAAAAAAGCCGAGTAGGAAGATAGAAAAAATCAAACTTTCAAAAACAATGGGTGAGGAGGGGGAGCTGTTGGTACTGCTACGCAGAAGGGCCATATCCTGCGCCAGAAACGGAGCCGAAGCCTCAGGTTCGAGAATTTCGAAATAGTCTCCGCGATCGGACATTTCTGAAATTGAATCGATTGCAGTCCACTTGAAAATATCAGAAAATAGGAAACTTCGGAAGGCTTTACTGTGAATGAAAGAATGAAGTTTTTTTCTTTTTTGTTTACTTTAGATGAGAAATGACGAGGGTAGTTGCGGCTTGAAGAGACGCCAGAGAAAGAAAGCACTCACGCTTCTTTGGCATCTCTCCATTCCGCCGTCTAATTTTTTCGACAATTTTTATGCCTTTTTTTGGAAAATCAATAAGACATTGAGTTTTTACGGCCACAAAATCAATATACGTCTTTGCTCCCAAATAATCGAACCTTGAAAAGCTGATAGATTATCAGAGGAGCAAAAAGTTAGGAGCACATGATTTTATAAAGAAAAAAGTAGGACAAAGATTGAAAGGACAAATCAATATTTTGTTTTTGAGGAGCTGAGGAGTGAGGTAGCGGTGCAAGAATGGTAGAGCTAAAACAGGAGGTGGAGCGAGAACAGTGTGGGCCAGAAGAGACGCCAGAGAAAGAGAGTGCTCTCATTTCTCTGACCTCTCTCCAGGTTGCCGCCTTTTTTTTAGGCCCTGGGTGTTTATTAGCTACGAAGAAACAGAAAGGCAATGGGAGAGAATTTTTTTCCGTTGAAAAAAATAATCATAAATTTTTTTGTATCAAAATTTTCGTCTTTTTTTGAGCTCTGTTTGTGTTAAATCGCAATGAATCAATTTTTGAAACTTAAAAGCTTGAATCGAAGTAACGGTTTACTTTTGAGACTCTCTTTTCAAATATCTTTTGAAAAATGGCTGGACCTTATGGGGGGTTTAAGAGTGGCATAAGCATTTTCCAAGTTTCAAATTGATCATCAACAAATTTTTTATGAAAGAAGGACCAAATAAAAAAAGATTGTCCGCAGGGTCATAAATTGTATCGTGGCTGTTACGTTCGAACGAACAACTGCGAGGAACTCGACGAGCGATCAGAGAAATGAGGAACGTTGAGACAAGAAGATAGTGCCCTCGGCGTCGCGGCAGAGACGCAGAGGATTGCTCATGGTTGCCGAATCCAAAACTGATCAACAGTTCGAAGAAAGGCGCGTCTGAAGTATTGATCTGCCCCTTCTTGGCACAAAAAAGCCGAGGAGAGATCCTTTTCACGCTGCGCGGGGCTCGAACAAAGGGAATTTGGATTGGCAAAGAAGAGGGATCTGAAATCGAGCTGTCTAGAGAAAAAAGGTGTAGAAACTTTGGAGCGCCAGTTTTACTTTTGTGGCGCTCTGAAAGTTTAGAGACAAAAGATGTGGAGACTTTGGACCTGGAAACCAAGCTTTGAAGGTTGAGAGAAACTAAGGCCAGAAAGTTGGTTCATTATGAATTCAATTTTTTTGATTTTTTTAAAAAATATAGAAATTTGAAGAAAAAGAGGACAGAGGCTAAACTTTTATGAAAAAACTGTGGATTTGCTTGAATATCTATTGAAAATAGAACGAATTTTATGTAACCATTGTTTTTTTGGATGTTATTGTCAAAGTTATTAATTTATTATTTCTCACTTGTGAACTTTTTCATCTAGAAGTTCTAGCCGTAGTCTTTAACTAAAATGCCAAATGCTTAAGTATGTATATAGTTAGATTCATAACACTTTTTCGCCAAAAAAAGGTGGTCAATTTTAGTATGAATTTTGCAATTTTTATGACGCATTTTTGCCTCCGCCCGAGTTAGTTATTTTTTTAAATTTAAAAAAATCTTCGTTTTTTTCGTGTATCAGAAGGGTTAATGTCAAATTTGTATTGAGATAAATTAGAAGAAAAATTGACCGAATTGAGTAAAGAATCGGGTAAAAATACGGGGGATTGATTTTTAACGCGCAGCCCCGTTTCGGGTACTGGAACTTCAATGGTCGTAAGAATTAATTTCTAATAATCCGAAAAACATAAATTTAAAAAAACTTAGCCTAGCCGCGCTAATAAAAAAGAAAAAAAAACGAAACCGTGGAAAATAGGAAAAAAATACAGATCAGTGTGATGGAGAAGATAAGAAAAATAAACAACTGCGGGCAAAGGTAGAGGGAAGTATATTTCTGATAAGGTGAGTCCACTTTTCGTCATCTTTTGATGCCAGGAATTTGTTTTTTTTTTCGTTGCACAGAAAGGTCTCTTGTGATCGAAACTATGATATTTATTTATTCAGAAAAAATAATTGTTGGCTATTTCTTTTCATTCCCTTTCGCCTCATTCACTTTATCATGAGCCGACGGATCTTCTTTCAAGCTTGCGATCTTTTCCAAGGTGTCGTCCTCGTCGGACCTCGGCTGAAAACATAATTGGATTTGTAACTTACTTGATTGCTAGCAAACCTGGTAGAATCCAATAGCGATTAATCTTTTTTTCTCTTTTTCCAGTTCCTCTTCCCGTCTCTTCCTTGCACTTGGTGTTGGCATCTGTAAATTTCTATCTAAAATCAATAAATATCGTTTATCAGCAAGAAAAGGAAAAAAAAGCTGTTATTTTTTTGTAATTTTATTAATAACTCGGACATTGGACTCGAACGGACGATTCTGGGAGTTTCTAGTGACCACTTTAGTAGCACCACAACTCTTAAGTAACCCCTAGAATTGCCCAGAAGCGTTCGAAGCACTTTCGCGTTACCAATGTCCGAAAAGCAAACACCACTAAACTTTTCAGCGCTTTTGCTTTCACAATAGTTGAACATTTCAAGCTTTTTTTTAGAATTCTAAAAATTTCAAATGGGTCGTATGTCTCACCACGATGTTTTCGTAAGGATTTTTCGAAGGCGTTTTTATTTTCTCGTTGCTTTTCTTCTCCCCATTTTTCGTTTCTCCATCTTTTTTGGCTTTATCTTCATTCTCCACCGTCTCCTCGCTCATGCTTCTAATAGTTTTGTCTTTCCTTTCCTGGGAAAATCTTGTAGTTTCAACTTGAGTAAGATGAAAAAACCCTTCTTGTCCGCTTTTTCGGCTTTTCCACAGGCGACGGTGAAGCTTTCATGAAGATTTGGAACACAAGATTCGGTAAGGTTCAGAAATAAAAGAAGTTGTGAAATGGTTAGGTTTTTTCAAGCTTCTCACGCTCAGATTTTCTTTTTTTGCTTGAAGAATACTTCGAGAATTTATTGAGGAAAAAATTACAACATTTAACATTGAAAAATTTATTTACGAGTTAAAGAGGACAAAGGATTTTAAGACGAAGCCTTCGTAGGAGTAGAGATATTCGACTGTTCCTTGACTTCTTCTCGTCTTTTTCGGGAGATGATCTTTTTCAAAGCCGTGGTCAAGACGATGAGAAGTACAGCCAAAGCGATCGGGCCTCCAACCAGAAGTCCTTCTGTAAAATTCTTCGGAATTCATTGAAGGAATTGAAGAAGCTACGACAAGGGCAATGTGGAAGAGTACTGTATGCGAAATTTGTGCACTTTGAGTGTTCGCACAGTTTGAGAGTACCGTCTCTGCGCATTTTATCTCGGCGGTTTTTCATTTTTATTTAAAAGTGTTTAGTTTGATTTATAGAGAGTAGAAAAACGCAGAAATGGGAAGCGCGGAAAATGTGCAAACACGCAAAGTGCACACACCAGATGCGGACTTCCACTTACAGTACTCAATGTAAAATAAAAATTTCACTCTTGTCGTAGCACGATCGAAAAATAAAAATGTATGAGTGGAAATCGGTTATTACGAGGGCTATCGGGATGATGGAAATAAAATGTCCAGGTTGGTTTTCTTTTCTGAACAATTCATCTGAACTCACGAAAAACCGAAGGGTCGCTAAAGTATCCTTGGACTTCTGACGCCTTCCCTGCGTCACAAACGGAGAGTGCCTAATAAAGAAAGTTGATAATTTTCTTTTCAAGTCTTTCACCTTGTTTGCCACTTTCTCCAGACGTTCTTTAACAACCGCATCGATATCCCCGATGATCACAAGATCTCTTTTCTCGCAGTACCTCAGAGGGTCGTCAACGGTTATTTTTTTCAATTTTGCGAAGGAATCTGTGTCGAGATGAACGTCTTTTATGTGAAGAGCAGGGCCTGAAAAATTATTTTTTGAGAACTTTATGGATCATGAAATATTCGAAAAAAAAGAATTTCAAGGTTCCTGGAAAAAAAATTCTTCTTCTCATAGATAACAATAATTGACTCGCGTATCCCCAAATGGAACCCTTCGACTAAAATCTTTATAGGGACCACTTTTGCAAGCTTGAGTGGCCCTTATAGGGGTTGGTGAAGGGGTCTCTACAGGGGGACTTCAAGGACCCTAGGGTTGTCCCTATAATGACCACTCTGGAGTCCTAAGTTCCTCAAAATTTTTGCTGCTCTTTTCAGGGACTTCAAAATTATCATACTCGGAAATTAGTAACGCGAAACGGGCGTTTCTGGGCGATTCTAGGGATCCCTTAAGAGGGCTGAGGCTACTAAAGTGGTCACTAGAAATGCCCCGACATGTCCGATTCGCGTTACCAAAGTCCGAGTAAGTTTATTCTCGAGTGCTATCTTTCAGAAAATGAAAAAAATTGTTTTTTAGAAAAAAAAAAAGACAACCAACCAGGTCCATTATGGACGATTTCTCGTAGCCCTTTGAAACTCAGGTCCTTTGGAGCGTCGAAAACGGAGAGAGTCCCGGTCTTTGTGATGTCTCTCAGAAAATTCAGAGCTTTCACGTTGGCGATTTCAGAGCTCTCGATGTGGATCGAACTTTTGGAACATTTTGAATCCATGCATCCGGGCGGTATTCCGATTCCAGAAGGATAAATGAAAATTGGACGATCACAGCAGGGACCTGAGAACAGTTGAAATAACCAAAAAATTCAAGAAATTGTTGTATTTTGATCATTTTCTAGTCAAACTCTAGCTAGTGGTCTTGAGAATTACGATTTCCTAGACTGAAACACGCAGTTTAGTGTGGAAAAGTTCAAGGATCCATTAATCACTTTGGAAAATTTCTCGTAACAACTCTAAAAATGTAAAACTGGACTGAAGGAAAGCATTTCTTAAAGAGTACCTGAATGGAACAGTATTCGAAATTGGCCATCTATAGTCTGTTCAGATTTTGAATGTCAAGTCAAGCTCCGCCCCCTAATAGCGCGATGAACCAATCAGAGAGCGAGCCATCCACAGAGCGTTTTCAAATGACGTCATTCTATTTGAAATTCAAAGTCTGAACGACTACCAGGGATACTTTTTCAGAAACAGAAAAAAGTTCACCTGCAGCGAGAGCCGCGCGATATTTAAATATCAACAGAGCAAAGAAGAACAAGAAGTTTTTCATCTGGCGATCCATTGACAACGCTGAAAAATCCTCAGTTTTGAAGCTATAGCTGATTCATGGCTGGCTTGAGCCATTGAGAAAAGGGTCTTGCCACGAAAAGAGACGAGACAGTGCCCTGGTTGGTGGAGAGTGCAGACAGGCCACGGCTTTTTGCGTCCCAAGCTAGCCGTGAATCGTCTATATAATCTGTTCGGATTTCAAGTCATCGCTCAAACTCCGCCCCTTATGCGTAGATCAAACCAATCAGAAATCGAGCCATGCAGAGAGCGTTGTGGGGGGCGGAGTTTGCTGCTTGACATTCAAGCTCCGACCAGACTATATTAATTATAAATTGAAAATGAAATAGCTCACCCTCGAAAGATCCACGTGTTCTTCGACAATAAAATGAAATAAAAACTGACAAACTGGGTTGCCACGTTAACGCGTCAAATTATTTTGAAAATTCAAGCTTATCATTTGTTTCATTCCTTTTATTTAATTTTTCACGTTTCAAAATCAAAGTTTTTTTTTATTTTTACTATTTTTACCTTTTACTATTTTAATCTTTCGACAGTCTCAACTTCTAGAACTCAAACCAGAAAACCAAATGGTTGAAGTTCCGTAGTTGAGCGCAGAATATCCAATATTCTACTTTGATTTTATTTTTGGTTTCGAAATTTTTCGCGATAACCACGTGTTGCCTGATAAACTGTTCTTTGACTCTTTTTTCTTCCGGTTTTCGAGAAGTAGTTGAATAATTATTCATAATTTTGAATAATTATTTTGAAAAAAATCTTAAAGTTTCTTCAAGTCGCATATCAAATTTTTCACGCGAAATTGAATTTCGCTTATTTTTTTTCCACAGCGTTCAACAGAAACTATGACTTAACAAGTAAATATATATTTTCGGCGAAAATTTTTTTGATGAAATTGAAATTTTTCGAAGTTTGGTACGGCCCAAGATCGCGCACCCTTTTTCTCAAAGCCGGCCGGACCGCCCGGCCTGACGCACCAGTCTGGTCGCCGCATGACATGCTTCTGGCGCTCCATTTGCCCACCTCTCAATTCCTGAATGGACTGTTTGAATTCAAAAAAAATTGTTTCTTTTCTTGTAAACTTGAACGAATTTTTTATATAATTTTTGGTTTTATTTCACAAAATGTACAAAATGGAAAATTACGAATTGATCAAGGGTTTGCGTCTTCCAAGGCGTCCAATTCGCGTAGTTTCTCCCTTTGCTGCTCGATCATCTTAAGAGTTTTCATCCTTTCGGCCTGCGTCATGGCCTCATGCTCCTGCGTTTTATTTTCGAATCGTCTTCTCAAGTCCCACAGTTCTTCTTCCATTTTCTGCCGCACTTCTTCCAACTTTCGCCGAGCTTCTTCGTCTTGCCGCCGTGCCATTTCTGCATAACTCTCCATTTCGGAACTGTAAAATTATTTCAACCAGTTTATTTCCAATAAGTAATGTTAGAATGAGTCAATTCCATCATGAAAAAAAAAAATTAAAGAAGGTGAGCAGTTTTCAAAAAAGGTCCTGAAACGATCAACGAAAAATTGGGCAAAAAAGACTGTTTCAGAGAAAATTCAAGAATAATTTGAAAGGGAATTGAGTAGATTAAATGTTTCTTTTATAGAGACGCGAGGCTGATTATAATGGGCGAAGATGCACTAGAATGAGCAATCGCTCTCGTTTCTCTAGCAACACACACACCCTCTCTCTCTCTAACTCCTTTTGGCGCAATTTTCTTTCTCGGACCTTGGTAACGCGAAAGGGACGCGAATCGGACGTGTCGGGGCATTTCTAGTGACTACTTTAGTGGCTTCAGCGCTCTTAAGTGATCCCTAGAATTGCCCAGAAACGTCCGGAGCACGTCCGTTTCGCGTTACCAATGTCCGAGTTCACAGGAGCTCACTGAGACCTTGATAACGTGGACAGACGCGATTCGGACATTTCTAGTGACCACTTTAGCAACGTCATCCCCTTTTCCGAGCACGTCCGGTTTTTGTTACCGCAATCGGAGTATTATCATCTATATATCAACTTGAATTAAATATTAAATATTAGAAATTACAAAAAAATGAAGGTTTGTCAATAGGGCGCATATCTAAAAATTTTATCAAAGTTTCTCCGTAAATTTTTTTGAACTTTTTATTTTTCTATATTTTTTTCATTGAACGTGTTATTTTCGAGATAAAACAAACGCTTGTTAGCACAAGAGAAAAATATCGAAAATAAACAGAAGAAAATCGATGCTCGCTCATACTACGTTCAAATGTCGGGGCGAGGCGCGAAAACTGTTCTCTGGCCTTCTTTCCTTTCTTTTCACATGAGTCGTTGTGTTTGCAAAGCCGGACCATCTTGATAAGAATTGCCTTTGGGTGACATTTTCATCGCTTTTGACTTTTTGAAAATCTTGCTTAAAGTCAAGAATCAAAACAAGGAAAGACCAAACTAAAAATAAGTTTCGACTAGAGTGTCCTTCACGCGCAACATGTGTTGATCGGAGAAGATTTATTTTTTCTTCTCTTCTTTTTTTTTCACGATTTCTTCTCCTCGTGAATATTTTGAATTTTCGTCTTTTTTTAGTAAAATAAAGTTCAACTTTAGATGGAATTTATCAATGGGGCTCTCAACGTCGCTGGTAATGTCGTTGGAAGCATTGTGAGTCATTTAAACTCTTATAAATCAATTTTTTTCGTTAAATATATTTGTATTCTGAGTTCCTTGAAATCATTTTCTGTGAAGATGTTTTTCTCAAGAGTTGTATCAGGCTTTATATTTTGAAAAAGCATGGAAAAGTTTTTTAAATGTTTCGAGGGAAACTATTGCATTAAATCGGGAGAAAAAAATCAGTTAGAAAGAATCTCGGATAACAAAAAAATGTATTTTTTTCCTTTATTTGATTTCAAAAAAACATTTTTCAGTTTGGCAACCCGGACACACCTCGACTGAACGCTGAGGCGAGAGGAACCAGAGAAAGGTTATTTTTTCTTTCTTTTTCGATCCTTCAGTCGTTTTTTAGCTGCTTTTTAGCATCTATTCAATAAGAAAGATAAAGAATCGAAAGCAAAAGTATTTTTTTGATCCTCAGAAGCTTTTGTTCAAAAGAACCTTCCATTTTTTTAAATATCATTTATTAATACCAATTAAATAATCATTTAAGGACCGAAGAATTTCATGAGACCTCCAATTTTACGAGTTACTCATAGTTATAGCTTCTTTGATTGAAGAATCGTATCCGCTCAAAATCATGCCGAGCGGATGAGAGAGATCCAAAAAGAGTCCGCAGAAGGCCTGGAGAGACAGAGACGCGAAAATCTGGAAGAACGTGAGACGGCTGAACAAAATTTGAGAGATCAACACGCTGAGACCCTGAAGATCAGTGAAGGCGAGGAGAAAGACCTGGATGAGAGACTTTGGAACATAGCGACCGCCGAGACCAGGAACATGAATGACCGTTTGGAGTGAGTTGCGGTTCAAGAAACGTAGTTAGAGGCCAGAAATTTCTGAAAAAGGGTACTCACTAGGATTTGGGGGATGAGTTAATGGTCAAGAGCCTTAACTAAAAGCAGTAGGGCTCTCAAAAAATGCCTAAAATATGGAACATCTAAGGACTAAGTTTTTGTGTAACTAATATTATTTCAAATTCACAGGGTTCTCAAAAAAACCGAAAGAACGAAATTCGAGGGCCGAATCTTAGTTAGAAACCACAAAATTCTTGATAAGGCGCAAAAAAATCGAGAATTCGCAAGTCAACTTTTTGATGATCAATAGGTACCAGTGACATTTTATTCTGACATATAGGATGCATATTTTTCGAAAAGAATAGAAGAACTTCTGAAAGAAAAAATTATCTTGAAAAAATTGCGATCGAAACTTTTGTTTTCATTTTTTGAGACCTTCATAAGTAGCCAAAAATTGAGAAACAAGTGGAATATTTTTTTTTTTACATTGATTTCAAGTTCTTTTCTTATAAAAAACATTATTTTTTTACAACCTTTTTTTTTATGAAAACTATCCAGTAGAGAAAAACTGCGAACACGGAAGTTACCCTAATGTTAACTAATTTTGCGCAGAGTTTTTTCATTTTATTTATTTATTTTTTGCTGAACTATTTTGGCTTTTTCCTTTTTCACAGGAGCACGAAAAGACCAGAAAGTCATGAAAATTAACCTTTCTTGTATTTACTCAGCATATCATAGAAAAACATCGATTCGTTCAGTTCCAACTGAGTTATGATCAAAACACGTTGACCTATCATTTTTCGTTGCTTTTCAAAGTTCCAAAAGTTGTTTTTTGGGGACCTGTACGATAAAAACGCGGAAGAACGTCGTCAGTTAGGAGATCGACATCTAGCAGAAATCGTGAAGAAGGAGGCCGAACAGGGAAGAAAACGCGATGAGCAGATGGAAATTTCGAAAGAATCTCGACGGAATCAAGACCAGAAACAGACAGAGGCTCATCAGGACAACCTGAAAAGAGCTGAGGAAGCGATAGAAGAAAGGAAAAAGGGGCTAGTTGAATCGAAGCAAGTCCAAGAACTCACCCTGGAAGAAACTCTCAAAGCTTCCAATCGAATCAGAGAGGATGGAGAAGCTCATTTGACGAAGATGATGACAATGATGCGAGAAAAAGGAGAACTTGAACGGAAATTCTTGGCTGCTAGTACACAAATCGCGATAGCCGCGAGCCGTGATTCTGAGGAAAGTAGGCTTCTGGGAAAACTCGAAAACGTCAAATCCGCTGGTAGAGATTTTGAGGAGCAGAAAAACCGGACTTTAAAGGCGGTAGGTCCTTTTTCGAGTCACTGGGAAAATGTTCAAGGTGTAAAACTTCTTTTCTATAAGCTTTGAAATATATTTATCAAGCACTACGGAACAGCTTTTGGACTGCTAGTTAAGAAAATTGGAAAAAAAACAATCTGTTGAGTTATGAATCGATCTGGAGCTTGTTGGAATAGGCAGAAGCTTTAAAACTTTTTTTTTCTGATGTTTAGCGCTTTCTTTTTAGTTCAGATCTTTTTTAGGTTACGCCAGAGTGGTCCCTAGAGAGGTTAGGGGTTATAAAAGCCCCTAAGGGAAAAATCGAGGTGATCTCTATAGGGGTTGAGGATCCTAAGTCTCTCAAGCAATCTTGAGTTATCCCTATAGTGATCTTTCGATTTTTTAATATTTTTCGAAGGGTAAACGAGTATAGGAATTACTAGCACCCTTCAATTATTATTATTAAAGTGATCGCTAACGAAAACCTCCAGAATTACTACTTTTGCAAGCTTAAGTGGCATTCTAGGGGAAGGTGAAGAGGTCCCTAGAGGGATCATTCCTTTATCTCTCTGGGGACCAATCTGGCCCAAGTAGGAACAGGAGGGATTTTTTTTCGTTTCTTGACTTCCTAACCCAAAAATTTGGTCTACATACATCATAGGCGAATCGAGAAATGGTATCGCGAGACCCTCTGAGGTATATCGCAGGCTCTAAAATCTCACGATGGTACCTCGAAGATACCTCTGAGGACTTTGAGCAAAAGAAGAGGGACTCCAGGGAGACTCTAAAATACCTCCGAGATGGCTCAGATATAGCTAAAAGGTGTGCTGGAGGTCTCACGATGGACACGTTATGAGGTCTTCACGATCCATTTCGAGAGGTATCTTTGTGGACACATTATGATACCTTCTCGATTCGTCTGGGGTTGTACACCTCGAACACTTTCTTCATGAGTTCAGAAAAAAGCCAAAAGTCCACCGAAAAAACGAGAAATTTCAGCTTCTCCTGTACCAAACGGCGAATGTATCTGAAAATGGCGAGCTGGCCAATGTGAGCTCTCAAAATATGCTTTTTTTCGGAACCGTCTTTTTTCTAGCGTGAAATTTCGAAACTGGAAGGAAGCATTCGCGACCTCGTTAGAAAAAGTTCAGATCTCGAGTCGACCATGTCCAGGAGCGACTCCATTGACGGGGATCAGGCAGGAAAAGATAATTTGAAGGTCTGAATCCCCGAAGTTTCTGGAAAATTTCGCGATTTTCAGAAGTTTATCAAGGACCTGAGAAGTTGCTGTTCGACGGCTTCCAGAGAATTGCCGACCTTGTCCGTGGCTTTACAGGTTGGTTTAAATAAGAGAACTCTGACCCCAGTCGCCAGCTTTCCGCCAATCTTTCGCCAGCGCGCGCCGCGTCTTTCGCGAGCTGGCGCGCCATATCGCGGCGAGCTGGCGAGAAACGCGCCAGAAATTCGCCAGGCTTATCTATAGAGCGCAGATTCCCCCTTTTTTCAATCATTTCCCTTCCTCCAATATTGTTATTTTTTTATATACTAAAAAAATATTTTATCAACTTTTATTATTTTCACAAATACAAAAATTTAATGGAAATAAAAATCAACATGTAAAAATCGAACATGAAGAGAACTTGAAAAAAATGAGATATAAGAAGGAAACGCTTGCAAAGTTTACAACTTAATTTAAAAACAATATCTTTCGATTCGAAAAAGATCATAATAACAGAACATCAAAAACTTTACCAAACAATACATCTTAGAAAAATGTGAGCCAAAAAAAAATCCGAAGAAATAAAGGAAACTTGAAGTTGACTGCTCGTAAAATTTTCGATAATATGCAAAGAGTTATTTGTTGCTTCAAATTACCAAAAAGAAGAGAGAAATTTTAAAGCTCCAACGCATTTAAAAAGTGATATCGACGAGCAGTCAATTTATATCGGAGACAAAGTTAAAAATCCTTTCAAAAACTTTTTAATGGATACATTAAGCTGTTTAACAAATCCTCTCAAGTTATTTTCGTACATACTTCGACTAAAAGGTTGAAATTCAGAGGATAAAAGAGCAATACTAGAGTCTCTGATGTAAAAAAAAGTTTGAGGAAGTTTTATCGTCAAAGGCCGTAAAGTGGTAAAGGCTCTAATAATAATAAATGGCTTAAATTTTAAAAATCAGTTTATAGAGAATTAAATAGAAGACTCTTATACAAAGTTTTTTTTGAAAAGAGAAAAATCTTTTTACTCGTGAAGAAAACTTTGAGCCATTTATCACTTTACTTCAAATGGCCACAAAATAAAGAAAAATAGTGTGAAGAGATTCTGATTTTTCACAAGTATGATCAAGGCATTACATTTTTGTTGTGCAGTGATACAACACGGTTCTTCAAATTTATCAGCCCCTTTTCAAAGCAAACTACGAAACTTATTTTCAAGTCCGAAAAAAACTGCTTCGAAAACTCTACTCGTCAGCCGAACTTCGCGAGCATGACAAATCCGAGTAATATTTTTGAGGCTAAAATATATAAGCTGTATTTTTGAAGCTGACTTTTTACGGACACAAAAATACAATAATTTGGGTGCATCAAGATATTTTTGAGGCTCATAAAGTTGATGAACGTGTAAAGTTTACAAATATAAAAAAACTTGAAAATTTCGCGGACATTTTGCGTCGTACCCGTTCTCCGTATTTTGGTCAAAGCATCGTTATCCATTTGCAATGAACATCATGACACCGTCGGGTGAGATCGAAAATATATCGATGAAGTACTTTACATGAAATCCAAAACTTACCAAAGTAAGAGGAAAAAAAACACCCTTCAGCCGTAACGGGGACTTCCTGACGATGCTTTTTTTTCTGAAGGAAGCAGTTGAGGAAAAAAGTAGAAAGCACTTACTAATTCAACTGGAGTCGTTCTTTCAGCCTCACGGAAAGAGAAGTTCAGCATGAAAACATTAAGCTTTTAGAGCGGTTGATCATCCACGAAACCAAATCGAGAAAATAATTCGAATTTTCTTATTTACCAACCTTTCAAGCTGTTGTTTTTTAAACCTGAAACCCTCCGTCGCATCACATTTACTGAGCTCTACACAAATAAAACAAAGGTTTATATTCTAATAAATTTCTGACTTTTTTTAAACTTCTTTTCAACTAATCGCGTTTCTTTCTTCAAACGACCTACGCAACCTACAGTTTTCTACTTCTATGCACAGCTTTTTTTGAATTTTTTTACCAAAAAAAGAAAAAAATGAAATCAAGAAAAAAATTGCTTGTTACATCAAAACTGCATTGCGGCATCGCTTCTGCGCTAGTTCGGACAAAAACAGGAAACGAACACTGAAAAAAATCGTGAAATCAGCAAAAAAATCAAATAGAAAAAAACAAAAAGGACAAAAAAAGCGAGTCCCAAAAATTTTTAGATCGAAATATAAAAATACAGTAATAAAAAGCAAATTCGCGCTATTGGTTATGTCGCCAGAGAATCGCCAGGAAACCGCCACAAATTTGATGGGCGCGAGCTGGCGAAATGACTTTTTCTGGCGGATAGCTGGCGCCTGGGGTCAGAGAATATCTTCATAGTGCATTCAATCTTGGCCCCAATCGAAGAGAAATACAATAATTTAAAAACACTTTTTGTATTTCGCGTCAGGACCTTTTTCAAAACTTTTGAGTTACTTGGGTAAATGGGACTGTTTGAAATTTGAATATTGGAAGGTGTCGAAAAGGAAAAATTTTTTCCAATTTCGAAATGGAGTTTTTCAAAAGAAATATTACGACTTTTCCTATTTGGAAAATTAAAAAAGCCATCAAAAAGTTCGAAAATCCTCATTAGGCGTTTAAAGGAGCATAGGGTAGGTCTCAAGGCAAAAGTTCGTTTTTAGTATTTTTTAGGCCATTCATAGCGTTTGAAAAAATTTTTTCCATTTTTGACTTCATTTCGAAAACTAAACGGATGATTTGGAAAATAATTTCATAGTGCAGTTGGGGCTCACCCCAATTATTTAAAAAAAGCTACAGTAATCCTCAAAATGATCATATTTCGCGTCAGGACCTTTATTTAAGTTCTTTGAGAAAACGTGAGAGTATTCAAATAACATACTTTTCGCAGAAGTAGGCTCGAAAATTTTTCGAGTGTCTGCGTCTCTCTGTTCCCTTACCACCGAGGTCATAGAAACGCGAAAATAGCGCGTCAGCAAGAGAGGGTCGTCGAGAGACGAGGAGGGCGCAGACAAGTCCTTTCAAGTCGCCCAAAACGGACTATACCTATTTTAGCGGGAAAAATAACTGAAATGTCTGTGTTTTTTTTCTCTCTGATGCTCTTCTTTTCATTTTAACGTCGGTCAGAGAAAGGAGAGCGCAGACGGGATAGAGACGATTCCAAATAGTAGCGAATAGGGTCTATAAAAGTAATAGCACTTTTTTTGGAGTTATTTGAAAAAATGCTGTATTTTTTCAGACCGGCCAGGCGATAACCTCAAAATCAATCGAAGCCCTCGAATGCTCGATTCAGAAAATCGAAGATTCTCTGAACGAAATTCCCGAAATCCGCTTAGGAAATCACGCTTTGAAACTGACTTCCTCCATGTCACTCAAAGTTAATCAACCGGCTATTACCGATTCTTGACCGCCTTTTTGTGCCCCCTTTTTTCTTTCTCAAGTCATTTTACGAGTTCATTTCGGAACCATTTCTTTATTGTCATCCAACTTTTCAATATTATAGTTGAATATCAATATTGAAAATTTCCGACTTTTCCATTTTTGCGCCTTATTTTCTCATACTCCGCTTCAATTCCATTTAACAACTATTAACAGTTTTTTTGTTGTATCAAAAAAAGACGGATTTTTAAATCATGTATAAATTTTTTCTAAATTTTTTTATTGGCTTTCATCACTGCGTGTAAAGGCACATGGATCTCTGAAATACTCTTTAAAAAAAAACACGAAGATGTCCGAAGGAGCATGAAAAAGGAAAGAAAAAAGATTTTCCGATTTTTATAACTAATAACCTCATGAACAAAGTAAAACAGGCTTCTAAATATCTCTTTAAGAAGAACAAGCGAAAAAGGGGTATGGTCATACCGTATGGAAAAAATCGACCGGTCTAGATTTTTTAAAACCTCTAAAACACTTGACTAACACGTAAGGTCATTTTTGCGTAGCATTTTCTATAAATTTTCTCAAAGGATCTTTGATGGACTGGGAATCGATCCCCCATAGTCGCTAACTGTGCAAACTTTTCGTTTTGGAGATATGAATTTTTCAGTTTTTGTCCTTAAACACGTGACGCCGTTTGGAAGGAATGTGTCCACAGCACAAGCGAATGCATGGCAGCTAGAAGCGTGGAGCAGTGGCTAGCGCAGTATCCTGCTAAGCCTATGATGAAGGTTCGAATCTTTGCCGCTATCGTTTTTTGCCATTATTTTTTTGGACGGATTATGATGAACATGTCGAAATTTCAGTAAAAGGTTTGATATTTCTAGAAGTGTTTTTATTTTCTTTTTTTCATTCTCAATTTGAAGTTTCGTAGTCGAGCAAAAATTGTCGTATTTGCTATTTCAATTTCTTTTGATATCGAAATTCTTTGCGATAACCACGTCGACATCGCCTGATAAACTGTTCTTTGTGGTTTCCTTCCTGTTTTCGAGCAGCAGAGACTATCTTTGCTGACATTTAATATATATATTTGTTTATAAGATTGACATTTACGTTTCTTTATCGTTATCAGTAGCGAAGGCGAAATGAATTCCGGCTTCAGCTCATTCCAAAATTTTTTTTCAAATCGTGCAGGTTAGGGAAAGCCATTTTGACAAACTTCAATTAATTTATAGACATAATAAGCCTTCTTTATACGAGCAACTGGAGAACTGCCGACCTCTCAAACATATTTGACAGCATACATCCTTTATTATAGTCAATGTTTCCCGACTTGAAAGGCGAAGGAGGCGGTGCAAGGGGCGGGACGCGTAGCGTGTGCGTTCGCGGTTCTTGGCACGTGTTCAATTCAACCGCCATCGACTCTTTGAAAAGCCCGTTTTTCGCTTTTTTCATTCCTTTTTCAATCATTTATTGATTATGTTCATGTGTGCATCAAAAAATAGTAGAAAACATTGAAAAAGAGCGGTTGCCGAGCTTTTTAGATAATCGGCGGCGATTGAATTGGACTCGTGCCAAGAACCGCGAACGCACACGCTACGCGTCCCGCCCTTTGCCGCGCCTCCCTCCCCTTTCAAGTCGGTAAACATGGACTATATCAATTTTTCTCTTTTAAAAAAACTTCAATATACAATGTTTAAGTGTAAAATAAGGTATTGGCCAACTCAATTTCACCCAATTAGGATCACTACGCGCAATTGAAATAGGAAAAAAAGCGATGCTGCAAGTGGGCGGAGCTCAGCGGTCAAAAACATCCTTTTTTCTTTTTTGAAACCGCATATATTCTTCAGGACCTTTAAAAAAACAATTTTTTTCTGCCTCAAGACCTTTATCAGATTGGTTTATGTTTTTTTTTTGAATTCTGGCAAAAATTTTCGAAAAATCTCAACTTTGGAAATTTTTCCAATTCACTAGGCGAAGACTCGAAAATTTCCTTTTTTTAATTTACATATTCAATGACGTCATGGGAATCTGAAATGAATAGTTTCACTCAAATCTCCTTTTTCGGCGCTATCAGCACTTCCTTTTCTAGAAAAACACTAGTATGAGTGATTGGAAGAGTCAGAGATAAAGAGTGGGTTAGAAAGGTAGAGGAACATCACACTAAACTTTGTTTCCAATAAAAACCAAGGTGTAATTTTCATCAGAGTTTTCTGGAGTTTTTTTCAATTTTCAAAATAGTCTCTTCTCCTTTTTTTTTCTTTTATATTATATTTTTATCATTTCCATTCCTCGACAGCTTGTGAAATTTGTTGTAGGGACGTCTAAACCTCTTCTGTCCGCTCACTATTTTTTTAGATTCGTCTAAAGATCTTCTTTCAAAAAGGTTCTGGATACTGGATAAACGAAAGATCTTTTTCGTGAAGTTTGAATTTTTTTTTCACCTTTAATGGATAAACTAAAGATATTTTTTCGAAAACATATTTTTAATATTGGATCTTTATTTTTTTTTTATTAAGAAACTTTTGAGGGGTCCCTATAGGGTTTTTTTATAGGTGCCCTCAAAATTTTGACCCCTATTGGGGTTACTAAAACAAAGCCTCTATAAGGATCCCTCCAGAATCCCTCAGTACCTTTCCAGATTTATTTATTTATTTATATTTTCCAGATGAGTTTCATTTGGAATGCTTTCGCCGCGAGGACAGTTGTCGATGTACTTCTCGAAGAATTGGTTTTCCTTTCCAAAAAAAAAGATAAAATGGTTGAAAGTTTTCAGGACGGTACAAATGACCAAATTCGAGAGAATGAAAAGAAAGCTCAAATGATAAGAGACAGGTAAAAAAAATCAATTGAAAGAAATAATGAAGTATTTTCATTCAGAATAAACTCCCAGGCAGAATCTTCGAGAAAATTGAGGGACATCCAAGAAAAATCGGCCCGAGAACAGGAAAAAGATGCTCGGCGAGCAGCTCAGCGACTCCGCGAGTTCGAAAAAGCTCAACACGAAGAAAATATGAAGGAGAAGTTTCGACTGATGGATCTGCAAAGAGAAGAAGACCGAAAAGCGAATGAGGAATTTATGAGGAAGTTGGATATGCAAAGGGAATGGGCTTCGGACCAGGAGACGAAGAATCTCCAAGAACGGCTGCTGATCTCGAAAAGAAATCAAGAATCAGTTATTCAAAAAGAAAAAGAGCTCCTGAAGAAGCATTCCGAAGCCATGGAGGAGCGGAGGAAAACGACGAAAATGTTGGACGAAGAAGCTGAGGAAAACCGGAAGAAATTCCGGGAAGCAGAAGAAGCGGCGTCGGCGGAGAGGAAGAAGGAAGTCCGGGAGATCGATGAAGTAAATTCTATTCAGATTTTGAATTTGAAGTCAAGCTCCGCCCTTAAAGGCATAGGGGCAGTAAAAAATGGTGTTTCAGGTGAAAGCAGTATCTTATACAGCTTTTCTTTGCGAATCGAATGGTGTACTCAAAAAAAATTAAAGATGTGACAACTTTAGAAGAAAAACGCGATTTTACTTTCCCGCCTTTAATTTTGAAAAAAGCTTTGGATCGGTCTACGGACAAATTTTTACAGTAGCCGTGCACGCGATGTTGCGGACGTCTCATTAGACTCGCATTTTGTGTGAAATAACCGGTTATCTGCTTCAAATTAAGGGTTTCTTCTCTGAAAAAAATCGATTAAGAAAAACAGAAAAACACATTGATAATAGAGAAAACATAAATAATCGCTATCCCAATCGAAACCTGTGTAAAATCATCATTTTTTTTACCAGGGAAGCTTTTTTGCAATCAAAGTTTGCAAATAATACATGAATAGAAAGCTTTTGTGACGAAAAGAACTTTGATGACAACAGAAAAAATTGAAATTTGAAAGAAACCAAGAAAAAAGCGAAAATCCGGAAGATGGCGAAGCCTGCTGTCCATAGAGCAACTTTACTGCAAAGCGCCCTTTTTGGCGGCAACTCAAACTTTCTTTTCTCCGACTTCGAATAATTTTTTCTTCAAAACTAGGAAGTTCTGTACGTTTCCAAGTTCACCGTTCGATTCGCGATGAAAAACTCTACACATTACTTCTTTGAACTGAAACACCGTTTTTTACTGCCCCTATGCCTTTAATGGCGAATCAGAGAGCGAGCTATCCACAGAGCGTTTTCAAATGAAGTCTTTGTACTGAACATCCAAAAATCTGTAAAGAATAATAACTACCTTTTTTTAAATAATCGCCCCCCGCTCTCTGAAAAAAATGCAATGAAAAGGGCTTGTTGGTACAGGAATTTCACGTTTTTTTCTATTTCTTGTAATTTTCATCAGTATTGCAGGACCTTCCAAAGCTTTCACACTGTTTTATCAAAGACAGCGCGTCTTTATATGAAATTCAAAAAAGGGGCGGAGCTTCACATATATTTTAATAAAAGGTCTTAGAAAGTCATGTACTGCCAGTGTCCAAACTTTCACCGATTAGAAAAAAAAAACATGAAAGTCTTGTACCTCGGGCGAAACGGAAAAGCTTATTTCAAAAGAAAAAGAGCTTCTGAGGGTCTCCAACAGACATTTTTCATTCCCTTGAAAAAGGACTCTTTTTTCTTCGCGCTTGGGAATTTCTGAAAATGGGCCAGAACGCTCCTTGATGTACCAGAAGAAGATTCTGAAGGTTTCAACCTGCAAAACTTCCTTGTTTTTGAGAAAAAGACGCCTCAAAGTCAAAGGAAACCCCAAAAATCCATAAAAATAGGCTGTTTCCGGGCTTTGAGACGTTATTTCTCGAAAACTAGGAAGTTATGCAAGTTGAGATTTTCAGGATCCGCATCTGGTACATCAAGAAGTGTTCTGGCCAATTTTCAGAAAATTCCCAAGTGTTAAATCAAATGAGCTCCCCTGTTAGCGGAACCTTTTGAACAGCGGGTCTCAAAGGAACTTTTCCGTATTATCTATGTCCACCAAGCGGAGAAGTTTTTCAAATGAATAAAATTTCAGGTCTACACACAGAACATGAACCTGATGATCAACCAATATCAAACGTTAAGCCTTGAAAACTTGGAAGCTCGGGACAAGTTGCTCAAAGAGGTAGAGGAGCGACAAGCCGTCCTGAACTCACAAATGAAAGAGTTGGTGACGGTTTCCTTCGCGTCTGCTCAAGATTCCCACGATGCGCGGCTTTTGGAACTGATCCAAGAGATTCAGAGTTGCTCAAACGACTTGAGCTTCAAGGTCGTGGCTCTGCAGAAGGCGGTCAGTTGGAACAAGTCTGGAGTTCTGGAGAATTCTTTGAAAATCACATTTCAAAAGCATGTTCAAGATGGGAACCTTTTGAAAACCTTGCAAATTTTTATCACATTAAACACCTTGATTGAAAAATTGAAAAGAAATGAATTTTTTTCTGTTGAGTTTGATGACCATTTCCTGAAATCAGGATTTGTTCGCTGGCGCGGAGAAAATTTATTAAGTGGCCACTAGAAATGGCCAGAAATCCGGAGCACGTCCTTTGCGCGTTACAAATATCTGAGAAGCTTCAATTTCTTTAATTTTATTGGAAAAATGAAAAATTCATCAAAAAATCTATCAAATCTGGTTGTTTTTTGAACTTTATATTGATAAAAATCTCCACAGAAAAAAGTTTTTGCGATGGAGCGCACTTGTGTCCAGTCTCAATTTTGCAACCCATTTCATTACAGATAATCTTCTACAACTTCTCGATTTCCTCAAACTCTCATGCCGGTTATGCGGATATTCTTTTGGTATAAAATTTATTAAATCGGGACGGATACTGTTAATTTCAGTTGGAAGCTGAGAAACTAGAAAAAGAATTGGAAAATCTACGATCGAAATGTGTCAAGTTACAAAGCAGTTTGAGCAATCATTCGATGAGGGAAAGTCTTCTGGTGAGTGGAATGTTGAGGATCAATAAATATGAGAATGGTTGAGGAAAGCACGAAAGAGATTAATAAAGCGGTGAGAGCCGTCAACGACCCGATAATAGGGATAATAAGGATAGCGAAGGTAAGTAAGAAATTACTGTAATAGGGGAAGACAGGCTTGGGTCGGGCGGGCTTGGGACAATAGAATTTCGATCAAAAATTTTCATCCTTGACTTTTAAACTCATTTTACTAGTTTAATCATGGTTCATTTTGAATTTAATGTGAAAAATGAGCCAAAAAAACGAGATCTTTTTTTCGTGAAAAAAAGCCCTATATTACACTTGGAAAAAAAGCTTGCAATTATTTTTGAAGGGGGGCGATAGGCTGACGGACCGCCCGTCGCACAAGCCCAGGGAAGAGTTATAAAGTGTTTTCAGAAACGGGAGGAAGTGACGATTGACGAAAAGACGATTGGAAATCTGGTCGGCGAAATCAATGCCAAGATTGCGGGAATGCCGGAGTTCTACAACAAGACACACGCTTTAAATTATATTTTGCCTCGTTAATTGATTTCTATCTTCTTCAACTCCTACCCGTCATTGATCGAGATTAACGTGACTTTTTCAAGAATGGCTCAGCGCGTCGCGGTCGCGAAGCGGTTGCCTAGCACTCTTTTCTTCAGTACTCTCAGATGGGCTCTTTTCGCGACTTGAAAGACTTCTCTGCGCCCTATTCACCTCCAATGTTTACCTACTATTTTTTATTTTTTTTGTGACCTGAGGGAACAGAGAGACGCAGACACTCGAAAAATGTATGCCAAAATTCAAAATCAATTTTTACCGCCAAACCGCAGCGCAACCTCGACGCTCAGAGTCATCTCCATCGTTACAAAGTGTGTATTATTATTCTGATAATCAGACCAATCTCTTAGTGATGATGTATTTTAAGTCTCAAAAAATCTCCGGATTTTAAATTTTCAAGAGTTTTGAAATTTATTGAAAACTTCGAAAAAACTCTCTTGTTCAACTTCCTATTGAAAATTATCAAATCCCAAATCAGGCTTGTTTTCAAACATTTCAAACGCACGGGGCATGGCTCAGTTGCAAAACCTTTCATCCAAAGCGCGCCCGACCTAAAACGACTTTAGCGTTTTGGAAATTTAGTTTCGAAATCGTGTGATATTGAACCATTCCCCATGCGACCGAGATATCTTATGAAATATTTTTTTATTACCTTATTTATTATATTGCATGACGCGTAATGAATCTTCAAGAATATTTTCTTGTTTTACCTTTGGTAAAAAGAATAAAGCTTCAACGACTCGACGATCTCCAAGATGTCCTCGCCGATGACGTTGAAGCTCCAACCGTAGCCGAACTTCTCTTCCATTTGCTCCACCGTCGGCACATTCTGAGCCGCCAGCTGAATTTTGTGTTCCGCTCGGACCAGATCGCACGGCGAGATGATGTTCAGACCCATCGGAGTCTGAAAATCGTAGAGTTGGAAAAAAGACGAAAAAGAAGTGTTCTTGTTAATAGCTTTCTTGTATGGTAATCAATCTTCCTGGAACTTTCTGGAACTGTGAGGAATGTTATTTAAAAAACAATCGTGCCAATTCAGTTCGCAGAAAAAAATCGCAGCTCAGAAAGTTTCAGGAAGATCGAGCTCTGTACAGGAAGGATGTCAAAAAGGGATTTTTTCGTATTTTTCTGACGGTACTGTTTATAGTTTGCTCAGAGCGAGACGATAGTAGCATAGTATAATTACCGTAAGCCCAGCCCAAAACTACCGTAAGCCCAGCTTTTTTTGCACATTCGCTCTACAAAAATTCGTAAAAAAAGGTTCCGCAGCGGAGTTTGGTCAAAATTGATCCAATAAATATCTTTTTAAAAATAATATGTTAAAGTTTTAAAAGCTCAATTTTAAGAAATTGACGAAAAAAAAATCTTATTAAGCGGAAAATTACAGGGCCTGAAGAACTAATAAGATTTTTATCTGAAAAATGGATCCATAAAAAGAAAAAGAAATTTTTCAAAAATTTTCCCCGTTTGTAAAGATGAAAAAAAGCTGTTTTTTTGAAAAAAAAATGTTCATTCTGCCCCAAATTTCACTTTTTCATAATGAATTTACCCTGAAATACAGACTGATTTATTTTCAAGGTTTCCTATTTCAGAAGCGTGAAAAGCGGGTATATTAAAGGCGCAGGCGGCCTCATTTCCAAAAGTCTTTGAGACGAATCGAACTATCAATACATAAAAGCAGTTTTTCTGCGCGGAAGCGACGTAGTGCATGCACACTAACACCAAACTTTACGGAGAAGAAACGCTGTGTAGACTTTAAAAAAACAAAAGGAAACTGACACAATTGATGAGAAAACAGCGAATCATTGTGATCATTTCCGCGCAGGCGTTCTCGATTTCAAGAAGCGCATTCTGAAAATTCAAAGAAATTAACTCTTTGGAGCACACAAAAATATTAAAATGAGGTTCTACCTCAACATCCAGCAAGAAATCCAATCCGTGAACGGCTCTAGCGACACGGAACTTGATCATTTTGTCCGCGATATCGCGCATCGTAGAATTGATGCTTCTGTAGAGATCGTAACCGACAATCTGGAAAATCAATGCATTTCTTGGCGAACCAGGCGCAATAAGGTCGTCAAATATGATGCTTTGCGCATATACATTGACGCAAATTCACATACTGGTGGAGTTTTTTTCAATTTTTGAATAAATAAAGTTTTTTCTGTAATTCGTAGTTTTGTGTTTGAATGAAAAAAAAAACACTTAGAATGAGAACTTTTTTTCCTAAAAACTTTCTTTGAATCGAAACTTGCTGCCTGGATGCAAAATACAAAAACCGGTCTTCGAAAAAAATTTCGTGCGATTTTTCAGAATCTTTCCTTGATCGCACTTCATTTTGGACCATTCCTATTTATTTTTTTCGAGGATATTTTTTTCAAAAAAAGTGATACGTTTTTTTAATTTATAATAATGTTGAAAAAAATGAACCATCTTCAAAAGTTGAAAAGGAAACCTTGAGGGAAGTCAAGAGGGCGGCCGACTCGACCTCGGTAAGCCTTACGAAGTAGATTTTGGTTTTTACGTCAGGAGTGACAACTTCCTCGAACTAAAAAAAGAACTTCAGAGGTTTTTATTTTCTTCCAAGTTTAAGCTTCAGAGAAAAACAGACCTTGGAAACGAGCCTGCGAAGAGATTCCTTCGTGCGAAAATGAATGAACCGACAATCTCCGAGTTCGTCTCTCCAGATCCGGTCGCAACGCTTCAAGTTTAAATTTTTGAGAAAGTTGGGATCATTTTGATTTCATCCGCCACGACTTGATGTGTCTGTGCTCTCTTTTCACTCGCTGGAGTGGTCATAGTAGCGAGAAAATAGCATGGAAAAAAGAGAGTGTGGAAAAGTCGTGACAAATGATGTAATAAAAATTTTTTTCGGATTTTTTATATTTTAAATTTATGCCGAGTATTGAATCAACATGGACCATGGCACAAGGTAAATTTTTGCCGCCAAAACAAATATTTCGAATTTTGAAGCCTCTTGGCGTCTCATATGAAAGCTAGTGAGAGAAAAGAGAGTGCAGACAAGTCAGAAAGTTTCAATCCGTGTAATTAAAACTTTTGTCAAAACTTGAACTATCCAAAACTTTCGTCATGTTTTGAAGCACCTTGGTGCCATGTAAAGATTCGTTCTGAAGCATTTTTGCCACCAAAATTTTGAATTTTAGGGCTTTCTGGCGCCTCATCCGAAAGCTAGTGAGAGAAAAGAGAGCGCAGACAAATCAGATTTTTCAGAGTAATGACAAAAGAAGTGTAGTTATTCCAATAGCTCCAAACCAATTTCTCAGCTTCTTCTGCAGCCGTCCACATTGGTGGAATATATCCGTATGGGACGAACCTCATCATATTGTTGTTCATTCTCTTCTAGGTTGTTTTCAACCTGAAAATTCCGAAAATGAAGTTTTCACGTTTTCTCCATTCAAGGATACGGAAATCTTAAAATTTTGTGAAAATCAGCTTGTTTTCAAATTTTAAGTTCAAGATTCCTTTTTTTCGCGCCGATCTGAACCACAGTCCGCATTTGGAATGGCTCGAAACGTCGCGGTCGCGCCGCGGCTATACATGATGAGTATAGAGCCGACTAAAAAAACTCACATTTTTTTACTTTAGTCTCTAGATAATGTTCAGGGATCTAAGAGTTTTTTTCGGGTAATTATAATATTTTATAAATTTTAAGGTTTTCGGTGAATTTCAGGAAACTTTCTTTTTTTATATAAAAAGTGCTTCGAATTTCGCAATTTTTTTCAACTTATCAGTAACCTCACTTGATATTTAATATTAGTAATAGGTGAAGGCCATTGAAAAAAAGGTTTACTTTTTGAGTTTGAAAACAAAAAATTCTTTATCTGATTTAAAATTAGATCTCACCGATGACTCATCGTTCCGAAAATCGAAAAAAAATTATCGAATTGAACTTTTCCTTAGAAAATTATTTCAGATGAATTTTATCTCAAGAAAAAAAAATTCCAAAAGACTATTTGATCAAAATTAACTTCGGATAGGTTTCGTGCAGTGAATGTTTGAGTTAGAGCACAAATGCGCTTCGAAAATGAGCCTCTTTGGTTTTTTTCAGCCTTTTTTTTTGTTTTACGTACGAGTTAAAAAGTTTTTTTTATCAGTAATTATTCAGTGAAGTTTTTAATAGTAGATTTAGTGGAATCTTCTTCTTCCAAGCATAATAGATAATAACTTTTAATTTATGTTCAATAAGCAGATAAAAACTCAAAAAAAATAAATGAAGAAGAACTAAAAAGATAAAAGTTCGAAGAAAGGAAGCGAGCAGCCGTCCAGTACGAGAACAAAATGAGACAATGAGGCTCGGAAGGCGTGAAAAATCACATAAACAGTCTGAATCACCGATTTGTCGATATGACGGATCTCGCAGAAAAAAAAAATCGGCCAGAAAATGTTCTTTTTTTTTAGACTGTCACAAATAACGCTCTCTTGGCATTTAGCTGCGTCACGACTGCGTGAAACATTTTTTTTTTGGTATTTTCGAAAATGATGTTTTTTTGACTTGGAAAGATTTAGTCGTCTAGAATAAAAGCTAAAAATCCGCGAAAAGATTCACCCGTTTTTTTTTTCAAATGTCGAAATATTGTAGCAAGTTCAGCACTGTTCAGTTCTTCATAAATTCATAAAAGAAATAAATTTTCCTACTTTACAGTATCTTCACCTGGATTTTTTTCATCCGCGAAATATTGGCTGCGCATCGACTTATCCAGTCATCCTGACGTCATTCGACTGCAAATTGCCTTTCAAAAGCGTGTAAAATCATGCCCCGACTCAATCCTGAAGGATAATCAATTTTTTTCGAAAAATTTTTTTCAATATTCTAAAAACTCAAGAAATCTATGGTTTTTTTCATGGAGTCTCAAATAGAAAAAAATTTTTTTTTAAAGACGTAGAAATTTCGAATGACCAGAAATAATACAATGAACCGTTTTGATTTTTTTGGATTCTACTTTATCTTCATTAAAAAAACCTCGCTAATAAAGTGCAGATCATTTTACAGATCGAATAACTTTAAAAAGATTCATAACTGTTAGAATTAATCGTTTATTATTGTTTTATGCTTCTTTTTCGTTCAACTGAATCTTCTGAAAATCATAAAAAAATAAAAAAATTTATTGAAAAGTTGTCAAAAAAAGGAGATAGATGATGCTTCCGGTTGATCGCGAGTTCCAGGCCAAAAGCCGCGTCGCGTACGCAACGCTTCACCCTTGCCAATCAACTCATCTCTCCTTGCAAATCGGGATGGATTGACTATATCTGCTGAATCATGGAATAAGTGTAGGTATGTCTGTCACAGTGGCCCGACTCCAGCCAAGAACGGCTCGTAGTTCATCTCCATGGACGCCAGTCCACGATTTTCTTCGCCCACGTTTCTTCACCAGTAGCTATCTTCTTGGAACGTTGAAACAAATAACTCTCCAGAATAAAAACTAAAAAAAAAAATAAAACAAAAATCCAACGAGAGTCGAAAAAAGATATAATGATGACCAGGCAATAAAGAAATGAAAAGAATGCGACGTGCGTCTTTTCGGATTCTCATTTCAATTCCAACAACGTTGGTCCTTTCCGACGCCTCGTCACGACGATGTCCGCCGTCCAGACGACGTCAACTCACGATCCGGAGCCGACTCTGGAAGCCGAGGTATGTCTTCTACCAAATTTCCGGGTTTTCAAGTTTTTCTTTAAAAAAAAATCGTCTTTTATGAAGAGGATAAAGCCCTTTGGACTTTGGTTATGATGACCAAAAAAAGAGGACGTACCTAAGCGGTTCTAGGGATCACTTAAGGGGGCTGACGCTACTGAAGTGGCCACTAAAAATGCTCCGACCGGTCAGACTCGCGTCCGGTTTGCGTTGCCAAGGTCCGAGCCGGTAACGAAAACTGGACGTTTCCAAGCGGTCCTAGTGATCCCTTAAGAGTTCTAAAGGTACTTAAGGGGCTACTAGGAGTGCTCCGACACGTCCGAAAAAATTTCCAACTGAAGCAGAAAAATCTTGGAAGCTTTCTAGAAGAGCTGAAATTCGAAATAAAGATTTTCAATTCCTTCCTTCCATTTTGTTCAAAAATTACATTTCCAATTTAAGGTTCTAGGGTTCACTTTAGAGCTTTTTTTGAGGATTTGGAGTCAGAAACCATCGGAATTTGAGAATTAGAGACTTCTAAACATTAGCAAATTGTTCTGAACACTGTTAAGCCATCTATATTCCAGAAAGAGTCAGAAAAAAAAAACTGAAAAATCGACTCATTTTAAAGGATTTTTAATACATTTTGTGTCAAGGAGACCTTCTCTTCCATGTTTTTTTACATTTTCAATCATTACATCTAGTTCAAGAATCACTTTATATTGAGCTCTACAGGACCTTTTCCCCTCCTTTTTCTTCAAATCGAACCCAAATCCTTTCAGAAAACGATTGTTTGGCGGTTCCCCTCAACGGTTTCCCAATCTTCTCTGTGCGGCCGATCAAACGTCTCTAACGCCTGTACTCTAATATCCCTACACGTTGCCGAGTACATCCATCTCCATGACATCAACATGCCCAAGCTGAATCATAATCACAAGGTTTCTTTAATGATTAATTTTTGGCGACTTGAAAGGCGATATGGGCAGATCGGCAAGCGTGACGCGCTGCGTGTGCAACGCGGTTTTTGGCGGGAATTTCAAACAGAATGGAGTTTTGAAAGGAAATATGAAAAAATTATCGAAAAACTATCGGGAAATAAGTAAAAAAGATGGATTGCGTTTGAATTTCTTCTTCCCGCCAAGAGCCGCATCGCGACCGCAACGCGCTACTCTTGCTGATCGTTTTTGTATTAAAATGTCTCGTTTCTGTCTCCAGTCTCAAGAAACGAGAAAAAATCCTTTTTTTGAGATGAAAATGTCGGAGTAAAAGCTGCTATTTTTTTAAATTTTTCTTGAATTCATTTGAAGTGTAGCCTGTATACCATGACTTGGAATTTCACCAAACGACATTCCGCTGTGCCGCTGCGCGCCTTTGCGAACTTCGGTTGCTCTTTTAATATTTTTTCTCATTTATTAAGGTACTCTACTTTCATGTGCTCCCACAGCAATAACAATCAATTGAAAGCGTGACTTAGATTCAAAAGACGCTTCGCGAACGCACGCAGCGGAACAGCGGAATGTCGTTCGGTGAAATTTCAATGCGTGACACACAAACTATACTTCAAATTTTCGATCTCGATCTTGTCTCGATTTGAGAAAAGAATATCGTGAACAACCCTGCTTCCAAATTGGGAAAAATCGACTACATGGTTTTCCCAATAAACTCTTGAAGAACACCTCGACGCACCGGTACAACGCCCTGCTGTCGCAGCCAATCGAACGCCGAGCCATTGGCGGCTCCGAAAGCTTCTTCAACGTCACGACGCCTTTCTACGCACAGCCGTCTACCTTAGTTTATAACCCCTATAAGTCCGCCTACGATCCTTTACCAGTGAGTTGAGAAGTATTCCTTTGAAGATTCTTCTTCTCAGAGATGTCCGTCCGAAATATATTCCTGCCTCCTTAATGGAATTATTGACGGAAATGAAACGTACGACAGACATGCCGGTGAAGATTCGACGCGAGTTTACAATTTACCTGATGCGATCAAGGCTTGCGGCTCGAATTTTAACGTGAGTTTGGAGATCAAGACTTGAAATGACTTCTCTGCGCCCTCCTCGTCTCTCGACGACTCTCTCTTGTTGGCGCGCTATTTCCGCGTTTCTGTGACCTCGCCGGTAAGGAAACAGAGAGACGCAGACACTCGAAAACTGTCAAGTCGCGGGGGATGGACTATATCACTGATAAAAATCATCATCGCTTTGTTAGCTTCTGAAGTCTCAAATCCTCCGTAAAACGCAGAAGTTCGATCCTGAAAATTTTTTGACCATTTTTCAATCTTGTCCTTCATATAAATTGATGTGATTTCAACGAAAATGATAACTTTTTTTTTCTTATAAACTGATTGAAGAGGTTTCAGGAGGTTGATTTCACGCTTGTGAGCGGCAGCATCTCCGAAAGCTTGCCTAAACTCATCTGGATGGCTGTTAGATGGTGAGCTTTTTCCCTTGAAGTAAAAAGATTTCCTTTTCTGGAAAAAATTTTTTTTTGATTTTATTCGGTTTAACTCGGATGAAACAATGAAAGTCCAGAGTTTTGGTCACTTCATTTTCGACGACTTTTTGACTTTATTTTCCAAATTCAAAGCTCAAAATAAAATTCTCAAAGCCTTTCTTCATCCCTCTTGTAAAATTTATTAAGCTTCTGAAAACTTGAAATTTTTTCCGGAAACTTGTGCTAAAACTATTGAAAAAAGTATCGAGCAAAAAAAAAGCGGAAGTCGTTAGAACCGAACCCCTAACCCTTGCACTACCAAACAAAGGCTCAACCAACTGAGCCACGTTGCAGTCCGATGTTCGCCGCCGACAAACGGCTCTTCTTCGTGATGATCGGATGCATGCGGACTGTGATGCTGGTCTACGACAGGAGCACTGACACGGTGACCATGTTCGACCCTCACATGCACTCGTTCCGAAACTGTTGTGAGTTGAAACCGCGACGCGCCCCGAAGATTGCTAGACGCGACGCGGTCTTTTCGCAAAAGTGAATATTCATTTTCCAGCCAGTCAGCAGTACGGAGCGCTGATCGCCACGGCGAGACTTTGCGAAATCGACTCATTTTCCGACTTTGTCAATGGATTTGTGTTTCCAGACTTGCCTGACCAGGAGAAAAAAGTGAGGTTTTTGAAGGAAAAATGGGAAAAAATTTTCAAAAATCCTTTTTTAGCTACAAGGAAGGTTATTTCGAATTCATTTTCTGCTTTTGAGTGCCTTAATCAGAATGTAGTAAAAAAAAAATGCCTGACTGGGAAAATTTTTAGTGGCCGCTTTAGGGTTTTGACGTTTTAGTGGCCATTATAGTAGTCAAATTAGTGGCCACTTAAGTGGTTAAAACATAGTGACCACTTCAGGAGTCAATGGATCGACATAACTGGTCCAATCTGTTTGTTTTAAAGAAATCAGAGTTACTGGAAGGAATACTGGATGAAAAACTACTGAAGTGGTAAATAGAGAACCTCTACAGGGGCCACTAAAAGGGAAAAAAGTGGCCACTATAGAGGTGGGTTTAGTGGCCACTTCAGTGTCCTCTCCAAGTAGTCCTTGGCGAGTCTCTCTAATGGCCACTAAAATTTTCCCATAAAAGGCAAAAAATCTGTCAAAAACTGACTAAATCGGTTACTTGAGCCCCTCTTTCTTGAAAAATGGGGATCCCAGCAGTTTGAGACTTTCAGACTGTTCTTCTGCCAATAGAAACTTTCTTTGACTTTTCCAGGAGTTCGAAATCTCCGTGATTCGATTCAATCCGCAGTCTAGTCTCGTGTCTCCTTGCCTGGTCCCGTTTTCGCCTGCTCCGCCCGGACCGGTGAAGATTTTTCCGGCCAACAAGCTCAAATCGTCGGACGTCGTCGTGGCTGGAGGTTCCGCTGAACGGAAACGGCGGGCTGATCCGGCAGAATGGGACAATCAGGAAAATGGTTGGTCCATCATCTGGAAAAGGGCTTTCTATTCAAAATAATTTTATTCAAATTTTAAAAATTTAACATCTCATGTTTTCTCACTATTGCTCATATTAGAGTGTTTTTCTCAAAAAAAAAAATCAAAACCTCTACTTTTCGAAAAAAATTCCATATGTTTGTAGCCCTATACATCTGAACCTTATAATTTGATCAGTAGATCCAATTCAGTTTCTTATGATAGCCATGTAGTTCTTGTTGGTAGCTAAATATCTTCTTGATCTTCCAAGTCTTAATTCGAGAAAAAGTCCGGAGAAACTTTCTCAAACCGAACTTTTCAGGCAAAGAACCGTGGCGGAAGCGTCCGAGCCGATTCTCTCGTCGGATTTCCGCCGTCCAAGCAGCCCAAGCGTCAAGAGACGCCCGAGCGCCGATGCAGCCCCTCTGGCCATATCCATCCTTTTTCAATTACAATCCTCAGACGAAATATTGAACTTACACCAAAAAGACAAAAAGAAAGCGTCAACTTGCACCAAGATTACTGTACTACCGTCTCGCCGCCCCGATTTTTGTTCAGAAATAATAGTTACTGTATGAAGACAAACTCTTACCGCATTCGTCCTGTCATTTTCCTTGTGTCATTTACATTTCCTGCCGCGTTTCTGTCTCATAAAAATTATAGTGAAGCTTAGATTGGGGGGCAAAGATCGCTTTTTCATATTAAATTCTGAATGTCAGCATCACAAAGAAAGTTCGTTTGCCACGTTTCACCGGAACGATTGATAAACCTGGAGGTGATTAAAAAAAATTTAACTCAGCGAATGGAAAATTTTCAAAAACTTTTTTATAGTTTCCGAAACAGTTTAACTAAAATTTCACGAAAAACGTAATAAAAAACAGAGTTCAAACTACACACATTTGACGCCTGTGCCGTGGCGCGCACATGTTTTCTTTTGCCGTCCCCGATTTTCTCACGTGGCCCGGTCAGTTTTGCTATTTTTCTTGCGTTTATTTTTCTTTTCCACTTTTTTTTTTCGTTTTGCAGTTTTTTGTACTTTTTTTTACTTGAATAATTTAGTAGTTTTTCATTGAAAATGATAAAAACGTACATTTCATTAATTCAATTTTTTTTTTGATGTAATTGAAAATTAAAATTCATATTAAGAATGAAATAAATAGCATCTCCAAAGGTATATGAAAAATGAAAGAGAATGATTTTTTTAAACAAATGTGATATTAATATGAGTCATAAAGTGTATTCATAAAATATTTTTTTAGGTCGAAAAAAACGATTCAACGAAAAAAATGATAAAAAAATAACATTTTTTTCGAACCGGCATCTCTTTTTTTACGGACTTTTTGAACAGTTGAAAAAAATTCAATGTTTTTTTCTATGATTTATAAAGGGTCATAAACTATATGAATTTATGTAGAATTGACTCGAAATCCGTTTTGTTTTGCGTTTTTGTAGCTCATAAATCACTTCGCCGATTTGAATACCCAAGCGAAAAAATTTGAGCTAAAATCAAAAATCCCATTTTCGAAGTATTTCTCTATTCAAAGTGATTCCGCGAAATTGAAAAAAGCCGTCAGAGAGTGGAAAAGATAACTAAATATTGGAGTCAGAGATAATTTTAAATTTCGCGGAAATTACTTTCAACAAGGTATAAAGTTAGTCTTCCGATCAAGAAAAAATTCAAACTCTATCAAATTCCTCGTTTCACACGCTTTTTCCATCGCAAGACGTTGATTTATGTACTATTTCCCGATCGAAGAGAATGGAAAAGATATCGATTCCAATTTTTCTCCCTCCAGCGCTCTTTCCCCCGCGTTGAAAAGTGTGATGCCGTGTTCAAAGTAATTTCCGCGAAATGCAAAATGATCTCTGACTCTCCAAAATTTAGTGATCTTTTCCTTTCTCTAACGGGTATTTTGCATTTCGCGGAAATTACTTTGAACACGGCATGAAAAAGGCGAGGAGAGTGCAGAGATTGGGTAGTATGAGCAAGAGACTACAATCTATTCCCAAAATTTACACCGCTTCGCCATTTTTTCTTTTTTTTTCTCGTTTCTCCTGTTTTCGACTTTTTTTTTTCAAGGAAATAAGAAACAGATGACTAGGAATAGTATAAAGTTTAGAGTTTCTATGGAAAAAATCCAAAATCAGAGTTTTTCTTCAATTTCGGGGCGTTTTAACGGTTTTCGTTGAAAATGCTATCAGTTTCTGTCCATTTTTTTTAAAATATTTGTTTTGGAATTTTTGTTCTTTGTTCATTGTTTGGGCTTGAAATGTACTGGTCGCGTTTAGAATGGTTCGACGCGCCGCATTCAATTTTTCAAAAATCTTACAATTGAAAAGAAAACCGTTCTGTGAGATAAATACACGCGAAAGTCGTTTTGTTGTCGGGCGCACTTTTATAGTTACCGCTGCAAAGCCTGAGCTTATCCTTTTGTGACCAAAACGGTTCAAGTCAAGGAGTTTTTTCCATTTTTTGAAAAATGTGATTTTTTTATTTTTATTTTTTTCATCTTACTAGTTAGGACTTGAGCTGAAACTTTCAAAATCTTCCTATTTGGAACAATTTTTTTTTTTCTTATCTATCGATTATTTCGATTTAAACCTCTATTTATAGCTAATTTGTGACCTTTTTTGGTGCACTATCTCGCTCATGTTTCCAGACATTTTTAAAATTTCCTTCTTTTAAGAAATCATCTTCAAGCTCTAAATTGAAAAATTTTTTAATCAAAGTCTTGAAACGATCCGAAGAAGAGCGTGCAAAAAAATGAAAGACTTATGTTTATGGAAAAATATTTTTTTCAAGATTTTCAAAAAAATGGCCCATACAAAAAATTATAATTTCTTAAAGGCATAGGGGCAGTAAAAAAAAATGGGGTTTCAGGTGAAAGCAGCATCTTGTATAGTTTTTTTTTTGCGAATCGAATGGCGTACTCAAAAAAATTACAGATATGCCTATTTTTAAAGAGAAACGCAATTTTACTCTCCCGCCTTTATTTTGAAAAATTCTTTGGATCGGTATGCAGACAACTGTTTACAGCAGCCGTGCACGCGATGTTGCGGACGTCTCATTAGACTCGCATTTTGGGAAAAATAACCGGATATCTGCTTCAAATTAAGGGTTTCTTTTCTGAAAAATCGATTAAGAAAACAGAAAACACACATTGATAATAAAGGAAACGCAAAATATCGCTACTCTTTCTCCAAAACTAGGAACGTCTGTACGTTTCCAAGTTCACCGTTCGATTCGCAATGAAAAGCTCTACAAAGTACTGACTTGAACTGAAACACCGTTTTTTACTGCCCCTATGCCTATAAAAGCTTTTTTCTTCGCTCGTGCAATTTATAACATCAATTTCGTGTCGTTTCAACTAAATTTTCCCTAATTTTTTTTTACTTTTCAGCGTCTCTTTGCAACCCTATCAATGTAACCATGTCACAACCCGAGGTGATTCTTTCCTTTTTTTTTATCAAATAATAGTTATTAGTATCATTTTTCTGCGGTATTTGATGGTTCACTCTCGTCGTAATATATAAGTTACCTATATTTTGACGGCTAAACCTCATCTTTTTCAAACTTAGACTTGTTCAGGAACTAAAAAAGTATCAAATCACACGAATAATCCATCTTTTTCCAGATAAACGACCACGGATTCACAGCCTTCGTGATCTGTGCTATAATATCCGTGACGACGATTTTCCTTCACATTGGAATTCCCTTCATTTTCCACAATTTTCTGTCCCTCGCCATTGTCGGCGGCTTGGTTGCCTTGCTGGGAGGCAAAAATATACTCGAAAAGCTGCCGATCTTCTTGGAATTCCTGAAGGCCGGTTTGGAAAACCTGAGGGCACATCCTTCGAAAAACACGGCTCCAGCCTTCGTATTGCTAGTTTCCTCCGCATTTAGGTCGGTTTTTCTTTTTTATCGTCTTTTAAAAATTACAGTTTGTCATAATTTAGTTAAATTTCGTTTAATTATGTCCTTTTGGTTTGTTAAGAATATTTCCAAGTTTCTGTGACCCCATCGGCGAGGGAAAAAGAGCCCAGACAAGTCAGAATCTCCCTAGCCGTAGTGTTCTCTAACATGAGCAATGAAATCTTAGAAAAGATAATTTTAAAAAAATGGAAATTTGCAGTGTCCTGCGCATTCTGTGGAACTTCAGCTCCGTCGAAAGAATGAACTATTTTTTTGGAATTGGACTTCTTTTTGTATTTGTGAGCTTCGGCTGGGCCGCCGTCTTTTATATTCCAATCATGTCAATTTTTCTCATATTTTTGAAAAGATTCATCAAATACGATACCGAAAAGGAAGTTATCGATTATTCTCTATCGAAATCCAAAGATGCCTGGATCGCCGTATTTTCCAGATTCTTCAAGAAAGAGCCAACGTTAACTTCTTCTTATGGGAGGAAAAAAATTAAGTAAGGCTTTGAAAGTCTGAGAAAATTACTTGTATCACGTTTCATCCGAGTTTTTCAATTGTTATCCAATATCACTTTATTTCGTTTTTGAAGCTGAGAAAGGCCTTCTCGATTTTAAAACATTTTTTTGTTATACATTTTCTAAATTTTTCTACTTCATTGTTTTTTCTGTTATACTTTTTCCATCTGAAATCTTGACTTACACACATATTTGCACATAAAGTTGATTTTCCCGCCTTCTTTTTCCCATTCAATTACACGTTCAATTCGTGACGCCCACTATTTTTGTACTAATCAGATTTTCTAGACCTTGATGTCAATTTGCAGGCTTGGAAAATGACCGAGGATGATCGAGAACGAACTCGACGCCTCGAACTCGAAAATGCCAGTCTGAAAGTGCTCGCGGCTTCGGAAAAGCTGAGGCTAGAAGAAGAAAAGCTTCGCGAAGTTTCTCGACTGAAAAATCTTCACAGAGCGCGGGAGATCGCTGCCAAGTCAGTTTTTCTTTTAAACAGCCTTATCGAAAAATCTACTCGGGCCCGTTTCTGAGCATTTCTAGGGATCATTTTAGCGGCTTCAGAACTTTTAAGTGATCCCTAGAATGGCTCAAGAACGTCCCGAGGCCCTAGTTTGCATCGAAAATCAAATGGAATCTCCAAAAATAAACATTTTTCTTAACATTTTTTAAAATTTCTCTTTGTGCTCTTTAAACTCGTAATTTTAGTTCTTTCAAAAATATTTTACTTTTAGAAAACAAATTTTAACTATGGAGCTCGAAACGAGGACCAAAATCGCCATCACTGAAAAATTAAAGTCACTCGAATTTACTCAAAATTCAATCAGCGAGGACTGCTTGGAAATAATAAAAGTACGTTTCCGATTTTAAAATGAATTTTAAAGGATAATTACAGCAAAACGCGAAAAATGACAGCAGCGACATTAAGAAGGTAACTTTTCATTAGAAAATTCTGCGTAAAACTGAGAAATTCAGGCCGAAAGAGTCTTGGAACATCTCGAAAGCTCCAAAAATTACATGGAAGAAATCGTTGAAGCCGTTTCCAGTGCTAGAATTCCGCCCCTACCAAGTTATCAGGCGATTTTTTTATTCAATTGTTTTTGACCTAAATTTTCTGGCTTAGGAAAAATTGGATGACTACCGAGAATCAATCGACCAGATGATTAAAGTCATCGATCAAGTTCTGGTGAATCTTGAAAAATTAAACATTTTCCATAAATCCTCCAAAAAGGAATTGCGAGCTTATTTGCACAATTTTTTGATAACGAAGTAAAAAAAAACTTCAAATAACCCTTAAATTAATTGTTTTGCAATCTAAAGGTCACTTTTTTCAGATGAATGAGAAATCCGCCTTTGACGCGTTGATATCCCAAAGGAAAAGCTTAGAAAAAGCTTCCAACGACTTTTCGGAAGAAGTTTATCAATTTCAACATTCCCTCGCAAATGGTTCATCATCGAATAATAATTATATTGAGGTAAGCTTCATAAAAATGATCTGAACTTCGGAAAAAGAAGAAAAAAAAAATGATGGAATGTTCGTTTCTCAACCTAATCGACAACGCAGGAAAATCAAAAACTTCATTCTATAAAAAAAAATACTCAAACCATTATTTATTTTCCTTTTTAAAAAGTAGCTGTCTGAAAAATTCAACTTTTTTTTCTTTTTCTGAGCTTGTTCAGTTATGAACTTTATTAATCGGCAAAATTTGTATGAGCAATTTTCCAAAATTGAATTTCCAGAGCTTCGTCAATCGCCTGGCCCTCCCCGACGTCGTTCGATCCGAGCAAGTTCAAAAACGAATTTGGAGTTTTCTACTGAATTTATCCGTTTTTCTCCCCTTCATTCCAAAAATTCTACTGTTTCTCTTGTATAATCCAATGTTTTGCCTCGGTTTCTGTGTTGTTTCAATTTTGATATTGAAAAGTTTGCCCGAACAGAATCGTGAATCGATCGATAACAGTTTCATTACATTTCTGACATCTTTCAAACATTCCTATCCATTATTGGAATCAATATTCCTTCGTTGTTTTCCTAAATTGCACAAAGAATCCGTCAAAGTCGCTATTTCTCTATGCCTTACCCTTCAATTTTTCTATTTTTTACTACAATTTTTGTGAAATTTCTGAGTTTTTCAGGCCCTAACATCGAAGAAAAGAAAATAGACTATATCCATCTCATTTTATCATTTCAAAACTGTTCTTTCTTGAAGATACGGTTGCTTTTCATGCTCGGAAAGAGTAAAACAGGTTAATAAAAGTTCTTTTTTCCTGTGTTTTTCTCTTTTTATATCATAAGTTTTGTGCTTTATATTTACTTCAACCGCCTGTTTTTTTGAAAAAAACTTTCATATCTTTAAAATTAAGTTCAATCAAAGAACTAACCTCTGAGCTTTTTTTTAAATCACCAGAACAAAAAAATCGGTAAACGAACGCCCTGAAAAAAACAGAAACTACAATTTTGGAAAAAAATCAAATTTTAAACGAGAAAGACACATTTTTTTCGAAGGAAAAAGCTTATTAATTTAGTGAAATAAATTTATTGAAACATTTAGAAAATGGGGATTTGGAAACTGTTAGAAGAAAAATATTTAAAAAACAGTATCTGAAAAAAAGTCCAATCAAAACTTCGATTGAGAAAAGGCGAAGCTAAAAAGACGCCAATCTCCCCACTCTGGCGCAATTTACGTCTAAACCCAAAAAAAGTCTGATAAAATCACATAAATCTTTTAAAAAACTTGTTGAGCTAAAATTTTTTGAATCTTCATGGGTAGTCTTGTTTATGCTGATCTTGTTCTCTCCATGATTATTTAAAAACATGAAAAAGAGTTGAAAATTAATGTCAGGTGCAGATTTTGGTCCTCAAAATCCCGAGAAACCTTCGACTTCCATCATGGTCCGGTCAAGAAGCTCTCAATTATATACAGAAGCCTCTTCGAGTTTGTTATTTTTTATAAATTCAGAAAGGAGGGGAAAACTTTCAGGATCGGATTACATCGAGGAGCAAAGTCAAGATGGTTTCGACGAAGAATTCGAAGAATTTCGTTACAGACCAATCCGAAGTTATTCTTCAAGGAAAACTGTGAGTTTTTTCAGATGATATAGCCTGTGTACCGCGACTTGGAATTTCACGGAACGACATTCCGCTGTGCCGCTGTACGCATTTGCGAACCTTGGTCGCGCTTTAAATTTTCTTTTTCTCTTTTTAAGGTGCTCTGCTTTCATGTGCTCCCACAGCAATCACAATCAATTGAAATTGTGGCCTAGATTCGAAAGCGCTTCGCGAACGCACGCAGCGGAACAGCGGAATGTCGTTCGGTGAAATTCCAAGTTGTGGCACACAGACTGTATTTATAAATTGACTCAATTTCATTCAAATTTCAGGTTGAATACGGGTTCTCAACATTCATGCACTGTTTCCTGTTCATTTCTATCACTGTTTTCCTTCACCTCGCCATTCCCTATACATTCGCCAACTTCCTTTCTTTATCCATAGCTTTTGCTTTTTGTTATGTTTATGGATTGACGAAAGTCTCATTTGAATGTTGGCCACAATGCAAGTCACTTGATGATCCGAACGATACGTTTTTCTCGTATACAATATTCCTCTGCATTGCCATCAGGTTGGTTCGAAAAAAAACATAATTCTCCCGTGCTTGTCACGATTTTCGTGTTCCTCCCAGCTACAAAACCCTTCCCTTCGGAGCGCGCGGCCTTTCTTTGTGCATGCGCCTTTAATATAATGAAAATTTTGAGGCTAAGTTAAAGGCGCACAAAGAGACAAAGGCAACGGGCCTCGAAGGGAAGGGTACCGTAACTGGATAGTAAAAAAAATCATGCAAAGCCGGGGCAGAATGGACTATAACAAAATTCTGATGTTTCACCGGTCTCAGCAAGCACCCTGATTCGCTCATCGTGCCTCAAACCCAAATATAGTTCGTTAGAGCGCACTTTAGTTATAGAAAGGCTATAATTTCCGAGTCTGTTTTTTCTCAAACTTTCCAAACATATCAAAAAATCAAAGAAAGCTGAATTTTTCAGCCTGGGCCGCATTCTCTGGTTCCTGTACTCGATCGGCCTCTTCGGATTTCTCTACTCTTCGAGCTGGTCGGCTGCGACTAGCCTTCTCTACGCGGCTTTATACACCCCCGTTGTTTTCATTGTCTACAAGTTGTTCCAATATTTCCTCGAATATTTGCAAGAGAACACTCCCCAGGCGGTTGCTGATGAACTGCTTCACAAATGTCGGCTTCTCTGGACTTCTGTCGTTCTTTTGGTGCTCACCATTTATGGCTACTTCAAGTTGATTTTTGTCAATTTCTTTTCGTAAAACCAACATGGAATGAAGGTTTTTCGTGGCTTCTACTATCTCAGATTATACCAGAACTTGAAAATTTTCGTTGAAAATTTATGAAACATTTGAGCGATTTTCATCATCGTTGAGATTTTTAAAGATCCGAAAATCGTGGTCGTTTCTGATATTCACGTGAAAACGAGTTGATAAATGAACAGACGAGAAATTTCTTGGTCGTCGGACATTTTCGCGTTCCTGATTGTCCGGTTTCCAAGGGGAATTTGTATAAAAATGACGTCAATTGTTGGATTTTGAACGTCTTTTCCAACTATTGCTGCATTTTCTTCACGTTTCCTTGACAATTTTGAAAATCGAGCAACAATTGTTATATAATTGATAATTGTATCGGTGTTCACTCCATAGTAAATTTAAGATAATTTTAATTTTTCGATTTTTGAGACCAAATGGAAAAGTTGAATTTAAAACTGAACTGATACTACAGATTTGTGTACGCTTAAAATAATGCAAATTCAAAAAATGATCGAGGATTTATTTTACTTTTTCGGTTTCTGAATTTCAAACAGGGGATCGACTGAACCGAAGCGAACAAAATTTGAATTTTAAGATCTTTGTCCTTTTATTTTTCCGTTCAAAAGAGAGAAAAACAGGGAAAAAAAACCAAGCTGATCAACAAAAAGTAAAGAACAGATAGAGACAGTGAGAACGCCCTCATTTTTCCCCATTTTATTACAATTTCAACAGTCAGTTGATATTCTCTTTGTCTAGGGTTGGTTCTTCTTTTTTCACAGATTTGATTTTTTTTTTATAAATAGAAGCCAGCTTTTCATTTTATTTTCAATAGATTTATGAGAGATCAACTATGAAGATTGCCATCTTGAGAATTTTCGCTATAATATTTAATTTCCCGGAAAAAAGGCACATGATTCGCAACATGACCCCACACGCGGAACGACAAAAATCACGGAAATAATTTTGATTGATAACTTCGGAAGGAAAAACCAGTTTTATTCACTTCTCTTTGGTTAACTCTTGCAAACTTCCTTTTTTTTCACTTCGGAGAAAATCATCATCAATCATTTGAATGAAAAAAAACTTCAAATAGGCGTTTCAAGGTAACAATGGCGACACTTGTCCCGAATAATCGCAAGGAATCTGGCTTGCCGCCCGTTCAGAAGAAGATCTCGTCAGTTTCCCCTTTTTCCCTGTTTTTACTGTTCATTTTGAACATTCAGCTTCATACAAATGGCTGTGATTCCCATCAATGAAGCCAGCGGCGCCCCGGCAAAAGAACAGAAGAAAATCTCGTGAGTATTTTTTTTTCAAATTTTTTTGGGATAGAGCGAAATGAATTATAGGCTTCTAGTGCTAGTAGAGCTGAAAAATAAGATTAAAATTCAATATAATTCTTATGAGAATTTGCCCATTGAGCGCACATTTTGTAAGCCAAACGCAGCTATTTTCTCTTTTTCTTGAAAAATAATTTTTAGTTCGAAGTTGATCGTGAAGTCTTTGAAATCCCTTGGTAAGACTAGAATTCCTTTGCCAAGACTTTTTTCTCTGAGACGCTCTCGTGTTCACGTGCTCTCTTCTCTGTTCTCATGACCTCGTCAATGATAGAAAAGAGGGCGCAGACTGGTCAGTCAATTTGACGAATGTAGTGGAAAATTATTCGCTTCTTCTGAATCTGAGTTCCTTTCAGAGCATGGTTTGCCCTGGCGAATCTTCTCAAAACAATGGTAGGCCCTGGATGTTTCTCCTTGCCGTTGGCTTTCAAACAATCCGGTTGGGTGGTAAGTTCTTCATCAAACTATCCAGTTGCAAATATCTGACACTGTTGAAACGGGAGGTTGATACAAGCAGATACCGGATAGCAACTCAAGTCAATCGACGTATCGTAATCGGTGGTTGTATGCGACCGGGTACTATCTCTATCTACCTGGATAGTACCTGATCGGTATCTGGATGCTACCGGGTAGGTAACTTCTCGATTGCTACTGGTCGGCACATCGGTCGTTTATATAGCCCCAGTGTTTTTAAGCCTTCCAGGGTCTTATTGGATAAAGTTGAAACAAAAAATAACGACCCGGGAGGCAATCGCGAATGTCAGGTAGCAAACCCGTAACTACTTGCATCGACCCCCGACCCAGGCATCATAGAGGTAGTACCCGGTATACAAACGACCACCGATTTCCATACGCCGATTGAATTTTTCAAAAGTTGCTATCCGGTAGCTATTTGTATCGACTTCCCGATTCACCTTTAAATGGATGACTTTCCAGGCAGCCTTGACAATAATCGTAGTTCAATGCTACCTGTCGATCGTCACCATGAGCAAGCTGGTCAAGTGCTCCAATCACATTGCTAGAAAGTTGACTTTCTCCAATTTTTTTTTTGAGGTAATCAAGGTTTTCAGTGAGAAGTGCGGTCCTTTGAACTACGGGCGGATGGCTGGAAAGTCGACGGAACGAAGTTGGAGACCGATTTCCAAGTTTTCCATGATCGCCGAGTTCATCGTCAATCTCTCGATTATCGCGTTGCAATTGGGAATTTGCTGCGTCGCCTACATTTTCGTCGTCTATCAGACTCACGAGGTACGTTGCGGTCGCGGTCCAGAGTGACATTAAGTTTCTCATGTAATCCTCATCAAACGTGGTTCTTTCCTGCGGAAATTTTCATTTCCCGACTCGAAACGGCTTACGACCAGTGTTCATATTACTGAAAATTCTCAATTTTCGCGCAAAATTAAAGATTTAGACTTGCAGCTCCTCCACCTGGTCCTCAACGAAGTCCCTGACCGACATGCGTTGTTCCCAATGTGCCTTCCAGCCTTCCTCATCATCGGATCCATCACTTGTCTTCATTTCCAATCTGTTGTCAGCATCGTCGGCAACGGAGTGATGCTCATTGCCGCTGTGACAGTTCTCTGGGTGCGTCTTGGACTGAGTTAAATAAAATCAAGTATACTCTTTCAGCAACTTCTGATGGCTGATCACCAGCCTCTGTCATCCCTACCGATGGTCGGAGGCTTCACAGGGATCGTCACGGCTGCTGGAGCTGTTCTCTACGCCTTGGAGGGTCAAGCAATGGTGGGTTGCCAGAAGAAGGACAATGAAGTCCTTGATATGATTATCAAACGGAAAAACTTGGAAAAGAATATATTGTTTTCAGATCCTACCCCTTGAGAACCGGATGAAAAAGCCGTCGGAAATGAAAGGCCTTTTTGGTGTGATCAACCTCGGCGTCAGCATCACCGGCGCTTTATTCGTCGGCGTCGGATTTCTCGGATTCTTGGCTTTCGGCCAAGGTGTCGAGGACAGTATCACGCTTAACTTGTCGAACAGCCCGTTAGCATCCCGTTTTCTTTGAAGCTTCAGACTCCCTTGTTTAGAGTCTCAGCTTTCGCCAAGGCTCTGTTGCTGATCGGCGTGTTCAGCAGCTTCGTGGTCCAACTGATGCCAGTCGTGAGCATGATCTGGCCTTCGATCAAGGTCAAGCTCGTCGAGAGGGAGTGGAGCAGTAGAAAATGTCTCGTCAGTCAAATCGTCTTCAGGATGTTTCTGACTTTGGTGATTTGTGAGTTTCATTTAACTTACATGGGGATTTGAAGTTTTTGATCTGTATCTTAGCAATATGTATAATAATTCATTCACCAGGAAATGAAAAATGGTCGCATTTGAAATGCCTCATAGTGTTGTGGGTAAAAATCAAATCTAAAACCGAAAAATCTTCGAAAAAATATCTAAACTTCTGGCTTTCAAGTCGTTTTGAGTCGGTCACGCCTCAAAAAACCGCTGCGCATGGAGCTGTTCTTAGGACAGCCATGGACTTTCAAGTCAGCACTAAGAAAACTGAAATGGATTTTTCATAACTTCGTCCTAATTAACGAATCACGATTGATTCATAACTCAAAATCCTGGGAAGTTGTTGAGAAGGTAACCAGCAGGAGGTTAGAAGGTCTTAAGAAAGCCTTTGGAAGGCGTTTGGAAGGTGAAAACGAAAAATGCCTGCCAGAAGCCTTCCAGAAGTCTGCTCGAAATATTATGGAAGGTTTCGGCAGAATTTTTTCTAAGTAGAAGATGTTAAGAAGCTATGTGGAAGGCGTTCGAGCACTTGCTGAAAAGCTTCTGAACGCCCTCCGAAGAACCGAAAACAGAAGCTTCCCAACTTTTACCTGAGGAAGGCGTTTGGAAGCTTTCCAATAAGCAGTACTTCTGGAAGGCTTCTGGCAGGCATTTTCCATTTTCACCTTCCAAATACCTTCTATCTACCTTCCGAACATCTTCCAAAGGCTTTCCCAAGACCTTCTAGCATCCATACATCTTCCAACCTCTTGCTGGTTACCTTCCCAACACCTTCTTAGGATTCGCCTGAGTCCCAACTTTTACCTGGGAACATACTTGAAGACTAAAAAAATTTTTATTTAAATTTTCAGATTTTCTTTGAAAATTTTTCGTTTCCTTGATCCTTCAATTTCATTTTTCATTCGAATGATTCCAGTCACTGCGGCGGTACTCATCCCGAAGCTGGAAGACATGATTCCCCTGATCGGCATGACTTCGGCGATGATGCTCGCCTTCACTTTTCCTTCACTTTTCCATTTTCTTCTTTTCGCCCCTTTATTCTCCCAATCCCAAAGCAAAGTTCGGCATTTCTTCGACCTTTTATTGGATGTATTTTGTTTTTCCCTGGGTATTTTCTTCATGATTGCCGGTGTCTCGGCAAAACTTTGAATCTAATTTTTTTTGTTAAGCTTGATTACCATTGTTATGTGCAAAGTGTTTTTCATATTTAGTTATCAATTTACAAAACTTGATGAAATTTGAATCGAAACGAGTTACGGACAACCTCGCTCGCCCCAAGTCGGCATGAAATGTCCGAAATAGAAGAGATGGTCCTCGACGTTGGTATCGACTTGGGTGCTGCTGCAGTACAAGCCGTCGGCCTCCTTGCAGACGTTGAACGGCTCTCCGACCGTCATGTTGTTGTTGTACCTCAAATATTCTTTTCTCAGAATATCTTCACATTTAAGACACGTTCTCCGAGAAAAGCGATGAACCGTTGGTACAAAATTTTCAAGTATTGTTTTGAGAGTTGAAATTATTATCACAGTTACTAGACATAATGTGTAAACTTTTAGGCTAGTTGCTGTGAGGCTCCGCTCCCTCAGTGGGTTACGGTAGGACTTTTTAGTGAAATTTTTCTTACTTTTTTTTCCTAGTTGACTGATCGACGTCAAACTTTTTTTAGAACACAGATGACGGTTTTTTTAGAGCATTTTTTTAGTGAAAAAAACTAAGAAAAAAAGAATCAAAAAGCTTGAAATAGCGCTTTTTTTGTTATATATATGATATTTCGCAAATTTTGAAGATTCGTGAATTTGAAACAAGATTCACTGCCAGAATTTTTGTTTTTTGTTCTGAAATCAAGAAGTCCTAAAGTGAAGTTCAGCCTAGTTACTTCAAAAATTCAATCAGGGGATGAAAAACTTCCCCTTGTTAGATTTCTAAAAAAAAAGAACATCCACCGAAAATTAGACTTTAATTCTCACTAATCAAGCCTTGTTTGTATTGCCGGGCATCTAAATAAAAATTAGCAGCATCAGAACTTGAAAAAAATAACAAACTTTGTTCAACTTATAAGGTGACTTCTGAAAAAGACCAGGTTCAGCATATGTATTTTTTTATTCAGATTCAAAATCTTTGACGAAAATATACGTAGAATTTCAAAAAAATTCAATTATCCGTTTTTTTTATTTTTCACATTAATTTTTCGAACTTCACCCGGAGAACTTTTTTTCCGCAACAAACTTGATCACTTGTTATTTAAAAAAAGTTATTTAAATTTATTATAAAAACTTTCAAACCAGATTTCGGTCCGATGATGGAACATTTCATCCCCATCAGGCATCAATTGGGGCGGAATATGTGGTACAATGTCCTGGTGATGGACGATTCGGAAGGAATATGGGAACTAAAAAAACGATTCAGTGAATCAGCTACTATCCTACCGTATTCTGGTGCCATAGAGCGTATTTGTAGTCGCCGGTTCTCGGCTGTCCCATCGTGAGAAGTTTGGTGTTCTGGCCTTGGAAAAGACCGATTTTGACGACATACGAAGCGGCGATGGACGACAGAGCTCCTCCTAGGGAGTGGCCGGTCACCTAGAGATTTGTTCAATTATTATTTTGGGAGGCAATTAGGGTTAACCCAAAGTTCATAGTCCGGATGAAGGTACTTCAAATTCCTGATGTCGCTGCTCAATCCGTTGTTCCAGAGGGCAATGAAAGCGTCGTAGAAGAAATCGAAGATGTAGCCGACGTCGAAGAATGGCTTCTTCTTACTGAATTCAGTAGGAAAATGATATTTTGAGCTCAACAATTTTAAAAAGCATGTTAATAAAGCCACAGTGCTTATCAAGTATCAAAGAACTGGAAAAAAAAAACCTTAGTGGCTACTTAAGAGGTTCCTCAAGGGCTTCTTGGAAAGGGTACCAAAGTGGCCACTAAAACCGTCTCTATTCTGCCTCTTAGTGGCCACTATAGTAGTTTCAGCCACCTAGTAGTACCAGTTAGACTTGTAATAAGCCCACCAAATTTTTTCTCGGAAACTTCCAAAAAAATAGAGACAAAACACGAAAAAGTGAGTGCTTAAGGGAAGCGATGTGTCACCTTTTCCGAAAATATGAAAAAATAACTTCAATGAAACTTAGGAAAAAACGCTTATTGACATTTTATTTAAAGACTTTTTTTCAAAGCGAAATCAAGGAAGAAAACGTGCGTGTACAGAAAAGTGTGCATGGGAAAAATAAAGACGCGTTTTTTTTTTGAAAATTTTGAAAATAATAATTTTGCGTCACTTTTGCCCCAAAACATATAAAAAATTTTTTCGAAAAATTTGACTCACTGAGAAAAGTTGAGAATCTCCTCGATGAGTTGTTGTGGCGTGGAAGTTCCTCGGAAGGCCATCAAAATGATTTTTCTCGATGTGTCGTAGGCAGTGTACATGAAGCACGGCGTTTCTGGATTCAAACTAGTTTTAACAAGTCTAAAACCGCTGTACTTTATCATTGATTGATGTAGACAAGAAAAAAATAACAGTTTTGCATAGAATCGAAATTTTAAAAAATCTTACGCGGTCCGTCGCCTTGTCCAGTACAGTTGGCACGAACAGTGTTGTACACAACCATCGTTGGAGCATTTTTCCTGAATTTCGATTCGAAAATGAAAGTGATGTTGAAGCTCAAAAACGAGTCCGAATAAACTCCAGTGGCTATGAAAATTTTTATTTGATTCGGCATCAATGGTTCACTTTTAAAAAAGTACACTCATAACTATAAACCTCAAACAAATGTACGGATCATCGGCATGAGCTCCGCCAATCAATGGCAAGAAGTTGGCACGAATAAAGCTGTCGTCGTAGGAATGAGCAGCATCCGGCAAACTTGGGCAGTTTAGAGCCCTCTGAAAAGTTCGAAAAATTTAACCGCTAGTACTTTACAGGTCTCGCGAAAATATACGAGAGGTTTCTCAACGTGGCGCTCAATCGCGTTTTTCAGAAAATTCTACAAAGCAGAAAAACATCACTAACCAGGGAATGGTCTCCGGTCGCAGTGGGATCTCTCAATGAGACCAATTTTTCCAGATGTAGTTTTTCACGCTGATCTCAAATCTGGTCTCAAAAACTGCCGAAGAGCTCTGTGAAAAAAGTTATGGACCCTCAAAAGTCGAAAATTTCAGTGTCTCCGATTGAGCTCATTTTTGGAGGGTATATAGACCTTGTCCCTCTGGTCAAGAAAAACCATTGAAGTTTTCACAAAAAAATTTCGAAGCCCAGATATGATCTTTCAAAGCCCCGCCTCACACAAGAGCTTGCGAGCGCGGTGTCCTATTGCGATCCGGCGACCGTCGAAGCAACGGCAGCAAGGAGCAGTGGTAAGGCGGCGGAATGGGAATCACGAGGTCATAGGTTCGGTGCCCACTCTGTGCAAACTTTTTTTTGCATTTTTTTCTATTTTCTATGATTTTGTTGAAGGGCTCTTATTTTGAGTTTTGAGGCGTATAAACATGAAAATTCTTCGTTTTAAGCCTATTCGAACATCTAGAATTATTTTCGTCAAAAATTTTTTTCATGGAATTTTTCGAGATTTTTCATGTATGAGCATGGGCTGGAGTGAGAAAAATTTTCAGAAAAAAATTTTTTTTTTTTCCATTTTTTTGTTCCTAAAAGATTTATAAGTTTAATTAGTCATAGATACGCCGACATATCCCACAGAAAAATTTTTTTTTCCTGACTTTTTTAGACCTCACCGTTCAACTACGACTTCACAAGAAAAAAAAATAAATCCGCATTTTTTCAAATTTTTGCTGAAACTTTCAAAGAAATCCCTTCTGATTGATACAAAACGAAGAATTTTCATGTTTATACGCCTCAAAACTCAAAACAGGAGCCCTTAAACGAAATCATAGAAAATAGAAAAAAATGCAAAAAAAAGTTTGCACAGAGTGGGCACCGAACCTATGACCTCGTGATTCCCATTCCGCCGCCTTACCACTGCTCCTTGCTGCCGTTGCTTTGACGGTCGCCGGATCGCAATAGGACACCGCGCTCGCAAGCTCTTGTGTGAGGCGGGGCTTTGAAAGATCATATTTGGGCTCCGAAATTTTTTTGTGAAAACTTCAATGGTTTTTCTTGACCAGAGGGACAAGGTCTATATACCCTCCAAAAATGAGCTCAATCGGAGACACTGAAATTTTCGACTTTTGAGGGTCCATAACTTTTTTCACAGAGCTCTTCGGCAGTTTTTGAGACCAGATTTGAGATCAGCGTGAAAAACTACATCTGGAAAAATTGGTCTCATTGAGAGATCCCACTGCGACCGGAGACCATTCCCTGGTAAGTGAACTTTTGTTATTATTGTTTAAGACCTCTATCTAGATCGCTCAGCACTTTGAAACGTGGAGTGAGAAAAATTTTTCTTATTAAAAAAGGTTTTTTTAATATAAAATTAATTGTTTTTTTATAAATTAAAAAAATTTCCGTCGCTTCTTTTTTTCAGCCGCGAGCACATGCATGCACACAATGCGCAGATTGAATTATAATTCACGCGCAAAAAAACATGATAATTTTTTTCGTTTTATCGGTGTTTTTTTCTTTGTTTTATGAATTTTTCATTATCGGATTAAAAAGTGAAAAAAACTCATCGCGAATAGTAAACTCACGAATTTTTTTTCTATTTATGGTGAAATGCGAAAAATATATGTTCGCTGCCAGTTTTTTTACAAGCATAATTTAATTAAAATTTTTTTGATTTTTTTCCCAAATTTTAAGTAAAATTGAATATAAAAAGTGCAAAGTTCTTGTGAATTTTTTTAACGACCCATAACAATCTTCTCGATTATGGTTCTGTTTATGACAAACATCATCTCTAAATTCGTTGATAGCTCAAATTTTCTTCTTATCGATAGAGTCAAGAAGTCAAAAGTCGTAAAAGGAATGTGACCTGTTGAATTCAGTTTCAAAATACAAAGATCAATGTTCACTTTTTGCTGATAGCTTGTTTTTATTATAAAACTTTGCAAATAATTTATTTCGATTTTTTGGATATATTTTTCATTTTAACGGTAATTTTTTTAAAAAGTCACCTTTACAGTGACGGGACATGGAGAAACGCCACATTTTCCGACGGAAGCACACCATCTGAAATTTCAATTTGTAGAGGTTTTTATTGAAATTATTTATAAACCTAATGAGAATCCGTATTTTATTTATTTATAATTATCGACTTTGTTATAAGTTTTTAAAATTTCTAACTTGCAAGTTAATGCTCTTTTTTAGGTCCTTTGAAAAACTAAAAGCGATGAATTGCGGTTGGAAAACCTTTAAAATTTTCCGGAAAGGTCAAAAAAGCTAACATTCAGTTTTTTTTTCTACTTTTTGACTATCTGTGATTGAATTAATTTTCTTCTTTTTTCAAAAAATTGATAACTGTTGAGATTTCTAATTTAACTGGAAGCTGTGAAGGTAGCTTCCGAAAGCTGAAAATAAGGAGTAAGATTTCATTTTTGATAGGAAAACCACTCACTCTTTTCCACTGGTCAGACAATCTTCGCAGGGTCCAGCATAGCAGAAGCCGCAGAAAAAGAGCAAAAAATAAACAAATTTTTGCATTTTTTGAGTGGCAAAGGGAAAATGCAACTAATTGAGACAAGAGAATTCGTTATCACCACGTGCGATCCCGGAATCAGCGATAACTTTTGCTATTTACTTGCCAAGAATGGAGTTTGATAGATTGTTCAAAAATCATCCAGGATATCTCGATAAAATTTTTTAAAAAGAAGATTTTTCAATGGAAATTCCGCATAGAATACTATTATAAACTTACTTCCTGAACATAAAGATGCAAACTTAATTTTTTTTTTCTTTTTAAGTTTTTTTTGAACTTTGAAGTCTCAAGGCTATTATTAGAAAGGACTGAACAAAGTTTACCTTTTCTGATGTAATCCATTATCGGAAAAGGTATAAAATTCCTTATCAAGGTGATGAGATCGAAATTTTACATTCGACTCGAAGGCACCCGAGATGCTCCGTGAGCTTTTCCTTCTTTGCACTTTGGCATTTTTGGCGGCCGCCTCCGACAGTTGCGAGGACTGTCTTGCCAGTGGGAAACAGTTGGTTTTGACCCTTTTCAGTAGGATTTTAAGGCTTTTTTCTCGAAAACTAATGCGCTCTAGAGCTCCTTAATTACAAACAAATTCTTTAAATAAAATTTATTGGCTTATTAATGATTTTTGTTAAGAATGAAGCCTCTTTCTATAGCCTATGTATCACTACTTGGAATTTCACGGAACGACATTCCGCTGTGCCGCTGCGCGCCTTTGCCAACCTTGGTCGCGTTTTTCACTTTTTTTTTCTTTTATTAAGGTACTCTACTTTCATGTGTTCTCACAGCAATGAAAATCAATTGAAAGCGTGACCTAGATTCGAAAGACGCTTCGCGAACGCACGCAGCGGAACAGCGGAATGTCGTTCCGTGAAATTTCAAGTCGTGGCACACATACTATATTTGCAATTCTTTTTTGAAGAGTACTTTGGATTTCAAAAAGTCTTTTCTTAAAATTTTGGAACCCTTTGAAATTGGCAAGAATAATCTTGTAAGTTATTTTTTTGAAAGAAAAAAATTGAAAAATTTCAGTTTTTTTGTACGGCTGTCAACAAGTGCGACTTCTCCCCATGTATCTCAACTATTACGGTCGGTTTTTTTTCGGATTTTATTCATTTGTTCAGCCAAAAAAATATTATTTTTGAATTTTAGCGCTTGGACAACAGATTAATCAAAAATCATGGGAGTTCTCACGAATTTGAATCGTTTGGGAAGTCTGAAAAAAAGTCGGATAATTGCCTAACTACTCGAAATTTTCGTAATTCACAAGCTTCTGTTATAAAGTTCTGACATATTTTTTGAAAAAACTGAAGATCAATTTTGAAGAGGGCAATAAACTGCCCGAAACTGCCCGATCCAACTTTTGGTTATGATGACATGGTCGCCAGAACCAAATGGCTTCCGTTGATCGCCGCCGGAGAAAGCAACGGACATCCCGAAAAATGCCTGGCGTTAGTTTCGAATCGTCGCGAAATGGCACGAAATTCCTATTTTCCAGAAGTCAATGGCCCACGATGACACTGTACAACACGGTCACCGTCAATTGCTCGACTTATGGAAAAGGTTTGGAAGATTTTTTTTTTCAAAGACACAACTGTATTGTCCGATTTCCGCCTCTCGAAACTGCTTTTTTTCTCTGCACTCTCCTCGTCTCTAGGTGACCCTCTCATTTTAACGTGCTATTTTTATGTTTCTATGTCCTGGACGGTGAGGGAACAGAGAGACGCAGACACTCAGAAACTTCCAAGTCTGATTTTTCAGCTCAAAAAAATCAACTTCTTAATTGATCACTCTTGAA